GGGTGAATTTAATAGTGCTTTAATGTCTGCCAATATGAGGCTTACAGGATCTTACTCTCATACATAACAGTATCAGTAATTTTCTGCTTTATGGTTCTGTCAATTTAGGAGTACGTGCGACTTCATTTGAATTGTCAGACTATGCTAACAAGGTCACTGCATATACATCAACCTCTTCAAGTGTAATTCTTAATCTTAAAATGAGATGGTGCATGGCTATGCTGTTTTGGATGAACCTGTTCTCAGGGAGGAGCCCGATTATAAGATAAAGTGATTAGAACAGGATACCAAACCGCCCCTCAAACTACCTGGATAGTTGTCAGGATATTCGTGATGGTCTGAAAGCATATTATGGTTCAAATAATAATGTACTTGTAAACTGGCAAGTAAACCTTTATCATAAAAAAAATAATATTCTCAAGTTATAACTTTATTATATTATAAATCGTTGGTTTAAAATCTAAAAAGTCTATGCTTGACTCGTTTTCTTTGAAACGGTCTGAAGAATTTGGTCTTGCGAAAAGAAAATCTAAGGGATACTCAAATAGTTTCAAATTTTATATTTCACATATTTGAAAGTGATACACCAAATTAAGGTAACCAAATGTATTGAAACCTAACATTAACCTAACGCTACCTGAACCTAACCTAACCTAACATTAAGCTAACGCAACCTTAACCTAACCTAACCTAACATTAAGCTAACGCAACCTTAACCTAACCTAACCTAACATTAAGCTAACGCAACCTTAACCTAACCTTACCATGGATAGGGAGTAGATAATAGCACTAATTACATAGTGGGTTTGAAGGGATTACCTCTTGTAAGACATGACTACATATGGACTTGACTTGTGTGTTAGGCACACACATTTGAGAGTTATGACGGGAAGAGATGTGCCAGAAAATAATTCCAAGACAGATGTAGTTTACCGTTGCCAACCTTGACACTACCTCTCACGGTTAATGATAAGAAGACTCTTCTGGCTACGTACATTAAGTATTTTGATGTGGCTGATTACTGAACAGTTTCCTTCTGTTGCTATGCTAGTTTTAATATATATATATATATATATATATATATATATAATGATGTAATTTAGGTCTGGAACCTTGCATTGGAACCAAGTTGGTTATTCAGCGTTCAGTGTGTGTTGGTTGAGCGTGTTGTGTACTCACCTACTTGTGCATACGGGGGAGGCTGAATATGGGCTCTTGGGTCCCGCTTCTCAAATGCCAATCACTCTCCATTCCGAGATTTCCCCTCCCTCACAGACACTGTTACCTGTTACTGCTGTCTATATACTACATTTGTAGTATTACATACTACATTTTATTTGGTAGTAAATCATCAAATCAAATTCAACTTCAGATAGACAATGTTAACATTAACAATAAAAATTAGGGAATGTTCCTTGGCCTATACATAGACAAGAGACTGAACTTCAGCATCCACATAAAACACATAGCCAAAAAAGTCTCAAAAATGGTCGGTATACTTTCTAAAATCAGATATTGTGTTCCCCACTCTGCTCTCTCATTATACTACGCGCTAATCTATCCTTATCTTACTCACGGTATCTGTGCATGGGTTCAGCCACTGCGAATTACCTCAAGCCCATCATCACTCAACAAAAATCTGCTATTAGACCTATAACAAACTCTGTCTTCAGACAACACACAGCCCATCTGTTTAAGTCCCTTAACATGGTAAACATACACTCACTCCACACATTCTCACGTGCTATCTACATATACAAAACCTTGTTCCTAAATGCTCATCTTGATCTGAAACTTTTCCTTGATAGGTACTCACCTAATTGTGCTTGCGGGGTTTGAGCTTTGGCTCTTTGGTCCTGCCTCTCAACCGTCAATCAACTGGTGTACAGATTCCTGAGCCTACTGGGCTCTATCATATCTACATTTGAAACTGTGTATGGAGTCAGCCTCCACCACATCACTTCCTAGTGCATTCCATTTATTAACTACTCTGACACTGAAAAATTCTTTCTAACGTCTCTGTGGCTCATGTGGGTACTAAGTTTCCACCTGTGTTCCCTTGTTCGTGTTCCACCCGTGCTGAAGAGTTTGTCTTTGTCCACCCTGTAAATTCCCTTTAGACTTTTGTAGGTGGTTATCATGTCTCCCCTTACTCTTCTGTTTTCCAGGGATGCGAGGTTCAGCTCCTTTAGCCTTTCCTCGTAGCTCATTCCTCTCAGTTCCGGGACGAGCCTGGTGGCATACCGCTGAATCTTCTCTAACTTTGTCTTGTGTTTAACTAGGTATGGACTCCAGGCTGTAGCTGCATACTCCAGGATTGGTCTTACATAAGTGGTATACAGGGTCCTGAACGATTCCTTACGCAAGTTTCTAAAGGCAGTTCTTATGTTGGCCAGTCTTGCATATGTCACTGATGATATTCTTTTGATGTGGGCCTCTGGGGACAGGTTCGGTGTGATATCAACCCCCAGATCTTTCTCTCTATTTGACTCTTGCAGGATTTCACCTCCCAGATGATACCTTGTGTTCAGCCTCCTGCTCCCTTCGCCTAATTTCATTACCTTACACTTTCCTGAGTTGAACTTTAGCAGCCATTTTCTAGACCATTCCTCCAGTTTATCCAGGTCATCCTGTAGTCTCTGTCTATCTTCATCCGTCTTGAGTCTTCTCATAATTTTTGCATCATCAGCAAACATTGAGAGGAACGAGTCTATACCTTCCGGAAGATCGTTTACATATATTAAAAACAGGATGGGTTCAAGTACTGAGCCCTGTAGGACTCCGCTGGTGACATCTCGCAACTCTGATGTCTCCCCCCTCGCCGTTACTCGCTGTTTCCTGTTGCTTAAGTATTCCCTTATCCACTGGAGCACCTTCCCTTTTACTCCTGCCTGTTGCTCCAACTTTTTTAACAGCTTTTTATGGGGTACTGTATCAAAGGCTTTCTGGCAGTCCAGGAAAATTGCAGTCGGCCCACCCTTCTCTTTCCTGCCTAATTTTTGTTGCCTGGTCACAGAATTCTATTAAACCTGTGAGGCACGATTTACCATCCCTGAACCCATTTTGGTGATGCGTTACAAAGTTATTTCCCTCCAGGTGCTCTACGAGCCTTTTCCTCACGATCTTCTCCATCACCTTGCATGGTATACAAGTTAGGGAAACTGGCCTGTAGTTCAGTGCCTCTTGTATGTCACCCTTCTTGGTGTAATAGAACCCATGAGCACCACACCAGAAATAAATATCTCTTTGATATCCCCAGAGTCAAACTAAATCTGTTCAAACACTCCATGCAAATAAGAGGACCCAGGCTATGGAACTCACTCCCTGATGAATTAAAATAAATGTCCAACCTATGCCTTATTCAAAAATAAAACCAAAAAATATCTAATTTAATCCTCATAGTTTCCTACCTTGTGTTTCAAACTCACACTGTAACTTGTACAACCCACTTCCCCAATATTAGTACTTAAGACATATTTTCGGCTCGTGAGAGAAAAACTCGCACCTAGTTTGGGGGGGGGGGCAATGTACCTTTTCATCTTATCTGATATGTTAGATTAAGGACCTGTCCGAAACGCTATGCCTGTTAGTGGCTTTGCAAGAATGTAAAAATACCAATCTTATGTAATCTCACCAACCCATTGTATCTTCTAATTGTAAACTATATGAACAAGAGCTGGGACATGCTCTCCAGCATTATATCTGTGATTGCCCTGTTATAAGTAACTTCAGACCAAATGGTATGTGTGGTACTTTGAGCTCTGTAATTACTTCATACACTCAGGAATATTGGAAGGTATTCTTATGCTGTACCCAGAATTTGCTAGTGGAGGCTAATAGATCAGTCTTACATTTTATGTTCTCACCTGATTTTTAGTCAGAGTTGATTAGTTTTTGTAATTAGTCAGGTATTTTCTCCCCTAAGTCCATATATGACTAACCATCCTGTGAGATGGGAATGTTGGATGAACTTATAGCCAGCTGATTAGTCAGAGCTGGTTTGTTTTTGTATTATAGCAGGTATTATCTCCCCTAACTCCATGCATGACTAACCATCCTGTGAGATGGGAATAATAGTTGAACTTATAGCTAGTTCTTGATCTACACTGTGTAATCTTTCATATAGAATATGGTAGCAGCACATTGCAGTGTATATCTAAGCTTGTTAATAAAATGTATTTTTACCATCTTGTGAATATATTATTATTATTATTATTATTATTATTATTATTATTATTATTATTATTATTATTATTATTATTATTATTTCTGTCCCGCCTGGGATTGGATTCCGGAATTAAATGATGATTATTGTGATTTTGATAATTGTTTATTAAACTTTAATACATGCATTAGGGGAATATATTTCTGGAATCTTTCTCATATAGTTAAAAGTTAAACTTAACTTTTGAATGCATTAAATATTGTATAAATACTTTTTAAGCAAATATTGGTTATATAATTTTTATTATTATTAACAAGCTTAGGTATACACAGCAATGTGCTGCTACCCTACTCTATATGAAAGATTACACAGTGTAGATCAAAGACTAGCTTCATCTTTTCGCATTATCTAAAGTTCATCTAATACTCCCATCTCACAGAATGGTTAGTCATACATGGAATCAGGGGAGAAAATACCTGCTTCAATACAAAATCCAAATCAACTTTGATTAAACAACAACTTCACGATTTCACAAGAGCTACGCAATAAATCATTGAAACATTATATTAGAATTACTCGTACCAGTTTCTACAAGACTCCTCTCAAACAATGTCTTTTCTTTTTTAAAACAAGCTTAGATATACACAGCTTACCAGGGGGACAGAAAAGACTATTGATCCAGGATTCCCTCTGAAGGAGCCTCTTTAAATTGTTAGAACTCTCTAATCTTTATATTATCAAGCAGCATTTACGCCCCCTAAATAAAAGTACGACTATTAAGTATAAACTTTGTATTAATCGTTAGAGAGACAATATATATAGGTAGTGAGGGAAGGTTTTATGACCCGGCGGGCCGCCGGGAGTTGACCCCGCGCTCGCTGTCAACAAAGCTTCGCCGAGAACATGGCGAATCACTACGAAATTCCGAAATGGTAAACATTTGAGTTTTTTTATGTGAGAGATCATTTGTTACTAGTCTTATCTTAGGGCCCAGTCGGAGGAGAATTACGTGATACTTAAGGGTTACTTGGGGGTTGTTGTCTATTACAAAAGAAAACGAGAGTTTTAATAGCCTGACTTTTTATGCCACAACAATGTACCAATTACTTTTGGCTTCTGTGATCTTAATTATCAATAAGATAAGCAAGAATAAGATGACAATAATTGGAATTAATCTTTACATTCATCTTCATTGTTATAATTTATAAAGTCTTTGTGTGACAAACTCCTGTCAACCTGAAGCTCAAGTTATTGAAAGGTTCTCAGTGTGAAGGTACAGTTTAAAATGTGTATTCTTAATAAGCAGCCGGATATCAGAAGACAGTCAACATTTTATAATATAACATTTATCAGTACATTATAAGTGGTGTATGTAAGAATACTTAAGCTAGATGAATAGATATGTATTAACCTGAATTTACTTCTGGCCAGTACATATATTGGGAATAAGAAGTATTTCCAGATACATTTTTAATGTAGCACTGTTGTAGCCATTGTAAATAGTAGTGCATTAGTGCCTGCTCCTGATAATTACCATACCTCTCCTTGTCCAAACACTTACAACTGTAGCAGATAGGCTATTTTGTAGATATATTACCCTTTGGATGAAAATTCACTTATCAAATCATATCAAATGTTTATTCAGGGAAAAGTACATACATAGATGAGTTACAAACATAATGTTGGATTTATAGATAGAGCATACATACAATACCTATCTTGAGGTTATCTTGAGATGATTTTGGGGCTTAGTGTCTCCATGGCCCGGTCCTCGACCAGGCCTCCACCAGGAAGCAGCCCGTGACAGCTGACTAACTCCCGGGTACCTATTTACTGCTAGGTAACAGGGGCATCAGGGTGAAAGATACTCTGGCCATTGTTTTCTCGCCGGCGCCCGGGATCGAACCTGGAACCACAGGATCACACGTCCAGTGTTCTGTCCGCTCAGCCACCTAAAGCCACTAGTACACACAGCGTTTCGGGTAAGGTGTGGGGAAGACTAAAGACTTGGACTAAAACTTAATACTAATTGAGATTAATGTATAAATTGTGTTGAAAAAGGAAAAAAATAATGAACATGGCAGAAAACAACAATTATACAAGTTGGTCAACAAACAGTATTGATTAAAAATAGCAAGATATGGGTTGACATTTAGGGGGTAAGGTAGGTTACATGGAGTTTATTAGGTAGTACTTAGCTTTTCTCTTAAACTGGTTGAGAGGGGTACAGTCTTTGACATGATTGGGAAGGTCATTCCACATTCTGGAATGTGGAATACTTGATTTGTAGAGCATTTCTAGTTTGGCTAAGGTGCACTCTTGGAATATCAAATAGGTATTTGTTTCTGGTGAGGTTCCCATGGGTACTGTTACAACCTTCTATGAAGCGTTTAAGGTCAGGATTGGCATTACAGTTCAGAGTTTTAAATATATAGAGTACACTTGAGAGGATGTGCAGTGATTTAATATCTAACATATTCAAAGGTTTAAGTAAGGGTACAGAGTGCTGTTTGGGGCCAGAGTTTGATATTGTTCTAATAGCAGCTTTGTGTTGAGTAATTAGAGGACGTAGATGATTTTGGGTAGTAGACCCTCAAGCACAAATACCATAATTGAGATAAGGATAGGTGAGAGAGTAATAGAGCGTCACCAGGGTAGGACGAGGTACATAATATCTGATCTTAGAAAGAATGCCAACAGTTTTGGAAACTTTTTTTTTTGCTACATTTAGAATATGTCTCTGGAAATTCAGCTTGTTATCAATGAGGACACAAAGGAATTTATCATCTACTTTGTTACTAATTTGAATATTGTTTAATCTTAGATTAATTTTATCAAACCAAACAAAATATAGAAGGTTTTGTCAATGTTAAGGATGAGTTTGTTAGCAGTTAGCCAAATATGGACTTTATTTAGTTCAATATTCACTGTAACATTCAGAGCAAGAGGGTCAGGACTGGAGAATATGAAGGTTGTGTTTAGCAAATAAAATTGGTTTGAGGTGTTGAGAGGCATTTGGAAGGTCGTTAATGTAGATGAGAAAGAAGAGAGGGGCCAAGTATGCTGGCCTGTGGAACACCAATGTTGATCGGTAGGGTGGGAGAACTTGAATTATTTACAGAAACATACTGGAGCCTGTCACTAAGGTAAGCCTGAAAGTATTGGAGGGAATGACCTCTGACTTCATAATGATGTAATTTAAGAAGGTTTTGGTGGTTGACAGTGTCAAAAGCCTTACATAGGTCAACAAATAATCCAACAGGGAACTCATTTTTATCAAGAGCTGCATGTATCAAGTTAATCATACTAATCATTGCATCATTAGTGCTTTTTTGGGTCTGAAGCCATATTGGCAAGAGCAGAGTATATTGTGTTTGGCTAGATAAGAGTAAAGCTGCTTGTAGATTAGCTTTTCAAATATTTTTGACAAGGTTGGCAGAATTGATATAGGTCTGAAATTGTTGACATCAGTGAGATCCCCACATTTATGGACTGGGTTGCTCTCGCTTTTTTTTAGAATATCCGGAAATGTTTGGAGTTCAAGTGATTTGTTGTAGAGCAATGCAATGACAGGAGCTAGAAATCTGGAGTTTTTTTTGTAAATTAGAGTTGGTATCTCAGCAAGGGCACTTGACTTTATTTTAAGAGAAAGGATTATCTCATTAATATCAATGGAATTAGCAGGAATTAAGCCAGGCTTGACTTGTGAGAGTTTGATCCACCAGGCTGTTGCTTGTAGCAGCCCACAGGCCCACATACCCACCACAGCCCAGTTGGTCCGGCACTCTTTGGAGAAAACTATCTAGTTTTCTCTTGAAGATGTCCACGGTTGTTCCAGTAATATGTATATACAGTATATACATGCACTCACTCAATATGTACAGGTTTTTGCACCATTATTGGATATTTAGTTCCTTGACACAGTGGTAGTCATTGAAGCAGTTGACAGCACATGCTTCACACCATGTTTGCACCTGTTTATGTTTCTGTGGTCTCGTTTGTGTGGTTTACAAAGTATACACTCATGCTGGCTTATTGCATGCTTTCCAGCTGGTGGCATATATTTTAGTTTGTGTACTTGAAAGGCCTCTGTGTAAGTGAGCCTGGGTTGTAGGAGCATGGTGTGCAATACTGGGTTATGAATGGGTATGCCAGGAATGTCTTTGCCAAATTTGTTACTGTGTCACAACTGTAAAACTAAACGTACGGAAATTTGGTTTGCGACCAGTTTTCACCAGATACGTATTGAAACTGTTCAGCATGGTTACATGGGAATTTTTTTTTTTACATGGGAAAAGGGGCATAGGGTGAAAGAAACTCTGCCCATTGTTTCTAGCCGGCGCTCGGGATCGAACCCGGGACCACAGGATCACAAGTCCAGCGTGCTGTCCGCTCAGCCGACTGGCTCCCAACTACATAACTGAAGCCTGAGGGTAACTGAAGCCTCCTACATAGAGGTCACCTAGCTGGATTTTTTTTCAAACTGGCACCTGTTTACTAAAGGCCCTGGGTAGCGTATGGGGGCCACCTCTACCTCGCGGCCCATTTAAATCTTGCGGGGTATTCCGAAACATGATATGATGTGGTGCTCAATTTCACGACAGTTACTCAACACATCATATGATGTATTGTGCAGTTTAAGGGTTAATGTCCTTCACGGACATTTGTCCCTTGACAAAATTCTTGGCGAATCTGATACTTTTGATATCGCTCGCCTTATGTGTTTTTGTTCTCAGATTGACATCCTCAGTGATTTTTAACACGTTTTGAATATCCGGCAACACTGATGGTGCTACATAGTCTCCCTGGCTTGGTGTCTTCTTTTGACAATTAATTACTTACTGGCTCCAACATAATGTCTGTGTACAGTATTGTAGTGATTGAAAATAGTTGTTAGATATGGTAATAGACAATAAATAATGTTAACTCTTAAATGACCTGAATGCGTACTTAACAAAATGATAACTTTAGGAACAATGCTGATGATTAAACAGAGATCAAATAGCTTTCTTCATCATATACAGTACTCTCAATCATTACTTATTTACCCTAAACACTTCAGTACTGTTTGACACCAATATTCCATATAAAAATTGCACATACGTAGTTTCAATTTGCAAGTTTCTCGATGTACAAAGTACAGGATTAGCTACAAAATAAATACACAAGAGAAAATATGTGTTGGTAAGCATATTTTTACAGGAGAGGTAATAATCACATGACAGACTGAGTTTATCTAAATGACAGTCATTGTAAACATTTAAAAGTCTGACGCACATTAGAATATTATAGTTTTGCGTCTGCAAATTATGAATGTCTAAATATAGGCATCTTGGTGAAAGCATGGATCATATAAATTTCAGAATAAAGAATGTTTATTTTGTATAACTCAAACCCAAATTGTGTTCAATCCAGCATTTAGAGGAATATGCTGTAGATGCAGCTTTTTAAATAGGCTTTAAAACTGGAACAGTAGCTTATAAGTAACTTTGTAATTTTTATTTTCAGGGCAGGTAAACCTCCTGTAGGTTTACACTTAGATGTGGCAAAAGGAGAGAAGCTGATTCAAGTATGTCCTCATTCTTTATTTCACAAGTTCTAAATGAACAATGAACAATCATATTTAAGGAGGCCAAGTCATTTTTTCAATATTTGTTTTATTGGCATTAGAAAGCCTGGATTTTTTAGCAACATTTTGAGCTTCATTTGAGAGAAATTAGTCACCTTTTCTGTGGGGAGCCCCTACGGCTCCCCGGAGCTTACCAGGCTAATATATATGTACAGTATTAGACCGTGGCATCAGTCGATTGGAGTTCTTGCCTACCGGGGACCACGAGCCAGAACCTGGCCCACTCAGAGAGGCAAGAGGAGCAATGGCTTATGGAAACCCCCATGTATTTAGAAGCATTTCATGTCTGGAACCCAGAAATGTAGGTGTAACAAAACAATCCCCATGTAAAAATCGCTACAAAGCCCTAACAGATAGGTAAAACTCCCAAACTAAAACCAGCAAATCGCCGATCGTCCACGCATCCCCCCGGACCCTCATCCCCCCCCCCCCCCGGTGCCGGCTGTTACCTCATTCAGTTCCTCGGCTGATGTGGACTGTGGCGGTCATTGATTCTAGCCTCTGACTCTTGCAGTTTTGTGCCTTGTCGTTATTCTGCTGTGTGTGGTGCCCAAGCCAGGAGTAATTCATCAGTACTGGGGTTGCATGCGCTTAAGGCCACCTTCCCTAAGTGCCCTGTAAGTACTGCCCTTGCATCTTGGGGTTATCCTCCACAGGGCATTCAGGAACCGCTTCTGTAGGGGTCTTTTGCTGCTCGGCAAATGCTCTCCATTGGGGCCAGCTGTTTTTTTTGTTGTTGTTGCCACTGTTTGGCCTTGGGTTATCATTGTGTTATCATTGCTGGTAGGGGCACAAGGTATTGTGCAGCCTGTCTCCTATTGTATACACAGTGGCCAATTCTGTTCCTCCTGGGGACATTGTGCTTTTGTGGGGGTTTTCTTTTTTGTTTATTTTGCCTGGTAGGGGTGTGCCCTCCTTGGTTTATTCTCCCTTCTATTGTATTGGTGGTCCTCTGCTAGGCCCCTGTGCTTGTTCACATCGCAGGGATTTAGGTTTTTAGCAGTTCTCTTGGTAGTTTGGGCCCAACTGCTTAGCAATACAGGTACCTTGCTTGGGCTTCCCTTAGCAATCAGCCTAAGGGCCCTGTTAAACTCCATTGGGGCTCTTTGGACCTATTGATGCATTCTCTGGGTTCTGACTCACCGAGTGCAAATTTGAAGATTGCTCTGTCCCCTTGTCTGAGGGTGACACTCACCAGTTTTGCCTCCATCATGCTGCCTGTTGGGTCAATGACACCTTTGACCCAGAGTCTTGCTCCTTGCTCGTGCTCCAGATTACCCAGTCTTCTGATATTGATGTTCGGGTACAGGTGGTTTCGGCGTTGCATGCTTGATATCAGTTGTTGCAGCATGTTGGTTGGTTGGTTCATCAGATGCCCCGAGGCTGCCTCGCTTGGCTTATAGGGACCCGGACTTGGGGGGCATTAGTCGCTTCGACTTTGGTTTCGTCCGCGCTCCCATGTCCTTTGTCCTTCGGAGCTAGCGGCGTCTGGTCGGCACAGTGGTCGCTCTGCTTGTCAGTCGACTTCTTGTAAGGAACATCGGTCCTTTTGCGGATCTCCCCGTTGACGGGGCGGTGGGGGGAAGCTCGCTCTGTTTGCTCACGCCTGGTCCCATGATTCGTGGGTGTTTCGGGTTGTCTCTTCCAGCCAATAGTGGCGTTGGGTGGCTCCTCCTCCAGGTGGAAGGGGTTCGGAGCTAGCGGGGCAGGTCTCTTCCCCTGCGCTCTGTCGGGTCATCTCAGAGAGGGTGCGCCTGGATGTGGTCGAAACAACTGCAACCCTCAGGTGGGTTTCCCGCCTGTTTCCAGTACCGAAACAGGACTGGGCAGACCTGTGGGTTCAGTCTGGACTTGTCCCTTCTGAACCCCTGGATTCCTTACCCCTCCTCTCGGATGACCACTCTGTCTCAGGTCCGGCTTCTCTTGGAGCGGGATGCTTGGATGGTGTCTCTGGACCTCCGAGACGCGTATTTGCATGCCCTGATTCATCCGGGATTCAGGGACTGGTTAGGTTTTGTGGTGGAGCAGCAAGCTTTCTGCTTTCGTTGCCTGCCATTTGGCTTGAATCTGGCACCTCGTGTCTTCACACGTCTCACTAGGTCGTGGTGGCCTGTCTGTGTCTGTTGGGGGTTCGGATTTTGGCCTACCTCAACAATTGGGTGGTATGGGCTCCCTTCTGGTTCACATGTCTGCTCGCCAGGGGTGTGGTTCTTTCTCAGCTCGCCGGGTTTGGGTTCCTGGTGAACTGTAGGAAGTCCAATCTGGTTCCATCCTGGGTTTGAACTAGGCTAGGTCTTGTGTGGGACTCTCGAACCGCTTTCTTGTCTCTCCCTCTGGAGTCATTGCTGTGGCTGCAGTCCCGCCTTCGCCTGTTTCTTCCCCAATTCCCCAAGCCCAGAAAATCATATCCAATTTTAAGAAGCTTCATGAAAGGGGACTTTTCCGGAAATGTTTCAGAGTGACCGATGCCACAAATCTCACCTTCAAAGAGTTTTGGAAAACCATTTTAACATTTGTAGTACTTTAAAACTCATAGACAAAGCTTAGCAAGAAGTGACTCAAAGAACCCTGATCTCTGTCTGGAGAAAATTGTGGCCTGAATGTGTTTCAAAACTAGACTTTAAGGGATTTGAGAACACTATATACACACATTATATATAAGTATCTACATGTTTTATTCACCATAACTTTACACCTGAGGGGTCCAGGTTCTGGCTCATGGTCCCCAGTAGGCAAGAACTCCAATCGACTGATGTCACGGTCTAATACATACATATCAGCTCGGTAAGCTCCGGGGAATCCTCTGGGGCTCACCCAGAAAATGGCGTTTCATTACATTCAACACTGTTTTTATTTTTATTTTTTATTTTTTTAAGCCACCTTTGGCTATGTAAAAATTCAGGGAATAATTGTGAGTTGTCAACTAGTTTTTATGATAACATACAATATAATCAGATAAATTAAATTCACATCATTGGAAAGTACAGTATATACAAAGTAAGTTATATAATTAAAATGGATATTGTTCAGGATTTGTAGTTCTGTATTCATGGTTGGAAAATTTGAACGAATGAATCCAACTGTGCTACTGAGTTCCTTCTGATACAGGTATACACTTAATTTTTGTCTGTTATCTGTGAACATGGTTAGAAATTATTTTAAAATATATATCCAGAATAATGTAGCAGGCTGTTTAGCACTTAAATACAGGTGATAGAAGTGTTTTATAAGTCAAAATTAACATGCATAATAAGTTATATAAGCTTTTATGTTTTATAGCCAGGGTGGTGGACATTTATGTCGGTTGGGTTGGGTGATGAGTGGATGGAAAGTGGAGGGGTAATATGGGTAGGGATATATTCACAAATAATTCATGCTGTTTTTGTCAATTAAGCCATAACAAATTATATCTCAAATCATCAACATAGAAAGGACAAAACAGGTATTTTCTTTAAGTTTTTTGCCACCGGCCTTTTTGTATGTGTGTATACATTTTTTATGTTTCAGAAACTGATGATAGATGAAAAGAAGTGCTATTTATTTGGTCGAAATCCTCAACTTAATGATTTTTGTATTGACCATGCTTCATGCTCCAGAATTCACTGTTCATTAGTGTACCATAAACACCTCAACATGGCCTTCCTTGTTGACCTTGGCAGCAGTAAGTACGAGCTTATATGAGTACATATTGTTTCATTATATTTCATGCATATAGAAATGGTTAACTTTTCTAATTTAAGTTTAGGTCAGAATTTACAGGTTATTGAAACGAACTAAATAATCCTATCCAAGTTGTGTAGAAAGATAGTGATACATTATAAATAGTTATTACTAATAATTCTGCATAAGTTGTGAATAATATGGTTAATTTGAGCTACCGCAGAAAAGCTACCTGCTTTTGCCACTAGCTGTCTCAATGTTAATGTCTGACCAACACAACCCCTTCCCACCATGAAACATACTTTCTTCGGCCCACAACAAAATCTTAATCAGTACTACCCTTTTTCAAAAATTTTGCTCACAATACTTTGTGGTTAAATGCCTCTATAGTTCTCACATTCACCATATTTACTCATAATTAGGTACAATGATTCAGTCACAGCTCACTTTCAGTGTCATTTTCTCAAACTTTCTAGCAAATCTATTTGCATAAATATTGTATTATATAATATAAATGTAAAATTTTCAGCTCATGGCACTTACATTGGAAAAATCAGACTTGAAGGTCAAAAGCCCACACAGCTTCCAGTGAACTCTACCTTTCACTTTGGGGCATCTACCAGAATGTACACACTGAGAGAGAGACCACAAACTGCACCTAAACCTGTGATGGAGGAGTTGGAGAGAATGACAGAGGATAGTGATGGAGGCCTTTTGGGTCTTCCGGAGACTGAAACCGAGTTAGATGTAAGTAGTAAAACATTTTGTATTACAGTATATGCCAATTTAAGTACAGTATATAGTATATCTTGAGTTATCTTGAGATGATTTCGGGGCTTTAGTGTCCCCGCGGCCCGGTCCTCGACCAGGCCTCCACCCCCAGGAAGCAGCCTGTGACAGCTGACTAACACCCAGGTACCTATTTTACTGCTAGGTAACAGGGGCATAGGGTGAAAGAAACTCTGCCCATTGTTTCTTGCCGGCGCCCGGGATCGAACCCGGGACCACAGGATCACAAGTCCAGCGTGCTGTCCTCTCGGCCGACCGGCTCCCAAACGAAAACATTTTCGAAGTATAACAAAAACAAAAAAGTATAACAAAACGAAGTATAACAAAAACTGAAAAATATAATTAATCTATATGTTAGAAAATACCCTTTTATGACTTCTCTGTGTCATTTTAGCCATTTCTTACTATTGTGTATATGTGTTTGGTCAGTCATATTTTGGAACAAAGATCTTGTTTTACTTGAGTAGTCTACAGTATTCTAATCTGTCAGTCTAAGGGAAATTCCCTGATAACTCTGGGAAGCTATTACTCTTGTCCTTTAAATTTCTTAAATAGAACACTTCCAGTTACGACTTTCTGGATGAATATTGTTTCATTCCTAGGACAACAAAAATTATTATACAGGTATTATTTTCTTCCATTAGATTTAGTATTTTCTTGTATGATAATGCATTAATATGAGATGTGCTTTAGTGTAAAGGTCACAAGTCAAAATAAGAAAGTTGGATTAAAGATATTTGTAATGTTTATACTCTCATATACCATATGTCATATCTTTAGCTATAAACAGTAGATATAAATTTAAGTCGTATTTTTTCATATACTTCTGGGGGAAGCTCCATCAGTTTCCCGTAGCTTTCCAGGCTGATATGTATTATATTAGCTTTCTTGCATCAGTCAATGTGCATGGAGTTCTTGCCTACCGGGGACCACAAGCCAGAACCAGGCCCCCTCAAAGAGCACAAGGAGCAGTGGCCTATAGAAACCCCCATGTGGTTGGGAGCATTCTATGTCTGCCATCGACTGGGTCTGGCACCCAGAAAGATAGGCACCCCAAAACAAACCCCTATTCTGGTGAAAATATTGCTACCGAAAGCCGAATGAGTGGACAGAACTCCCCCAGACAAAACTTAGCAAACGAGCATGATGTCATCACGTTGCCATGCCGCTGTCTGCCCATCCCTCCTCCTCCCTGGTAGGGGGAAAGGAGAGCCCAGACCCTTGCACCAGCGATCCAACTGCCAGTTCTTGGCTGATGTGATACTGGCAGGTCATATGCCTCTGGCTCCTGCATTGGTTTCAGTTTCTGTGCCTTGTGGCATGGACCATCATCTTATGCCGAATACTGTCGCCTCATATCATGTGGCGCTGGCGGAGCCGCTCCAGCTTGCATCTGGTATTGATGTTACTTCTGCCCCCGTTCTGCAAGTTGTCTTGTGCGTTGTTTCACCTCTGGCCTGCTCATGTGCCTCCTGAGCCGTCCTGACCTTTGGATCGGGTGCTCTCTTTTTTCTCTTCTCCTCGGTTTGTAGTGGCCCCTTTGGTTCAGGATTGTTTTTCTAAGGCTCTATTTCTGTTGTTATTAGCCTCTGGGGGTCGGGTCTGGGAGCTTTGTGCTCTCCTCCGGCGCAGGGGTTTCTGCTCCTTCGGTCCTGGTGGTAGGTTTGTTCGGTTGCAGCTGTCTCCTCCTTTTTTGGCAAAGATTGAGACTGCTGCTTTCCAGAAGGATCCTTGGTCAGGCCAGGGTGCATCATGTGTTGCGTCTGGTTGCGTCTTTCCGACGTTATTTGCACCCCACGGCTTCGGTAGCCGGGGATGCCCTTTGGGATGACCCGATTTCCCTCCTTCCCTGTTCCCGGGCTCGGATCTTCCAGGTCATCCACAGGGTTATTAAGTCTAGCCAGCCTGCGGTTTATCCCCGTGCCCACGACATTCATAAGTTTGCTGCGTTTGCTGCTGTCTTTGGCAACATGTCTTGGGTTGACATTTGGGCACGGGGTTTTTGGAGGGCGAACAGGGTCCTGGCCGCTCACTACTTTGTGAATGACCCTGGACCTGGTAGGCCCTGCATTGCATTGGATCGGCAGTTGCAGCCAGTTGTCTCGACTTGGCGATGAGGAGTGAGGATTGACTGCTTTCCCGGTAAGTCCCTGTGTTTTTCCTTGTCTTTGGGTAGTTCAGTTGGGAGCTTGTCTTTGGGAGCCGATAGGGCTTTCCCCAGAAAACCAGCGTTGAATGTAATGAAACGGCACTTTCTGGGTAAGTCCCATAGGCTCCCCGACATCCCTCCCTCCCTCCGGTCAGTGGTGTTTTTCATGTGTTTTTGACATCCAGCCTAAGGACTGGCAGCTAGATAGCCGGCACGAGGGTCTGGGGCTCCCCCATCCCTCTCCTGGGGAGGAGGGGGGGGGGGGTTGCCTAGACAGTGGCATGGCAACATGATGATGTCATGTATGTTTGCTAATTTTCATTTGGGGAAGTACTGTCCACTTATTCGGCTTTCAGTAGCAATATTCCTCACCAGAATAGGGGTTTGTTTTGGAGCGCCTACCTTTCTGGGTGCCAAACCCGGTCAATGGGAGACATAGAATGCTCCCAACCACACAGGAGTTTCTATAGGCCATTGCTCCTCGTGCCTCTCTAAGGGGGGCCAAGTTCTGGCTCGTGGTCCCCAGTCCCCTTCTTGCCATGCATGTTGACTGATACCAGAAGGCTAATATAATACTACACATCAGCTTGCATAGCTCCAGGGAGCCTCTGGGACTCGCCCAGAAAATTGCATTTCATTACATTCAATGCTGGATTTTTTCAAAACTATGTTTATTGTTGTGCAGTTCTAAGTTTTTTCTTAATTTCAGAATTTAACTGAATTTAATACTGCCCACAATAGACGTATATCAATGTTGGGTATTGGAGAAGATGATCCCAAACAGAGAGGCCTTAAACGGCACAAGTTTAATGTCAGTTTTAAAGATGAAGAGGATGTCATAAACCCAGAAGATGTAGATCCAAGTGTCGGAAGATTCAGAAATCTTGTTCAAACAACTGTGGTGCCTTCAAAAGTAAGAATTCATTTAAGATTTTTTCAAGTACTAATAGCAGACAACAAATTAGTTCTTGAAATAAAAATTTAAAGCTAAACTTTATATGATAAACAAATATCAGAGGATAAGAAAATACAAAATGAAGCCAAAAAGAGCAAAAATAAGAAGAAAATGGGATTAGTAAAGAAAATTGAGTCGTTCATTATGTTTTCGTTAACCACTGCATTGCATAGAGCGCCTTAACCACTGCACTGCACAGGTCATGCCTGTAGGCGTTCAACGGGTGGTGCACAACGCGCCTCAGGGATCTCATAGGTATAGCGTATGATTCAAAACTCCCACGGCTACATGGGGTTCACATCAGTTTCCTCAGGGCTCTTGTAAACAGACACCATTTAAAAAAAAAATCGTGGGCAACATTCCCGGGTGTGAAGGCCTCAGTACTGAGTGAGCAACCAAGGCTGGCACACCCAACATAAGCTCACAGCACTGCTGTTCAGCTTGTGACCACAGCATTGCCTAATAATGTCTAACTATATATGTAACTGGTATTATTTAGCTATGATAGTATTACAGAAGAGCCTGAGTGTGATAAAAACTGTGTACAATGTTCAAATATCAGTGAATCATGGCTGTTCAAGATGTTCACAGCGCTAGCAAGAGCACCACAGCATTATTTTGTGGTGTATTACTTTTATATGTTAATGAAGTTTTCATTATCTAATAACTTAATTTTTATCAATTTAAACATTTTTGATAAGTAAAATTTGAGTAGATTAACCACTGCACTGTTCTGCCTTAAAATATGACAGACCAGTGGTGTGCCGAAAATAAATTATTCGGAAAAAATTATCTATCCTTCCAAAAGTGTTAAATACTGTACCCCTTCCATGATCACATATATATGTTGAAAAAATTCACAAATGTACTTACTCTGGCCGCAGTGGTGTCCAGAATATGTCATGTGACATCACGGCTTGGTGTGCGCCCATTGTCTAGACTCCCGGTGGCAGTCATGCGCCAGCTTCAACAAGCGCGAGTTGCCACAAATATTTATTTGTTAATTTTTTCTGCACAATTACAAAGGCTTTATATTGTTTTTTTCTGGCTAATCGTATGTATATTGAACACGTTTACAATATTCAGGCAGTAGAACATCTGTACTGTTCCAAGGCACTGCGTTACATGTATCACAAATGTGTCCAAAAACATTGTTTATATTTACTGTTTTTCATGTTCAAATATGTACATTTATATTTTATTTACACACTATACACTATCACACACTATATACATCCCCCTATCAACACACTTAGAACTGCGTGAGTATGTGATAATCAGTGAAGCAGTCAACGGGGCATAGGGCAACTTTGCACTCAACACACCAGGTGCAGATGGTTCTTCGCTTGCGTTCCCTACGTTGCATGTTCTTGCAAACAACGCAGGCATGTTTACTCTTGTCCCGTGTGCCTGTGCCTGGCATATAACCAAGCTTGTGTACAGCAAGGTGTTCTTTACACCTGAGTCTGTAAGGAATTGCATGAGACATTGTTGCTGGAACCCCATGTGTTGCAACACAGCCTTCCACCCCATACTTCATGAGAAGTTGTGTCACTAGAGCAACACTGAATATACGTATTGGGGGTCTCTTGCCAGATTTCACGAGATCTTGAAGCAGTCCAGCACTGCAACATCAATGAGGTGGAAAAAGAATTTCTTCGTCCACTTCACAGATTTTCGCATGCACTTGACGGCACCAACCATCATGTCACATTTATCAACTAGCCGCATATTTACATTGTGGTCAATGACACAATCAGGTTTATACATTGGCAACCTTGTTGCAAAGTTCACTTTGCCACTGTCCAACATGGCACTGGTGTGAATAGTAGTCAACATATTCACCTCACGTCTGTCCCTCCAGCACACGGATAACATTTTATCACACTTTTGCAGCTGACATTCAACCACTGCAATACCAACACTGGCATTTCTCTCCTGTGGACCCTGACAGTGCCACATATGCCAGTGTTGTCGTCAAGGAGAAATCTGGTTAACAAGGAGCTTGTGTAGTAGTTGTCAGTGTACAGGATATGCCCCTTGTTCAGCAATGTTTCCATGAATGTTTTCATGACACTCCCTGAGAACCCGTGTGGATCTTGACCTGATATGTCAACATCTGTACCTGAATACAGTATCATGTCCACGACAATATCAGTTTCGCAGTCACATAGCATGGAAAAACGTGAGTCCAACCCTGTGCAGCTTTGATGGAATGTACTGCTTGAATGTCTGTCATTCTTTGAAGAGGACTAGCAATTCAACAGTGATGACATTCTGTCCTGATACAAAATAGTCATGGAACTTTCCTCTCGTATTACTAAATACCTTCCGCACCTTTCACAGTCTGTTGTGTTTGTCTTCATTAGCATTGTTTTCAAGGGGCAGGCACCTGAGAAGCAGCAGGAACCTATCACGTGACGTGTACCTGTTGAACGAGAGGGGGGGGGGTTGGAATAAGGCTGTCTTTGCTCCAATAATTCCTGATAACGTGTTTATCTGCATGCCTCGTCATCACGCACAATGCTAAAAACACATACATTTCCTCATTAGTCATGTCTTTTCAATGTGTTAAGCGAGAGGCAAGTAAAATGCCAAAGTCAATGAGGCCGTGAGCATATCTGTTCGTCTCTGCAACGAGATGGTCCATGAATTGCTGATCAAAATATGCCATAAAATAAACAATTTCAGCCATATCATCACCAGTATTGGGGAATAAGGGTGTCACACCAACATCAGTATCATCAAATGTTGGAATGTGTGGGACAAAATTCTCACAATACTGCCACACAAGTACACCAGTGGTTTTGGTGCCAACACCATGGCCAACACCAGCACGAGCACCACCAGCACGTGGGCCAACACCACGGCTCTGTCGTCTTGTACTAGAGCTGCGTATGGGTATGTCAGGAGACGAGAATGTTCTGCATAGTATAGGCCTACCACGAACACCTGATATCAAGGCATCACTGTTGTCTTTGAACTCAGGCCGTGTGACACACTGGCGCTTGCCTTGGCGAGGTGCTGGGGCAGCAAAACCCTGCCTATTACACCATAGTCGCCTGTACTCGGTTTGTCAACATTGCTGGTATCGAAGCCTATGTCACTGAAGCCCGAAAATGCTCATCACATGTAGTATCACCAAATAAACTCACATAAGGTGACACATGGTGACGGTAACTCTAGAGGTGTTGACCCTGGGCAGCATGGGAGGCTGTGCAAGGCGCGTATAAAGTACACATTTGGTACATCGTCCACCTCAATGTCCCCATCACTCTAGTCTAACCCCCTGTATTAGGTCTTTTTCAGGACTGTAGTCTATGTCCCATATTTCCTCCTCTGAGAGTCATTTTGCAGGACTGTGGAGCTCAGAGACAATGCGTCAGACATGGTTGCTTCCTTGAAACCAAGGGTCCCCTGGACCCTGGGGCATGCTGGGATTTTTTTCAAAATGGTGGACGATCACTGGAGGCCTGTTGACCAGACCATACACTAGAAAGTGAAGGGACAACGACGTTTCGGTCTGTCCTAGACCATTCTCAAGTCGATCACAATCGACTTGAGAATGGTCCAGGACGGACCAAAACGTCGTCGTCTCTTCACTTTCTAGTGTGTGGTCTGGTCAACATATTTTAGCCACGTTATTATGACTCATCTTTGCACTGGAAGCCTCAGGCATCCATTTCATACCTGTGTCACTACGTGCCAGTTTTGAATCGTACGCTATACCTATGAGCGCCATGAGGCTCATTGCGCACCACCGACCTAACACCTCAAGGTGCGTTGCACAGTGCAGTAGTTAAACATAAATTCATTAATATAATTTAGCTTATACAAGGAAGTAATCATTTCATCCCAAGATAATATTCATTCTTTCAACAACTGTAATCTATACTCTAATATTATTTGAATAAATCACAAACAGAAACGTCGATTGGATATTAGTGGGCTCGTATCAAGTAGTAGTGGACGAGACCACGAAGGAGTCGGTAAAAACCAGATTCAGTTTCCTCGCAGTGATGGCTTATATGCAGACTTACCACCAGAGCAGCATGGTCATGGAGGAGCACATCACTCCATGTTCTCCTCTCTCTTATCTTCAAAACTTGGATTACCACTACCAAATCCAGCACCAGAGGTAGGTCAGGTTATTTAAATATTTGAGTTCTTTACCTGCCCTAATGTAAGTATGGTATAGATTGACTGGCAGTAAAATGAAATAATAATGAAGCCCCTTTCTACAACTCAACTTAATACCTGAGCCTTCAAAGCATATTTTCAGCATTGTCACTTTCTAATCTGTACCTTTACAAGCTGTTGCTATTTCCTCAGGTTGAACTTGCACCTCCAGAACCTGTAGCTCCTGAAGTACCTGCTCATCTTCAAGTGTCTGTGGATCCAGATGAGCCTAAGAAAAAGAAGTATGCCAAGGAAGCCTGGCCGGGCAAGAAACCTACTCCATCTCTTCTTGTGTAGTAAAACATAATTGAAATGGTAAAAAGATGCAGATTGACTTGAAAGCTACCGTAATTTTTATAAAATATTTTATCGATGAAAAAATAAGCCCTAGCATTTTGTGGGAGCTTTTTTGATCTTTATATATATATATATATTTGTATTTTTCTAGTGTCTGTTATTGAATTAAACTAATGACAGTATCTTGATAGCTTTAGCTTAAGATGAGTGTTCCAGAACTAGAGTGTAGTAACAAATCAAGTCCTGATCAGGTTAAAACTATGGTGCCCATCTTGGTCAGCTTTCCTGAACTTGAACAATGAGCACTAGGTCAGTATGTTGTGTTTCTCATACATGGAGTGTCAGAGTTAATAAATATAATGTAAGATGTACTCATGAGTGAATGTTGCATTATCATTTTCATCTTCATACATACTTGCAATTGTTCATACTGTAATATTGTTATCGGTAATTTTAAGTCGAATTAATGCAATAGATATATAATTGATAATTGAATAAATATTTGTATTTATCGACAATCATGAATTATTCCTATAAACTAAAATTATATAAGATTTAAAACTTCTGTAAGCATGGATAAGGGATTGTAACTTATTTCTGCAGTTACTGATCTATATGTTCCTAGACAACATGTCAGTGATGCTCAAAAGGAAACTGGCCAACTCTTTCATATGCAAAGGTAATTTTGAGAATATGGTGTGGCACCATCTGCAGTAAATATGTCCATATTGCAACAGGTCTAATGAATAGTGGCAATAACTTTTTGGAAGATGGTATTAGTCTTCTAATTCTGATTATTTAATCAAATAAATTAATGCATATCCTTACAATTCTGACTGAACTGAACAGGTGTAGCGACCACAGTGTACTGGGGAGTACCTGATTGAAGAAGGGTTATTGAACTCGAGGAGGGGAACTGAAAACAAAAGGCTGGCATTCCGAAAGGGAAACTATGAGGAGATAAAAAAATTCCTAACAGATATAGCATGGGAACAGAGCTCAGGGGAAAGACGGCCCAAGACATGACGAACTACATCACGCAGAAGTGCAAGGAAGCAGCAAACAAGTTTGTTCCAGTCCAAAAGGAAAACAGTGAAATGAAGATGAGAAACCCATGGTTTAATCAGAGATGTAGGCTAGCTAAGCAGCAAAGTAAAAGAGCATGGAGAAACTATAGGAATAACAGGACACTTGAGAGTAGAGAAAGATACCAGAGTGCCAGGAATGAATATGTCAGGATGAGAAGAGAGGCAGAAAGACAATACGAAAATGACATCGCAAGCAAGGCAAAGACTCAGCCTAAATTGCTGCACAGCCACATCAGGAGAAAAACAACAGTAAAAGTTATGAAATTAAGTTTAGGGGCAGAAGGATTCACTTCAAACGACAAGGAAGTGTGCGAGGAACTGAATAAGAAATTCCAGGAGGTCTTTACCTTAAAGCAAGGAGAATTTCCAGAGATAAGAGAGGGAATAGTTAACTAGGAACCACTGGAAGAGTTTGAGATTACTAGCGGGGAAGTAAGGAAGTGTTTACTAGAGTTGCATGTGACAAAGGCTATAGGTTCAGATGGAATCTCGCCTTGAATACTAAAGGAAGGAGCAGAAGAACTGTGCTTGCCACTCTCCATAGTGTATAACAAATTACTGGCAACAGGGGAACTGCCAGAAATTTGGAAAGTAGCTAACGTAGTCCACGATATATAAGGGGATAGATAGGAGGCACTGAACTACAGGCCAGTGTCCCTAACCTGCATACCATGCAAGCTGATGGAGAAGATTGTGCGAAGAAAGCTAGTGGAACATCTGGAGCGAAAGAACTTTGTAACACAACATCAACATGGGTTCAGGGATGGCAAGTCCTGCCTCACAGGGTTACTTGAATTCTACGACCAGGCAAGAAAGAGAAGGGTGGGCAGACTGCATATTTTTGGATTGCCAGAAAGCCTTTGATACAGTACCACACAAGAGGCTAGTGAAAAGGCTGGAGTGAAAGGGAAGGTACTCCATTGGATGAAAAGAGTACCTAAGCAACAGGAGACAACGAGTCAATGTGAGGGGGGAGGTCTCAGATTGGCGAGACGTTACAAATGGAGTCCTGCAGGGGTCAGTCCTTGGACCTATACTGTTTCTGATATATATAAATGATCTCCCAGAGGGTATAGAATCATTTCTCTCAATGTTTGCCGATGATGCAAAAATTATGAGGAGGATTGAAACAGAGGAAGATAGTAGGAGGCTACAAGATGACCTAGACAGAGTGAATGGTCCAACAAATGTCTGTTGAAGTTCAACCCGAGTAAATGCAAAGTAGTGAAACTAGGCGGTGGAAACAGGAGGCCAGACACAGGATACAGAACAGGAGATGAAGTACTTAATGAAACGGACAGAGAGAAAGATCTAGGAGTTATCACACCAAACCTGTCTCCTGAAGCCCACATAAAAAGAATAACGTCTGCGGCATATGCGAGGCTGGCTAACATCAGAACAGCCTTTACGAACCTGTGTAAGGAATCATTCAGAATCTTGTATACCACATATGTAAGACCCATCCTGGAGTATGCAGCCCCAGCATGGAGCCCGTACCTTGTCAAGCACAAGATGAAGCTGGAAAAAGTTCAAAGGTATGCCACTAGACTAGTCCCAGAACTAAGAGGCATGAGTTACGAGGAAAGGCTGCGGGAAATGCACCTTACGACACTGGAAGACAAGACAAGAGTAAGGGGAGACATGATCACAACCAACTTTTCATTATTCTTTCTTCTTTTTTATGTTCACTGTGCATGTTTGATTTGTATTAATTTTATAGGTGGTGCTGTGGTTTCTGTTCTAGGTTCAGGATTGCACCATCGGTCCAGGTGTCGTCTTATAGTAATGTTTATTTCTGTGTTGCTATGTCCGTTGTTCACCAACACCCGAGTTATTCTTTAAAACTCCCTACTCACGTTGCTCCATTCAGAGCAGTAGGTAATGGCACGACGAATACAAGCATTGAGAATACTGTACTGCCAGTGTATCTTTGGGTGGCACTCACTCCTACCATTTAGGCATAATCCTATGTTTGTAGGCTTAATATATACCCTGGTGCTTAGTGTGTTTCCAGTTTTTGTTATTAGCACATCCAGGAATGGCAGATTGTTATTTTCACTATTTTCATGGGTAAATTGGTGTACTGACTAAATGGCTTCTTTTTAGATCAATTCTTCTGGGTCTTTTACTATGACGAATGTCATTACATAACGGCAGTATATAATTCTTTTTTGCCTACTACTGAAGACTATCTTCGATGGTTCCCACATAAAAATTAGCTAATAACACTCCTAATGGGAAGCCCATTCCTACTCCGTCTATTTGTAGATACGTTACCATGCGGACTGATGAGAGGAGCTTTTGTACATGCCTCAAGAAAGCTCTTCAGGTGTGGCTCAGGTATGTCTAATTTGGGGGTGCTCTCGTCTCTATACTCTGTCCAGAATGATTTCTATGGTGATGTCGACCAGGACGTTGGTAAATAGGGATTCGACGTCTAGTGAAGTAGCAATTCCATTGGGCTGTATAGTTTTGATTAATTCTAGGAAATCTGCCGATTGTAGACTATAGTTGCTTGAAATGTATAGAGTTAGGAGTTCGTTAAGTCTTTTTGTCAGGTGGTAGGTTAGAGTTGGCATTTGGTTGATTACTGGGCATAGTGGGTTACCTGGTTTCTCTCTTTAACATTGCTATAGGCATATCCTAAGCCATAGTCGCCTTGGAGTTTAGCAAAATGAACACTACCTTTCTCTGCGTTGATTGCAGTAATAGTTTTCTTCACTTTGCATTTAAGGTCTTCCATCTCGTATTATTTAGCCATGATAGTATTACAGAAGAGCCTGACTGTGATAAAGACTGTGTACAATGTTCAGATATCATTGAATAAATGCTGTTGATGTTCATAGCCCTAGCCACGGCACTGCCATTATTTCGTCTATCTAAAATTCTTCGAACGACTTGTGTTCCTGTACAAAATAAACATGTGGAAAATTATTCTATTTACATGATTTAGTGACCAGGATTCTGATAATAGCAGGATTGTGGCAAAAATTAGCAATGTGCAGTGTGGTGAGAGGAGTATTGTTGATGTGGGAGGGAGGGAGAAAGCATCTGCTGTGAGACTGTCATGCAGTGGCCACTATGCTGTTTAGACACCATACCATGTTAGTTATACAGTTATGGTGAATAAAACAGATACTTATGCATAATGTGTAAATAGTGTAATACCACCACAAACAGTATGGTTGGGGCCTTGAACCAGTGATGGAGGCAGCCATCAGCTGTGTGTGTACCAACCCTTCTCATTGTCTGAACTCACCATGCCAGCTTAGTTGTTATGGTGAACAAAACATGTAGATACTTTATATATAATGTGTGTAAATAGTGTAATAAAAACAATAACAGTATGGTAGGAGAGAGAATGTTGGGGAGTGGGTGTTGAAGGAGGGAGGGAGTCAGCCAGCAGTGTTACGGCCACTCTTGTTATTTTGGGCTCTCCATACTAAGTGGTTCATTATGGTGAACACATATGTAGATAGGTATATACAGTGTGTGTATACAGTACATCAAAAACACTGATCGTATAATATAATATGTCACACATATGAGCCCCACAATTTTGAGCATAGCGATGTTCCAGACAATGAACTACTGTATATAAATTGCACACTTTAATATTATTACATAAAAAAACCCAGAGAAGAAAAGATGGATGAGAAAAAATTGTGGAACATTATATTCACGAAAACTGTCACCCCACGGGATGGCAGGGCCTAGTGACCTTGACTCTCCATCGCTCATAATTTACTCAACTTCCCAGTTCCATCACGGCTAAAGTATGTCGCATACAATTTTTTTTTTAGTTTCCGGTGATCAGAGACTACATTTTAACAATATTAGAGAAAAGAATTTCAGAAAGAATTTATTTTTGGCACACCATGTGGGTGTAATTTTAATGCAGAGCAGTGCAGTGGTTAAGGCATGGCAATTAACTACGAATCTGCAACACAATTACCTCAGTTCAAGTACTTATGTCAGTAATTAGTATATACATCAACATATTAACAAATGCCAAGCTGGACAGAATGCCTTGACTGGCTAGTCGAAAGGCAAGATTTAAAGTTATGAAATGGATGTAGCCTTTCAAAACGATTTTGCCACTATTGTTTATACTTGCAGGCATTTGCTTCTACAGCTGACTTGTACAGCATGAGGAATACATCTAGTGAGGTTTACAGTACTTATTTTGTATCTTTAGGGAAATTCCTTATCAACTCTACTTTCAGAAATTAGTCCCACGAGAAGATAACCAAGAAATTAGACATTTTAAATTAACTGGGCATTTAGTTCCACCATACAAAGAATGAAAACCAATATAGTACTATTAATCTGTTAGTAAATTCCCCATAAAGGTAAGGAAGTAAAAAAATATTGTACATTACTTTTATTTATTTCATTATAAAACAATATTCAAACTTACATAAACAAATTCACCAGTCCATTCTTTACATAGTTTACATGCATACAAATATCCCAAAGTGATTTTTTACATCTTTTACACTCGTACAAATGTGACAGGCAAGGATCCCAGAGTGAGCGTGGTCTAACATCAGGAATGCATGATCTAAATTTGTAATAAATTGCCCAAGTTTGATTGAGAAACTGCATCATTTAGGCCTTCAGATTTGTCCAGATCTAAAGAACAATTTTATATTAAATGTCACTGATTAATAGAGAAGGCAATATGAGAATTAATCCGATTTCCCTTTCTTCGTGCGGGGAACAGTTGAATATTTGGACTTAATATTGTACCACATCATGAAAGGAACTAGAAGAGCAGGGATCATCAGTAGAGCAAAGATCATCCAATCAAACTGGAAAAGTAACATTAGTATTATTTTTGTATCCCATTTCTTAGGATGAGATGGCATCAGCCCAATACAAATGTTTATAAATACAGGGAAATATAAAAACCCAGCATTTTATGTAATGAAACAACAACTTCTGGTAGAGCCCTTGTGGCTTTCTTTAGCTATCTCACTGAGTTAATATGACAATGTGACAACACAACACTGTCAACACAAGTGACATAATATGACTCCATACAATGTGACTCCATACAAGTCACACCAGTCATGGGAGTTCTGTTTGGCTTACTGGAGACCAAAGCAATTGACATTCCGGCACTTCATCAGGAACGCATCTAGACGGTCAGTGGAGCTTCACACACTGCTGGATTCATGAAACTAAGCTGCTAAACTGCCAAGCAACTCTCCAAATTATTAAAATCAAAACAATTACCTTAGCAGCCCATCCTCCAAAGACCAAAAGTCCATTCCATACACCCACTAACCCCCCCCCCCCATTTATGAATGAAAAACGGTTTACACACGACTCGACTAATGACATCCAAACACTTCCGGAACAAGTGCTTCGCTGACGAATTTTGTTCGAATCACAACGCTGTAAATGCTTCACTGATGTACTACAAATAATCGCCAACAGAACCTAAATGCCTTATCTAAATAAGTACAATATAGTAATATAAAATATCGATTTATATTTGAGAAAATTCCCGTTTCGAATGAACAGCATGTTAAAACTTATGAATGCATCATTGGAGTTGACCGCTGGATGGAATGGACTTAGTCTGAGGATGGGTTGAACTCGGTACAGATTGCCGCTACCAGGCAGCCTTGAGCTCGGGCCTCCATCAGGGAGCCACTTTTTTTTAGAGCAGATAAAAACACCCCAATAAACCGATGGATCAGGAAGAGAGGGAGGAAGGGCTACCAGGACCCTACCAGTCATTTCATTACATTCAACACTGGGTTTCTGGGGAAGCCACTTGGTGGCTCCCTGTAACTAAATAACCAGAGAACAATAGAGGTACTTACTTGAGAGGTGACATGCAAGAATTTGAAAGATAAATGGCTGGGAAACATGTCCCAGGATAACACAAGACTAACGACGATATCTAAGTACAATGAAAAATTAATTACCTGGTCGTCATGATTATTAGACTGACAAAACCCGAGCCCAAATATTCAGCCAAATCTGCACACAGAAATAACACCCTAAACAAGACCAGAAGGTATGACAGGACATCCAAAATATTCCCAAGTGAAAAAAACAGTGGTACAATAGGCATGTTCAGAGAAATAATATTAAAGACCCAAGACTTTTCAACACTACACATTCTTTGGTTATAAACTGGCCAATCTCTGACAGTGTTCAAAAGAAAAAGGTAACTCCATTAAAAAATAATTGATCAAACCAAGCTGTGATTTGTTATGCTGCAAGCAGCTGCAGTGAACAGCCTGGTTGACCAGACAACCAACAAGAAGGCCTGTGGCCTTCATTGTCCCTGTGGCCCGGTCATAGACCAGGCCACAGCATCGGATAGGTTGCTTGCATCTCTATCATTGCATTATCCCTCAGTTTCAGTTAATAGCTGTTCTTATCAGTTTTTTTTTAAATTTAGATAAAATCCATTTCTTAACATATTGGGATGAAAATTTAATGATGCTGATGTCAAATAATGAGAGATTTGTATGACATTTTCAAGTAATTTTCATATTATTCAAATATTTTTTTTGGTTTCCTGGCCCCTTAACATACACACCCATTGGATTCTTTCTCCACTTAATATACTTTAAATAACATTTACCATTCTCCCATGAATGTAGAAGTTTACCATCTTAGAACTACTGGACTGCCATTTAGCCTATGCTCCCTACTACTTTCTTGTGCACTAATAATATTTAGTCCCCTTTTGTACCAACCATGTACATCATGGTAATTTCCTTTCCTACCTTCAGACTAATATAAACTTTAACACAGTATAATATACAATCTTGGCAAACTCTCTGCTCCCCATACATTTCTCCTATTTACATTCCTTACAGTATTCTCTAACACCACAAATACACCAGTCTATCCCATTTTTATTTCTAAAATTCAGTCATGCTCTATTAAGCCACACCAGCAACTACTCACAGCCATACTAAATGTTACATACTACTGCATCTTCAGGCTCCTATTATTTTTTTTCATACTCGTTTCTGTTGCACCAGCCACTTCACTTCCCCTACTTCCGATACTCTACTTCAGCACAACTTCCTCATCAATTACAGGGCACAAAATTCTCAGAGGAATTGACAGGGTTATCTCGAGATGATTTCGGGGCTTTAGTGTCCCCGCGGCCCGGTCCTCGACCAGGCCTCCACCCCCCAGGAAGCAGCCCGTGACAGCTGACTAACACCCAGGTACCTATTTTACTTCTAGGTAACAGGGGCATTGGGTGAAAGAAACCCTACCCATTGTTTCTCGCCGGCGCCCGGGATCAAACCTGGGACCACAAGATCACAAGTCCAGCGTGCTGTCCGCTCGGCCGACCGGCTCCCATAGATAGATAAAGATAAACTGTTTAACACGGATGGTACAAGAACAAGGGGACACAGGTGGAAGCCGAGTACCCAAATGAGCCACAGACACATTAGAAAGAACTTTCAGTGTCAGTAGTTAACAGGTGGAATGCATTAGGCAGTGATGTGGTGGAGGCTGACTCCATACACAGTTTCAAATGTAGATATGATAGAGCCCAGTAGGCTCAGGAATCTGTACATCAGTTGATTGACAGTTGAGGGGCGGGACCAAAGAGCCAGAGCTCAACCCCCGCAAGCACAATTAGGAGAGTACAGGCATTTAGGTTGATCAGCCATATAGATGACTTCAACTTTACTCATATTTCATGCAAAATTTTATTTTCTTAACCATCATTACTTCAAGGGTGCATTCACTTTTACCAGCCTTCTATATATTAATATTTAAATAATCTACATATTGTATACAATGTATCTTATTTTCACACAAAGTTCTTCATCTGTATTTAATACCTAGTTAAATTTACAGTTGTCATAGACTCGAATATTTAAACTTAAAAGATTTACAAAGTGATTACTTACAACATGAGGTGAAAACTTCCTGTCATAGTCACGGAAAGCAATGATTCCTCCCTCACCAGGCTCCGAGGTATATCCAATCTGGATCTATAACAAGCAGAAAATTTGTCATGCACAAATATATTTACAAAAGGTGACATATAAACATTTCTTAATTCTATGCTTCCAAACAGACATTAGGTACAGTGACACCAAGGCTTATGAATGTCCCTCTTTACAAACTTTTCGGGTTATGAGCCCAATTTTTTCGTAAAATCCGAATCGGGTTACGAACTTCGCCTCGGGCAATGTACTTAGTTTGTTGATACGCGTATGGCTGACCTAGCATGTGGTGGCACGGCAACTGTGCCTCTGTTTACTAGTGCCTCTTGCCTAGCACTTAAGCTTAAGGGCTCCCTACCTCAGGTGGGGTGAAGGATGTTCCCCGAGCACGGGGGGGGGGGGGGGGGAATAGTAGGCGACATATTTTGGGTGCAATAGACCGAGGAAGTCTGGCAAAAAGTGGGCGTTGACAGAGTGGTCGTCAGAGCCGGTCAGCGTCACCCGAGCTGACAGGTGAGAGTTGCCACAAAGATGATATTACCTAATTATTTCAATGTGATTTTTTTCTTAGTTTTTTGCAGTATTATTCAATAGTGTGTAGTGTGATATATTTATATAATAAAAGAGGTGAATCATCGCTATGCTCAAAAGTATGGCGTGCATATTAGTGATTCAATTATTATGTTCATAAAACAATAAACAAATAGTTTTGCTGTTATTACACACTATACACAGGTTATATATAAGTATCTGCATGTTTTGATCACCATAACGAACCACCAAGTTGGTATTATGAGGCTTAAAGCAACGAGGCGTGACCGCCACACACTAGCCAGCCACTCGTTGCCGCCACCGTCACCCAAATGGTTCCTCCCAACAATCCTTTTGCTGTTATTACACGAATACACACATTATATAGAAGTATGTGTGTGTTCACCATAGAGAACCACTGAGCTGGTATGGTGAATGCAGATAATAACAGGTGGCCACACAGTCAGTAGACGATGCTATCTCCCTCCGTCCCTCAGCATCACTCCTCCCACAGTGCTAATTATCACAACAATGCTGCTATTATCACAATCCTGGTCATTATCAGTCAGGGGTCCTCTGTAATATTGTCATCGCAAAATAATAGCAGTTATATATTTATTTTGACATTTTTCGGCGATGCTGTGGCCACAAGCTGAACAGCAATGCTGTTCGCTCATGCTGTGCGCGCCAGCCTTGGTTGCTCCAACAGTACTGTGCCTTTCACACCGGAGAATATTGCCCACGATTTTTAAAAATGGCTTCTGTTTACAAGAGCCCTGAGGAAGCTAATGTGAACCCCATGTAGCCTCGGGCCATTTGAATCGTGCCTGGCACCCTATGGCATATATATATACGCCATGCGCAGTTTAAGGGCTAGTGACAATCACGATTGAATTAAACAAATCCACAAGGGCTTTGATGAGGGTTCGAACTTATGCCTGGGATGATCCCAGACGCTGCCTTAGTTGACTAGGCCACAACATGGAAAAAGAGGGGGTTCCATTGACTTCACACAGATCCTGCAGCCTCTCCAAGACAAACCAGGGTTTTACACAATTCCCCCCATGCACTCAGGCTCTGCCAACAAGCTGTTCTACCTCTTCGCCCTCACTTCAATACGCACAGAAATCACAATAGCATGATGCATCAAATGAATACACAAATCCTTGTGGATTTGTTCATTTGATGCATCACGCTATTGTGATTTCTGTGTGCACGCTTGAATTCTTTGTAAAGAATTTTAGTATTTTTCATATTTTTAGGTATTTGAACATCCTAGTTATTATTATACATCTTGCCATGGGTCCCAAGAAAGCCCAAGACTAGCTAGGCAGTACAACAAATCTGTCAACAATATGCACTAATTGCCAAGAAAAATGACATTATGAGTGCTAAAGTAGCAATTTATATTATATTCATACTTAGTATGAATATAATGATTAAGTTTGGCTAGCCGTAAGATGAATTATGTATACCAGTACTGTACACAAGTAAAGGTTATTATAGTAATGTAATTTGATCATGCATAGGATCCGGTGTAAAGTTTAATACTACCTTGTGTTACCATGTGTTTATTTCAGGGATCAACATCCCTGTGGCCCAGTCACAGCCTGATGTATGAGTCACAGTCTGGATGATCAGGTACAGTATTAAAATGTGCTCAATGTCCAAATTATAAAAGTTCCAAATGTAAATTGAAATCCAGAATTCTTACCCATCCCCAGTTTCACTTACTATCATTGACATTTTGTACCTGTACCTGGATCGTACCTGAGAATTCTTTACTTCCCAAGCACGGCCTGGGACCAGGCTCGACTTGTGAGAGCTTGGTCTGACAGACTGTTGCTTGGAGCGACCCACAGGGCCACATATCCACAACAGCCTGGCTGGTCTGGGTGTTTTGTTCTGTAATACAGCATTTTCACTTCTATATTTGTCTAATAAATGCATATTTCTTTACTGTACCTCTACTGAATCTTCAGATGGCTGGTAAGACACCTCAGCTGCTGTGAAGTTGAAATAACCATACTTCTTGGGCTTCACAACAACAGTATGAGACACATTAGCATTAGGAGCAATCCGATCAAACTTCACTTGTAATTGACCACCAGCAATATCAAAATCTTCGGTACTGTGGAAAAATTACAATATTTTAAAATTTATATTAACTTTACAAAAATTTTAGTTCATACTGTGCTATAAAAATATACAAAGATGTTAAAAAACACAGCTGCTTTATGCCAAAGTTGCTGGGGTTAGGAATATTAAACTGAGCACAATAGGCTAGCTGTTTGTAGTTAATTTTACCAAATCAGTCACCAGCAGGCTAGTAACTTTTGTTTACACTAGAGGAAAGATCTTAAAAGGAATAATATAAATTTGTGGTGGAAGTGTTACATAAAGCATCAGGGTTTCTATAAGAGAGAATTGGTTTGAAAGTACTGTAACTAAACATCTAAAAACATGCAAAATGAAACAAATGCACAGGTAAATATTTAAGTGCACTAAAATGAAGAAAGAAAGTTCAGCCATAACTGTACTGATCAAATTTTTAAAGTTATATAATACAGGATAACTATTTAAAGTGCAGTCATTTCAAACATTAATACACTGCTGTCAAATTTTAATATAAACTGCTAAATAACTAATGCTTTATCTTAACCTTGTCATCATGAATCTTGTGATTTTACAAATCATGGGGAAAATATTTACCTAAAACCAGCATCCGTGAGCTGAACGTTGATTGCAGCAGCCTGCCCAACATTATGAACCGAATACTGCACAACAATGTCCCTCCCTTCCACCAAGTATAAATTATGGACCCGTTTAGCAGCTAATAATCTTGCTCTCTCTTCTCCTTCACCGTCAGAGGAGACGCATCCCACAAAAGCCAGCGCCAAAATTGCATAGTATAACACTGCAAGAAAAATGCCCATCAATCAATTCCTCACATACAATGTACAGTATAATTTTTTCTAAACATTGTACTGCACTTCAAATATTTTAATTAATGTATCTTGATATTAAAGACTATAAATATTAAATACTAAAATTCATGCAGCAAGATGTTGCAACTATTACTGGGATTCTAAAATGTTTAAGCTTGTATACTGATCACAGGTTTCACTGCACGGCAAAAATAAACGAGCAAGTATGTAAAAGGATTTAATTATAATTCATGTTATCAATACTGTACATTATACACAAATTTGCCTGCATCACAAAACATAGCCACTTTAAATATTTATGTACAGTACTGTACTGTATTTAACCCTTAAACAGTGGTTATCGTCATATGTTGATTCACAAGGTAATGCAGTTATGGTCACAAGACGATTAAATCTGCAACTGTCGACTGCAACAGTCTCTTGCTTGCCTCACTTGCCTCTAAATCCCTCACCAATCCATGAGCATTTTATTATAACCAATACTTATGAGTTACACCAGTGGCAAACAATATTCAGATTCAGATTCAGATTCAGATGTTTATTCAGGTAAGGTATATACATACAAGTGATGTTACATTAATGGATTGATATATAGATAGAGCTAGTACATACAATGCCTAAAGCCACTATTACGCAATGCGTTTCGGGCAAGAAAAACATTAATATCTAGAACTTAATACTAATTGAGCATAAAGAATAAAAGATGTTGAGAACAAATACAAATAAAGATAAAAAAAAAAGGGGGAACATGACTGAAAAAGCAGCACAAATACAATAGGTTGACAAACAGTGTTGATTAAAAAAAAAGAAAAAAAAAGAAAATAACAGACATGGGTTGACAATAGAGGAGTGAGGTAGATTACAGGGAATTTATTAGGTAGTGTTTAGTTTTTATCTTAAACTGGTTGAGAGAGGTACAGTCTTTAACATGGTTGGGAAGGTCATTCCACATTCTGGGCCCCTTGATTTGCAGAGCATTTCTAGTTTGATTAAGACGTACTCTAGGAATATCAAAACTGTATTTATTTCTGGTGTGGTGCTCATGGGTTCTGTTACAACCTTCTATGAAGCTTTTAAGATCAGGATTGGCATTATAGTTTAGCGTTTTATATATGTATAATACACATGAGAGAATGTGCAGTGACTTAATATCTAACATATTAAGAGATTTGAGTAGGGGTACCGAGTGATGTCTGGGGCCAGAGTTGGATATTGTTCTAATAGCGGCTTTGTGTTGGGTAATTAGAGGACGTAAGTGATTTTGGGTAGTAGAACCCCAAGCACAAATACCATAGTTGAGATAAGGATAGATAAGGGAGTAATAGAGAGTCACCAGAGCAGGGCGTGGTACATAATATCTGATCTTAGAAAGAATGCCCACAGTTTTTGAAACTTTTTTTGATATATTTAGAATGTGTCCCTGGAAATTCAGCTTGTGGTCAATGAGAATGCCAAGGAATTTGCCATCTAATTTGTTACAAATTTGGGTATTGTTTATTTTGAGATTTATAAGACTAGAGGATTTACTGCCAAACAGAATATAGAAGGTTTTGTCAATGTTAAGGGTGAGTTTGTTGGCAGTTAGCTAGTTTGTTAGGCAGTAATATAGGCTCACTAGTTACTTATTAACACGAACATTTACAAGTCAAGGCTGAACACCTTACCATTTCCTGTACATTCGAAATGTTCCCAAAGCGAACGGTAGGTGGTAGAAATACACAAGAGCAGCATTTCACCAACAAACCGAAATGGTAGACACAAATATACATTACTTTCTCCGTAATCCAGAAATAATTTACTTTATCAAGGCTAAAACTCGCTAGGTATCTTAAAACTACCATTGCAGCACCACTTTTCAGAGCCTATCCCCACTAAACAAGTGACTTACTGGTGATGGGGTGTAGGGAGCAGTGTGTAGTGAGTGAGAGGGCAGCCGGAGAGTAGTGAGGAGCGAGCGTGAGGGACCGGTGCTGCCACCTGAGGCTGCCACCACTCACGCACAGTTGTCACTCTCTGGCACCCGGCGCGATGGTTCTCTTACCATAACAAATACCTCTGCCAACTCATTTATAATATATATTACTTTTAACGTTCCAGTAAACGTTATAAATATAATACAATTAAATAAATATTTACAAATTTCATATTTTGCACTGCCTTATATTAATATATAATAAATTTTGCCCGAAACCTGAATTTACCTGACACTAGGCCACACATCTATGGTTCATCCAATAAAATCAGCAGATTTCTAGATGTTACTACTGCTTGGCTTAGACTCGGTTACAAGTATCTCTGGGAATTTTCATTATCTGCTGATGTAGACCTGACCAAATGTAAACTGTGTCAACAAAATTATTAAAATTTTGATAAATATTGATAAAAATAAAATATTGATAATATTGATAAAAATGAGTTCTCTGTTGGGTTGTTTGTGGACCTGCGTAAAGCTTTTGACACTGTCAACCACCAAAACCTTCTTCTTAAATTACATCATTATGGAGTCAGAGGACACTCCCTACAATACCTCAAATCCTACCTTACTGACAGGCTCCAATATGTTTCTGTGAATAATACAATTTCTCCCACCCTACCCATCAACATTGGTGTTCCCCAGGGCAGCATACTTGGCCCTCTCCTCTTTCTCATCTACATTAATGACCTTCCAAATGCCTCCCAACACCTCAAACCAATTCTATTTGCTGACGACACAACCTTCATTTACTCCAGTCCTGATCCCCTTGCTCTAAATGCCACAGTAAATGCTGAGCTAAATAAAGTCCATCTGTGGCTAACTGCCAACAAACTCACCCTTAACATTGACAAAACCTTTTATATTCTGTTTGGCAATAAATCCTCTAATCAAATAAATCTCAAAATAAACAATACCCAAATTTGTAACAAATTAGATGGCAAATTCCTTGGCATTCTCATTGACCACAAGCTTAATTTCCAGGGACACATTCTAAACATATCAAAAAAAGTTTCAAAAACTGTGGGCATTCTTTCTAAGATCAGATATTATGTACCACGCCCTGCCCTGGTGACTCTCTATTACTCCCTTATCTATCCATATCTCAACTATGGTATTTGTGCTTGGGGCTCTACTACCCAAAATCACTTACGTCCTCTAATTACTCAACACAAAGCTGCTATTAGGACAATATCCAATTCTGGCCCCAGACATCACTCGGTACCCCTACTTAAATCTCTGAATATGTTAGACATTAAGTCACTGCACATTCTCTCATGTGTATTATACATATATAACACGCTAAACTATAATGCCAATCCTGATCTCAAAAGCTTCATAGAAGGTTGTATCAGAACCCATGAGCATCACACCAGAAATAAATACAGTTTTGATATTCCTAGAGTACGACTTAATCAAACTATAAATGCTCTACAAATCAAGGGGCCCAGAATGTGGAATGACCTTCCCAACCATGTTAAAGACTGTACCTCTCTCAACCAGTTTAAGTTAAAAGCGAAGCTATACCTAATAAACTGTCAACCATATTTAATAAATCAATAGAGTCAGGCAGAGTGCCAGAGTTTTGGAAAGTTGCTAATGTGATACCAGTTTTTAAGAAAGGAGATAGATCACTTGCGTCTAACTATCGACCAATTAGCCTAACGTCTATTGTGGGAAAGTTACTCGAATCTATAATAGCAAATAAAATTCGTCTTCATCTTGAAAAACATAAATTAATAATTGAGTCGCAACATGGTTTTATAAATGGCCGTTCATGTTTAACAAATTTGTTATCTTTTTATTCTAGCATTGTTGAGGCAGTTGATAGTGGTAAGGATTGCGATGTTGTATACCTTGACTTTAGCAAAGCTTTTGATACAGTGCCACATGAAAGACTGATTAAAAAAATAGAGTCTCATGGTATTGGGGGTGCTATATTAAGCTGGATTAGGGCATGGCTATACCAAAGGAAACAGAGAGTTAGTATAAATGGAATCAAGTCAGAGTGGGAAAATGTTGTAAGTGGAGTGCCTCAAGGCTCTGTCCTGGGACCTCTGTTGTTTATAATATATATAAATGATTTAGATTCAGGTTTGAGTAGCAACATTTGCAAATTTGCCGATGATACGAAAATCGGTAGGGAAATTAATTCGGAGGAGGACTCACTATCACTTCAAGTTGATCTAGATAGGGTTTTGAAATGGTCAAAGGATTGGCAGATGCAGTTTAATGCTGATAAATGTAAAGTTCTGAGGTTAGGTAATGATGATAGAGTTACAAGATACGAGCTAGATGGTGTTGTGATTGCGAAGTCGGATTGCGAAAGGGATCTGGGAGTTATGATTAGTAAGAATTTAAAACAAAAGGATCAATGCATAAATGTTCGTAATAAGGCAAATCGGACACTTGGATTTATTAATCGCAGCGTTAGTAACAAGACACCTGGTGTGGTTCTCAAGCTATATCTTGCTCTAGTTAGGCCCCATTTAGATTATGCAGTTCAGTTTTGGTCGCCATATTATAGAATGGATATAAATTCACTTGAACGTGTCCAGCGTAGGATGACTAAGTTAATTCCCCAAATTAGAAATCTTTCATATGAAGAAAGATTAACAAAGCTTAAGTTGCATTCACTGGAAAGGCGAAGAGTTAGGGGTGACATGATAGAGGTTTACAAGTGGATGAATGGACATAACCGGGGGGATATTAATAGGGTATTAAAAGTATCAACACAGGACAGAACACGAAACAATGGATATAAATTGGATAAGTTTAGATTTAGGAAAGACTTGGGTAAATACTGGTTCAGTAACAGGGTTGTTGATTTGTGGAACCAATTGCCGCGTAACATTGTGGAGGTGGGGTCCCTCGATTGTTTCAAGCACGGGTTGGACAAGTATATGAGTGGGATTGGGTGGTTATAGAATAGGAGCTGCCTCGTATGGGCCAATAGGCCTTCTGCAGTTACCTTTGTTCTTATGTTCTTATGTTCTTATGTAATAAATTCCCTGTAACCTACCTTACCCTTCTATTGTCAACCAATGTCTGTTTTTTTCTTTAAAGAGCGCTGTTTGTCGACATAATTGTATTTGTGCTGCTTCTTCATCTATGTTTTCATTTCTTGTTTTCATTCTACTCATTATGCTCAATTAGTATAAAGCTTGTCATTTAAGTTTATCATGCCCGAAACGCTTTGCGTAATAGTGGCTTTAGGCATTGTATGTACTAGCTATACCTATAAGTTAAACAATCCTTGTAAATATTTATTGTATGTATGTACCTTACCTAAATAAAATTGTATTGTATTCGCACACCCTCCGTCACTATGTGATGGAGTGCGAAAAGATACGTGAATTCAGAGACAATTCTATAACCAATGTTCCAACGATGTGTAAATATTTCATTCAAAATGATCTGCTACCAGAAACTTTAACCAAATATCCCCAGTTTGCTAACTGTAGGTGGTAACTGAGTGATTGTAACCTATCCACCGCTGCCCACTGGATGGGGGGCGGTGTGCAGGACAAACATATCAATTGTGACACTAGCTCTCCACATATGTCAGTTGCTTAATTTAGAAACTGTACTTGTGGTCGATCTCGAACCCATTGTTGATGTGACGACTTATACTGAATTTTGTAAGTAGCTCACCAAGATTGTAACTGACTTAGCTAAATGAATTGTGGGGTTCAGTCCCTGAGCCCATTATGTGCCTCTGTAACCCTTTCCACTACCGCCCACAAGATGGGTATGGGGTGCATGATAAATGAACTAAACTAACTAACGAGGCCACTGTACGAGTAAACATTATACTCGCTCCAACCTCTCATTACATTTATGACAAACTCAATTAGCACTAATTGCGAAGCTATAATCTTTTCCCTAATTACAGGTAACATTTTTTCCATCCTATGGGAGGAAGCTGAGGTGTAGTCCAATAATATAAGCATCGAGAAGCAAGTAGCCAACCCGATCACGCAGGGTGCAGTCGCACCTCCACAGATCTACAGTATCATCTACTGATACTGGTTATGGCTCAAAAGGGCCACCACTTACGGACTATTCATGCCCGTGCCACCTTTTGGATGGCTTAATCTTCATCAATCAATCAATCAGTAGCCAACCCACGGGGGAGACATCTCCCGTCACGCAGGGTGCAGTCGCCCCTCCACAGATCTCCAGTATCAGCTCTTGATATTGGTAATGGCTCAAAAGGGCGACCACTTACGGGCTATTCATGCCCGTGCCACCTTTTGGGTGGCTTAATCTTCATCAATAAATCAGTAGCCAACCACCATAGCCCGTGCTACTTGCCCCGCTCCTGTGCCAGGTAAGTTACGGGGTTGCAATCATAGCCCGTGCTACTTGGAACTTATTTCGAGTAGCTGAATCTATAACAACAAGTAGCCAACAGTACAATTTCCACAGTGATTCAGGTAACTTCAGTACAGATGCTTCGGATTCACCACATCTCTTCAACCTCAAAACTGTAGCACTCGGCGTGTATAGTTCTTACCGACCGAAGACGCTACGCTGCCGACTCAAGCACCTTCCTTGCGCATGTAGAACAGGACCTACAGCTTGCGTTTCCGACTTTTCGACGCCACCAAGACAATTCAGCTCTAACATTGATTCCCTCGTTGTCCTAACTACGTGCCTACATTACCTCCTATGGTTCTGGTGCCTGAGCCTATCCGCCCCGGATCTAAATGCTCCACTAGACCCAGGGCGTAACAATCGTGCACATACTTTTCTACTGCTACACCCGAGCTTGTCCACACACTGCCTGCATCTTTTGGTACCGGACTACATTGTAACACTCAGCAACACTGTAACGCTTGCTTTAAAGATTGTAAGACTAAACATATTGTATCCTAGACGATACTGATTAATACTAATATGTGTTCAGTAACACTTCCTACTAGTTGCACTTGGTAACACTGTAAAAATTGATAACGGTAAAGCCTTGAGAGTATAAGTTATTGAACACTGGTTATTTATATTTAACGTAACATTAACTGACATAGGGTGTACCACTGATGGTGACCCCCGCCGGAACCACAGGTATCCTTCCAACGAAACGCTACACAGGGAACAAATTAATTAACTACGCTGCCACAATCCTGCCTGACCATTAGCTGTATCAAACAATGAGGCAAGAAACACTGCTTGACTTTGAGAGTCCTTTCTTTTAACTGTCATTAATTACGGGCCGGTTGTTGACAAAACTATACCCAGAGGAGTTTGAAAGGTTCCATGTAATTGAAACCCATGGAAAGTTTAACATGAGTTTATTGAGAACAAAATGTGATATTCCACAACTATAAGCCCCTACTCTAACACGCAAATGTTCAGAAATCTACATGGACAATATCAAAGATCACACATGCTCGTAAAGAGGGAATTGATTACCAACTTGGACTGCCCTTGAGCAGCCTGAGGGCAGTAATATTCCGGTAACATCAACTAAATTTCGGAGACTTGAGGCAAAGTGAAATTCATACCAGTTACTCCATCTATCATCATTCTATCATGCAGGAAGTACCGCACGTCTATGGGTCATCCAGTAAGGTTAGCAGACTTCTAGATGTTACCACTGCTAGGCTTAGGCTCGGCTACACGTACCTCTGCGAATTTAGAGATACTGTAACACCATCAATAGTGTCCAAGAAATGTGTAAGTACTTCATTCATAATGATGTGCTGCCCGAAATCTTAGCGAAGTTTTCTGTGGTTGGAAGAAAACGCGCACAGAGTGGGAGACTTGTTTATTTAATAATTAATTATAATAATTAATTAATTATAATAATAAACATTAATTATGACGAAGCATAATAATTAATTATGATGAAGCATAATAACTAGTTATGGCGACTAAAATAGATAGTTTAAGTGGATAATAATTAATTATGTGACTAATAAAAATTAGTGAATAACAATTAATTAAAGAATGATTATCCTGAAATAATAATAGAGAATATAGACATTATAAAGATAGTATATAACTCAATTACAATTAATCGTTACATCTATAATTAGTAACTGAAAGTTGCATTATTTGCATCAGTCACTTAACAAAAAATTGGGCTACTCTTATTACAAATTAAATTTGCAGTCTCCGTGGTGTAGTGGTAAGACACTCGCCTGGCGTTCCGCGAGCGCTATGTCATGGGTTCGTATCCTGGCCGGGGAGGATTTAATGGGCGCAATTCCTTAACTGTAGCCTCTGTTTAACGCAACAGTAAAATGTGTACTTGGATGAAAAAACGATTCTTCGCGGCAGGGGATCGTATTCCAGGGACCGTAGGATTAAGGACTTGCCCGAAACGCTACGCGTACTATTGGCTGTACAAGAATGTAACAACTCTTGTATATATCTCAAAAAAAAAAAAAAAAAAAATTCGCTACTTTTAGACCTTCAGCTCGCTACGTTCAGCAATTTGGATCTGGCAACCCTGGTTGTATCCGTGGAGGTGGCGGGAAGTGTGGAGTAACAACACCACCACTCACCATCACCAGCACTCACCATCACCATCACCATCCTCAATACTACTCTCTATGCTCTGGCTGGCCTGCAACACCTCGTTATTATTAGGTAATTATTTCACAAATATGGGATGGTTTTATAAGTCAAATATATTATAGTTAGTCACGATACCAGTGGGTATGATAACATTGTGCGTCTTGTTTAAGATGTAAACAGTAGTACCTGTATAGGCACTTTACAAAATGTTGACAGGCCATCCTCCTTAAATGAAAGTACCAATGATAACGATGTGGTTGATAGTACAAACGTAGAAATTAGACTTGTATTATTGAATCGGGACGAACCGGCAAAGTTTTTTTTTTTTTTTTTTATTTAAGGTTATAACGAAACCTAACCTAACTATACCCTTTGCCTGAAACGCTATGCGTGCTAGTGGCTTTACAAGAATGTAAATTCAACTTAATTTCTATGTTCACTGTTAACCCCCAATATACCTTCTTGTATATAAATAACTAAATACTTCCCTGTGGTGAAGTGATAAGACAATCGTCTGGTGATTAGTGAGCACTTTGGCCTGGGTTCGTATCCTGGCCGGGGAGGATTTACTGGGCTTCAATCCATAATTGTAGCCTCTGTTTACCCAATACTAAAATGGGTACCTGGTTATTAAACGATTTGGCGGGTCATATTCGAGGAAAAATTGGAATTAAGGACCTGCCCGCTATGTGTTCTATTGGCTGTACAGGAATGTAACAACTCTTGTATATATATATAAATAAATAAATACTAGGCCTAATACATGCAATTTGAGGGCTAATAGTAATAATAATTGTCGGGGGACACGCAGCCAGGGTGTATTTATACCCGTAAGGCTTTTAACGAGTCTTCCCACCCCCCCCCCCCCAAAAAAAAAAGGTCTAATCACTGACCCTGCCCAGGATGCAACCCCCACAAGCTAACTAGCTCCTGAGTACCTAGTTACTGTTAGGTGAACAGATCCTGAGGTGATAAGAAATGTAGCCAAACATTTGTGGTCCGCCTGAGATTCGATCTTTGAATTCTCAATTTTGAGCCTGGGACAAACCCGACTGTTCTTCCGGGAACCTTATAGTATGTACAGTACAATAGAGTACAAATGTGCTATACTAGGCCTAGGAATATTTAAGTTTGGTTTTATTTCCAGACTAAAATGAATAGTATAAAATTCAACTTTTGTATTTGATCATCATAAACGTGGTCAAATCAGTCAGGGGCATGCTTGATCAAATATGTTTTCTGTTTGTTTAAACTATATGTTAGGTTAGTATATATTAGCTGTAGCTTAGACTGTATCAGATTGGGTTGGGTTAGGTTAGGTTTGGTAATGTTAGGTTGGTTTTAAAATTGGTTAACTGTCTTCGGTACATTGTGACTTGTATCCCAATTTCTTGTACACTTCCGTAGTTCAGTTGGGCTTGTTCTCGGCTCGCAATTGAAAATTCTGGGTTTGAATCCCAGGTGGGACAGAAATAATTGGGCAGGTTTCTTCTCGCCTAATGGCTCTGTTCACTAGCAGTAAATAGGTACCGGGGAGGTAATCAGCTCTTTGTAGGGCTGCATCCTGGGGAGGGTTAGTAGTTCCGCGTTGAGAGGACCTCGATATAAGCCTAACATATGTACACAGGCTGCCTGTCCCCAACAAAATGAATCAAACATAATTTGAATATTGTCATTTTACCCCACTGGTAAGGTATGTAAATGACATCACATGCATAGTATCAGTTTGACTGTTAGCTACTTTAACCCTTCAGATTATTTAGGTGAAATAAATTTCATGTATCTTTCAGACTGAGTTAGCATCACCAATCACGCAAATGTCTCGAATTGAGAAGTTGGCCATCCAGGGCATACGAAGTTTTGGTCAAGATGAAGAAAGAAAAATTGCTTTCTTTTCTCCACTTACTCTCATCCTTGGCCAGAATGGTTGTGGAAAGACTGTAAGTTACGATTTACCTCTCACATAGTTATCGGGTAAGAGTTCAAGGATGTATGCATGCCTTAATATTCCATTAACTTGCACAAACATGGACATAATGCTCTTAAATTATCATATTGGCTCTAAATAACCACATGCCTTGACTACAGAAAGGCCATGATGTGAAAAGCTAATTGTATTTTAATAATTTTGATGGGATAATTGGAAGCATACAAATGTGTGTAAAAAAAAAAATAAAAATAAAAATAAAAAATGGGTGTGTAATGAGAGCTACACTTATTGTGTTCCATCTTCCTGTGCTCTTGCCATATGATACTCTGAAACTACTAATGATTTTGGCATCCACCACCACCTCACTTGTTCCAACCATCTACCACTCTTTGCAAATAAGAACTTTGTATTATTTTTTTCTGTGGTGAGTCCCGTCAGCTTCCTGGAGCTATTGGACTGATGTATGCTATATTAGTCTGAGGCTTCAGTTACATGGAGTTCTGCCTACTGAAATCATGCACCAGGACCTGGCTCCCTCAATGAGGCACAGGGAGCAATGGCCTATGAAAACTCCACTCTTTGAGAATATATTCATGTCTGACGATGTTGGCAGACATCATCATGTCTGCCAACGACTTCTTAATCCTTAATTAAGAAGCTTGGCTTTTCGGGTCCTATGTACAGTTTGGCAAAGGGAAGACTCACTCTTGAATATGCATCCCCCAGCATGGAACCCTTACCAGAAAAAGTACGAGGAGAAACTAGAAAAGGCCCAAAGATATGCAACGAGACTCGCTCCTGACATTATATAAGATTGTAAAGGAAATTGGCAAAGTAGACAAAGCAGCATTGTTCAAAGCTAGGAACAGCAGAATGAGGGGTCATAGATGGAAACTAGAAATGTAAATGAATCGGAGACACTTGAAAGAACTTTTTTTCAGTGTTAGAGCTGTCAATAAGTGGTATAGATTAAACACGGAAATCGTTGAAGTTAATTCAACTCAAAGTTTTAAATGTAAATGTTGTATGATAAAAGTGTGAGAATAGTCATTGCATCAATCTAGGATTATTTGGAAGCGTGGGGCTTGGAGCCTAGCTCAACCCTGCAAGTACATATAGGTGGCTCCGGGGCTTAACCAAAGAGAGATCTTTCATTACACTTTGGCTTCCTGTCCCCCGACGCAATGAATTAGTGTTTATTATTTTGATTACATTAATTTTTTTTTTTACCAAAAGCGGTCATATATATGCTATATGCTACATGGTTCACCGGTTAGACTAATTTTGCCTTGTGTTTATGCATTTGATTTTTAGATTTATTGTCATGTATAATCTTTTTATTTTAGCAATTTTTGCATTATTACAAAATTTTGTGTGCTTACTGCTTATATGTTTACCTGGAATGTATGCTTTCCTGCAGACAATAATCGAGTCATTGAAATATATATCAACGGGAGAAGTGCCACCAGGTTGTGGACGAGGAGGTTCCTTTGTCCATGACCCAAAATTGGCTAGGGAAACGTCGGTAAGTAGCTTCCTTTTTATTTGGTTCTCGAGTTATACAGAATAAGGCGAATTAATTTGTACTATGATGACCAAACCACACATCAGAAGTTGGAGAAACGGTGGCATTTTGGTCCGGCTTGGACCATTATAAAGTTGTATGTGAGGGAGAAAGGAATGTTTTGTTGTTGTTTTTAGATTTGGCTTCTCGGAACAAAAAGTTCCAAGTAGCACGGTCTATGGTGAGCCCTTAGGAAGGAACAGGCAATAGATAAGGAAAGAGTGAGAGGTGAGGAGCAGGTAAATTAAAAAGTTAATTCCTAGAAGGTAAGGTAAGGTGTAAGGTAAGGAGCAGGTAAGAGAAGAAATATTGATTTGCTTACCTTTTGGACAAGCCAAAATGTTGTCGTTTCTCCATCTTCTGATGTGTGGTTTGGTCATCATATCTTCAGCCATATTATTGACTCATCGTCTGCATAAGTTGTACTGTATTTGATACCTTAGTTTATTGCTTTTTCTGGGGGGAGCCCCTTCGGCTCCCCGGAGTTATACATGGCTGATATGGATACCCTAACTATTTTGCATCAGTCGATATGGGTGGAGTTCTAGGCCTACCGGGGACCACAAGCCAGAACCTGGCTCCCCCCTCATCTCAAGATAACCCCCCCCCTCCCCTCATAGAGGCACGAGGAGCAATGGCCCATACCCAGAAAGGTAAGCGCCACAAAACAAACCCCTATTCTGGTTAACAACGAAAATCGTCAAATGAGTGGACAGAACGCCTCCAAAGAAAAAAAACGAGAAACGAGCATGATGTCACACGAGCCGCGCCGCATGTCTGTACAGCCGCATGTCTGTACAGCCGCATGTCTGTACAGCCGCATGTCTGTACAGCCGCATGTCTGTACAGCCGCATGTCTGTACAGCTGCATGTCTGTACCCCCTTCCCCCTCCCAGGGAGGGGGAAGGGGAAACCCCAGACCCTCGCACTGGCAATTTTCGCCTCGGTTCCTTGGCTGATGGGATCATGCATAGTTGTGTGGCTCCAGTTCTGGCCTTCTCAGTGCCGTTCATTGTTTTCTATGCTGCTCTTACAGTGGTCGTGAGAGCTGAGAATAATATTCTCAGGTACTCGGGCTGCATGTGCTCAGGGTCACCTTCCCCGAGTGCCCTGTAAGTACTGCCCTAGGGGCTTGGGGTTCCCTTCCAAAAGTCACCTTGGGTCTACCTCTGTTGGCATTTCGCTGCTTGGCGTTTGGCCACCCCGAGTGTGTGTGGGGGGGTTTCCACCCTTGTTTGCCTTGGGGTAAATGATAGTTGTTGCACTGGTGGGGCGTGGGGTTCTGCATAGCTAGTTTTCACCTTAACAGCAGCTGGCTATGTTCTCTTCGCATTGGCATGGTCGAGGCATCATCCGGTATATCTGGCACCCTTCCCCGACTGCGAGGCTGTCGGGGTCGATGCCTTTCTGCAGGACCGGTTAGGGGTGGGGGTTCCTGTACCTCTTCCCCCCCCTGGTTCAGCTGTTGCTCCAGGTCTTGGCTCGCTTGGAGACTTACCAGGGACGAGTAGTCCTCTTGGCCTCTTGGTGGCTGGCCCAGCCGTGGTTTCAGGCGCTGCTTTCCCGGTGTCCGAACCCTGAGGTTTTTCTGCTACTCTGCCTCTTTCAGGAGCTCAGCCTGGTCCGATACAAGACTGGTTCGCTCTTCTCCTTGAGTCTTCGCGTTTGGTGTTTTTAACTCTGGTTTATCACCATCTCTTATGGTGCTCAGGTCGCCTCCTTGGTTTACTACCTGCGGGCTTCTTCTCGGCGGCAGTATGAAGTTTCCTGGCGGTCCTTTAGTTTCTTTTTGACTCTTCGTCATTGCTCTTCTCTTACGGTTCAGGTGGTGTTGTCCTTTCTCTCTTGGTTGTTCCAGGACCGTCATCTTATGCCTAATACTGTCGTCTCGTATCGTGCGGTGCTGGCGGAGCCACTGCAGCTTGCTTTCGGTATCGATGTTACTTCTGCACCGTTTCGCAAGCTGTCTCGTGCGTTATTTCACCTCAGGCCTGCTCATGCACCCCCTGAGCCGTCCTGGTCTTTGCACAGAGTGCTCTCCTATCTATCTTCTCCTTGGTTTGTTGTGGCTCCTTCGGTTCAGGATTGTTTGGCTAAGGCTCTTTTTTCTGTTGGCATTATCCTCTGGAGGTTGGGTGGCAAAGCTTCATGTTCTACTCCAGCGCAGAGGTTTTTGCTCTTTTGGTTGTGGTCATCAGTATGTTCATCTGCAGCTGTCTCCCTCTTTTCTGCCGAAGAATGAGACTGCTGCTTTCCGGAGGGGTCCTTGGGTTGTTGATGCTTGGTTGGTCAGGCCGAGGATTCATCATGTGTTGTGTCCGGTTGCAGCCCTCCACCATTATCTGCATGCCACAGCTTCTGTCTCCGGGGACGCACTTTGGGTTGATACAGTTTCTATTCTTCCCTGTTCGTGGGTTCGGGTCTCTTAGGTCGTCAGCAGGGTCATTAAGTCTAGCCAGCCTGTGGTCTATCCCCATGCCCATGATGTTCGTAAGTTTGCTGCTCTTGCTGCCATCTTATGCAATATGGCTTGAGCTGACATTTGGGCACGGAGATTTTGGCGGTTGAACAGGGTCCTGGCTGCATGCTACCTTGTGAAAGTTCTTGGGCCCAGTTGGGTCTGTGTTGCTTTGGGTCGGCGGTTGCAGCCCGTTGTCTCGACTTCGAGTTGTGGAGTGGAGCACCGACCTCTTCCCGGATAGGTACCCTTTTTCTTATTTTGTCTTTGGTGAAGTAGCTCCGGGGAGCTGTAGGGGCTTCCCCCAGAAAACCAGCATTGAATGTAATGGAATGCCATTTTCTGGGCGAGTCCCAGAGGCTACCTGGCAACCCTCCCTCCCTCCGGTCAGCAGTTTTTCGCATTTTTTATATCCCGCCTCAGAACTGGGGTGAGGATTGCCAGCACGAGGGTCTGGGGCTCCCCCTTCCCCCTCCCGGGGAGGGGGGAGCTGCACAGACATGCGGTGCGGCTCATGTGACGTCATGCTTGTTTGCTCGTTTTTCTTTGGAGGAGTACTGTCCACTTATTTGACAATTTTCGTTGTTAACCAGAATAGGAGTTTGTTTTGTGGCGCTTACCTTTCTGGGTGCCTGTCCCCGTCGTTGGCAGAGATAGAATGCTCCACATCACATGTGCATTTCTATGGGCCATTGCTCCTCGTGCCTCTGTGAGGGGGCCAGGTTCTGGCTCATGGTCCCCGGTAGGCCTAGAACTCCACCCATATTGACTGATGCAAAATAGTTAGGGTATCCATATCAGCCATGGATAGCTCCGGGGAGCCTCCAGGACTCGCCCAGAAAAATGGCGTTTCATTACATTCAACGCTTGCTTTTTTGTATTAACCTTTACTGTATTAAAGTTATGTAATAAATAATTTATCAATTAATAATTTGGTTTATCAAACAATAGCTTATAATGTTGTTTATTTGGCCAATAGTTAATGCTTTCCTCCTTGAAATAAACATTCTATGGTAGAATAGAGTTTCTGTGTGTCTGGGATTTTATAAAATATTTGTAATGGGCACTCTTTAGGCCACTGACTTTATATCTTCGTCACTTTGTTGACATTTGGAACCAGTTCCCAATGCTTCATTAGATATGCTAGTAAATCTATTTATCGTAATCTCATTTTGGATTAAAGTAAATTCAATTTGAAATTGTAATTGAAATCTCGGTTGTTTTCTCTGCCTGTTAATCCACATGGGGGTGTGGATTAACTTTTACTCTATAACACTTTTATTGTTTTACGGTGTTTCCCTACTGTGTTGGCTTTTGCCTTTCTGGTACATAAGACTTATATTTTTAGACTTTTATTTTATTAAATGAAATACAGTAATACAGTGTACGTCTTCAGGTACGTGGGCAAATTAAACTACTTTTTCGGGATACTCGAGGACGGCAGATGGTGACAACTCGATCACTGGAAGCTACACAGAAAGCAAAGAAGTTAGAATGCAAAACTTTAGATGCTACCATTTCGAGAAAGGAACCTGATGGCACATGCAATACTATATCAAGGTGAGCTTTCTAATTAACTTTATTTCTTCACAATTAATAACACAATATGTTTCTTCTTTATTCTGCTCCTTAAAGGCCTTTCTGACACATTCTTGGTGTTTTGAAAGAATATTGCAGAACAATGTTGACCGGATTGTGTGATATACTCAAGACATAGATGGAAGTCAATGAACTGTGACCAAGCCAATGTCAACAATACCATCTCGTGCACATTTTTAGGTGGTCAATCCAGCAACTATTGGCCTACAGTGTCTGCCCAACCAAAGAATGGCGGCCAGTGCTAAACAAATGTAGAGTGCCAATAAGGCCTATGGATATGGTCCTCACAGCACTCCTCTCTCTACTACTGAAGCATTTGTTATAGAGGCTCCAAGTTACAACAGACTTCATCTGGAGGATTGCAGAATTCAACCAGCTATTACAGGAGGATGCCTACTTGTTTTTTCTTGATCTCTCGGTCTTATACCCAAGAATTCCTCGGGTAGAAGTGGCCCACTGAGTAGTAGCCTTTTTCGAGGAACGCAAGGATGAAATTGCAGATGATCTCAGATGGTGAGGGTGCCAGGGTGAGAAGATCCCTCCCCCGCACTTTCCACCCCTTTGATGGAAAGTGGCATCTTCAGACTAGAGTGCACTTCATAGACTTTCACCTGCACGCCTATGTACTGTACATGTCCTGTCACCCGGCATATCTGAGAGTTCACATAAAACGGATAACAAGTGTAGAAATGGACCTCGAGGAAGACTTGGACAACCTGTGGACTTTCGTCTGAAATAGAAGATATCTTGAAGGAACATTACGAGAAGCAGCTGAGAAGCTCTTGCTTCTGAAGAGATTAGACCTTCTACAGACCAGATGGCAGCTGATACTGCCCTCTTGGATGATACTCCCTATGACACATTCCAACAATGTTGAAAACCTATAGACATAAAATAAAAATATTATAGCAATGACTGGAGGGTGCCATGGCCTGGCCCTTAATATCTTTTCATGTGTTCGGCCATGTTTCCTAGGCTAGGACTGTTGTTCTGTGGTTAGTTTCACTTGTTGGTCCTTTAGGGATTTATAATTAATCTTAGCCTGCTGGTAAAGTCCATGGAAATCCCCAAAGGCACATAAACACCTAGGTAGAGTAACAAAAAGAAAAAATATATGGTGTTTACAAATAAATAAAACTTATAACTTGGTATTGGTAAACTTCCCACATATCCTTCAGGTCCCTTGACATAGATATAATAATAATAATAATAATCAATACTAGGAGGAGGGAGTAGAAAGATGTCCCTTCCTCATTAATTAAAAAAATGTGTGCAGTATGGGAAGAACTGCAAAGTTTTGCTGAAAAGGATCGCCCAGATAAAGCTGTAGCAGGCCATTGCATTGATCTTATTAATGACAATGTGATGTCTCACTACAGACAAGTGTTGCAAAGAAGGAGAAAACAATCTTCAATGGAATGATTTGTAGTGAGAAAATCAAGGCAAAACGTGCCAGAGAGTGCACTCCAGAGAAGTCCTCACTGCCTGATGTTATAATGGAAGGGAACTTCCCTTCCAAATAGTAACAGCTCTCCTCCCCCCCTCCTCACTGTCTTTCATACAACAACAGGAGTCATCAGTAAAGGTAAATAATAACTTGTACATACTGTACTTTTGTAGTGAAGATTTGGGTGAATTAGGTATAAAATTTACTTTGAAGTTAATTTTTTGGGGAGCCAGGAACGAATTAATTCATTTCCCATTATTTCTTATGGGGAAATTCGCTTCGATTTACAAGTTTTTGGGTTACGAACCGTCTCCAGTAATGGATTAAATTCGTAAACTGAGGTACCACTGTACTCAGGTTTGGTACAAATGAAGAATTTCAACAAAATGCAGGACATAAAACACTATCAGATCTACTCATTGAAGGAAAACAACATGTAAAATATTTAGGAATTATGATGTCTGATGAGTTGATCTGATCATTAGTGAACACAATAAAGCAAATATTGTGTCAGCCAGGAAAATGATAAGATAGATTATGAGAACGTTCAAATTCAGGGATCCCACCACAATGATAATACACACTAGAGAATATATGTCAGGGCAGTGTTACCAGGCATCAAAGGAAGGAACCCAGAGCACATGTAACCCAAAGCACCTTACCTTACCTTGAGGTTACCTTGAGGTGCTTCCGGGGCTTAGCGTCCCCGCGGCCTGGTCGTCGACTAGGCCTCCTGGTTGCTGGACTGATCACACACAACAAAGCCAAGATCACACAACAAACAGGATATAAAACACGCATGTAAAACAAAAACTAAAATATAGAACACGGTACAAAGCAAATGGCCTTCACAGGAACAAGTCCAAGGACGGCTGGCAGTGTCGTCTTAACGTATGGTACACTGTGCAGTTATCCAGGAGCCCCTATGTTTTTAGGGACCCCATACTGCCATATTGTTCATGAGAGTTTGCTTGGTAGAGTGGATAATTACTCAACCTCTTGCTGGAAAGGTCTGGGATTCAAATCCCTTTTCAAATTACATTTATATGTAATCTCGGGGGGTAGGAGTAAGCTTGCTATGTCTGAAAGAACTGGAACAAGTGTATCCAGCAGGACATAAGTGAAGGAACTGGCAAGGAAAATGACTGCGTGCAGAAGCTTGGCAACCTAGTGGTGGCACTTGTTACTATGAGTTTCACACTAAGTTTTTAATGTTTCTCTTGCTTTGTGCGATTCATTTGTGCAGTTTGGCGTTTTGAGGCATTGGTCTTTGTTAACCCTACAGTAATCTCTATAGCTTTGCTGAATTTCTAGGTGCTTACACAGTGTGGTGGCAAATTGTCACTTTGCTCATCTGTGAGGGGGGGGGGGGGGGGGGCAGGTATTGACTCTGGTCCCTGGTACGCCAAACAGAACTTCCATGTCTGATGTGACCTATTTGCATGGAGCAATCACAGTGAGCTGGGTTCAGGGAGCCGTGTTTCATTACATTCAATGCTGGTATTTTTATTTTACATTGCCAACCCTGTTGAATGAATAGTGTGCATCACTGAGTGCAAAATTTTTGGATATGCAAGTTATTTCATGTTCTCCACCATCCTACAAATTTTATTAAAATCTGTGGTCGGGTTAAAAAGTCCACTTTTTTGTGATTTGGCATGGAATGACTCGTATCTAAAATACTTGCAAAACATAAATAAATTATGTAATACTAGTATGTATTTTTTTCAGTAAATGTGCTGACTTTGAGGCTATGATGACTTCATCCTTAGGTGTTTCTAAAGCCATTCTGAATAATGTAATATTTTGTCACCAAGAAGATTCAAATTGGTAAGTGTGAGCTTCAGCTCCTGGACCCTGCTATTACAGTAATGGATTTCTTTGATGCCTTCCTAATCTAAATTTGTTTACTCTTAAAAAGTACTCTTTTTACATTTAAATATATGCATGGAATTATATGTTATTCTATATACTATGTTATTGCAGTTTTGTTTTGAACTTTACTGTCTTGGTATCTATGACTTTGGCTGGTAGGTAATTCCACAGGTTAATTACTCTATGGGTTAAAAAACACCTATTGTTTGTCCTATATTGTGGCTTGTGCTTGAGACTGTTACCCATTGTGTGTGTTACATTAAACCTTTTAAAGAAGTGGTCTGGATTAATATCTTCCAATTTGTTCAGTACAGTGGTACCTTGATCAAGTAGACTAATTGGCAATGGACCACTTTCAGTCTTCATGTGTATTGCAATTTTTTGCTAATTCTTTTGTATTTTTTACATGAAATGATAGACAACACCTTTATGTATACAGCTCAAAACTTTGGTTTCATTGGCCTTCATTATGGGTACTCAAATTGGCAAACTTCATACTATTCTCTGGCATTTAGGTCTTATTTTGTTTGTTTGGAATGTTGAGGGAATGCTTCCTGTCACTTCATTAAAGGCCAGGCTTTTGTCAGTTCCTGCAGAGAGTGGTCAAACAGGGTTATTTTATTTCTTAGTACAGTATCTTCAAAAGTTTTCCACCCTGAAGGTATTCTTCTTTGATACAAACTGTACTTTGGTGTACAGTTTGTGGCACAAAATGTATGTGTTTGTCATTTTAAAGGGTGAATTGTGTACTTGTATCCTGGCACCTCCCTAAGATTTTCAACTTGTGTCATCAGTATGATGAGCTTTGGATAATTTCTTCTAGTAGACTATTTGCTCAGGCAGGAATCAGGGTATCTGGATGTTTGGTTTCCCCAGGAGATAGGTCACATTTTCCTGTAGCAAGATCTGGCACCACCTTGCATCAGAGGTAAGTATTCCCAGGATATTCTTCCATAAATTAGCAATCAAGTGGTATAGCTCAGAAATAAGTCTCTTGAGGGTAGATGGGAAGCTCCATTATGAGCTAGCTACTCAGTTGCTCCCATTCCCTTCTATCTTTCCCTGTTTTTCCTTAGGTAAGTAGTCATGATACCCTATTCCCATGTTGGTGTTTCCTCCTGGTGGGAGTCGGTAGTAGTTGCTGGACAAACCATTTAGTGATGAATGAAAACGTTCATTGGCAGTCCTTTGGATGCAGAGCTGTGCATGGAAGGACTCTTAAGTGTAGTTCAGTGAACCTCCTGAAGGTCATTCAAGGTCTGGATTGAGGATTCTACAGTATTTTCCCAACACCAGTGTGACCAGACATTTGAGAACATTCCAGTTACTTTGCTGTGTCATGTCCACAAGCTCTGACAACATTGTCTTCTCCATAAGAGCAGCAGGATCCTGTCAAAAGAAACACGTGAATGTCTTGCTCGAAATGAAGCTTTTCTTCTACACTCAGTGGTCAGATTTATTTTTGTTTTTCTTCCAAAATATGCAGTCACTGTACAATGTAAGGAAACCCCCCTTTGTGTATTGGTTCAAAACTTTAAAATTTGTATGATATTCAAGGAAGGTCTCTATTGTTATTAAACCACATGGCTCTTGTCAGATTACATAACTTTTTTCATAATGTTATACAGACTAGACCTTGAATAATATCTAAGCTGATAAACATTAGAGAGCAGAATATAAAAGTTATATTTGGCCACACAGCCTTTTACCTCAAGGTTGACCACTAGAGTGTGTGTTTATAAGGCATCAATGACCCCATTAAGGTGGCAATGCAAGATAGTTTATTTTTCAAGCAAAGAAATTTCTGTTCAAAGATAGTTTATTTCTCAAGCAAAGAAGTTTCTGTTCAAGATTTTGCATAAGGTCACTCCTTTATGGAATATAAATAAAAATTTTGAATAATTTCCTTTAGATGAATTTGTAATTTCTTTAAGATATGTTAAAATGACATTATTTTTCAATAAATTACCCTTATATTCAGGCCACTAGACGAGGGGAAAAAGGTGAAAGAAAGGTTTGATGCCATATTCAATGCTACAAAATACATCAAATGCCTGGAGACTATTCGAAAACTACGTACAGAAATGAAAGTCAGTAAGTAACCTAATCTTTGCAGCAACATTTTACGAGTTGTGTGTAAATTACCTAAGTGTAATTACTGGACGAGAGCTGTGCTCGTGGTGTCCCGTCTTCCTAATACTGTCATATAAAACTTTGAAACTACAGACGGTTTTGGCCTCTACCACCCTTCTCACTTAGTTTGTTCCAACTGTCTACCACTCTGTTTGCAAAAGAAAACTTTCTAAGGTTTTCCGGCACCTTCATTTCCTTAACTTGAATCTGTGTCCTCTTGTTCGTGATGTTGCTGGTTTCAGGAATTCTTCCTTATCAATTTCTTCGATTCCTGTTAGAATTTTGTATGTGATCATATCGCCTATTTTTCTTCTATCTTTAGTTTTGCCATGTTTAATATCTGTAGTCTTTCCTCGTAACTCTTGTTTTTCAGTTCCGGAAGCCATTTTGTAGCATGCCGCTGTACCTTTTCCAGTTTCTTTATGTACTTCGGGAGATTTGGGCACCATACAACTGCTGCATATTCCAGTTTTGGTCTCACAAAAGTCACGAACAGTTTCTTTAGTATTTTACCATCCATATGATTAAAAACAAGTCTGAAGTTGGAAAGTGATGCATACGCTCCTCTCACAATGTTCTTTGTGTTCCTCTAGTGACAGCTTTCTGTCCAAAACCACCCCTAGGTCTTGTTCTTTATTAGAGTTCTGTAATTCCATTCCACATAATTTGTAAGTTGTGTGTGGTCTATTTTCTCTGAATCCACATTCCATAACACAACATTTATTCACATTGAATACCATTTGCCACTTTATGTTCCAAGCATTTATTTTATCTAGATCAATTTGAAGGGCATTACAATAGTCTGCACCTCCTGTCTTCCCTAGTATCTTAGCATCATCTACAAACATGTTCAAATAATTCTGTTCCTTCTGGTATGGTATGTGGAGCCGGTCGGCCGAGCGGACAGCACACTGGACTTGTGATCCTGTGGTTCCGGGTTCGATCCCAGGCGCTGGTGAGAAACAATGGGCAGAGTTTCTTTCACCCCTATGCCCCTGTTACCTAGCAGTAAAATAGGTACCTGGCTGTTAGTCAGCTGTCACGGGCTGCTTCCTGGGGGGTGGAGGCCTGGTCGAGGACCGGGCCGCGGGGACACTAAAAAGCCCCAAAATCATCTCAAGATAAGATGGTACTCTGCTAGTAACACTCCTCCAGTTAGGTACATTATCTCTGATTACTGCCCTTATCTGTCTGTCAGTTAGAAAGTTTTTCATCCACATCAGAAGTCTTCCTGTCATTCCTCCAGCATGTTCCAGTTTCCAGAACAGCCTCTTGTGGGGGACTCTGTCAAAAGCCTTTTTTTTTAGGTCCAGATAGACACAGTCAACCCAACCACCTCTTTCCTGTTTGTCTCTGTGGCTCTATCATAAAAACTAAGTAGATTTGTTACACTGGATGTTCCTGTTTGAAAACCATACTTTTTGTCTGTTATTATGTCATTACTCTGACATTTGGCTTTAGCTATTGTTTCTAGTGTTTTGACTACCACGCTTGTTAATGACACGGGTCTATAATTTAGAGATTCCTCTCGACTACAATTTTTATAGATTGGTACTATGTTTGCCTTTTTCCATATATCTGCTAAGATTCCTGTGCACAAGGATGTCTGGAATACAAATTTTAGTGGAATGCTCAGCTCAGTTGTACATTCTCGCAGCACCCAAGGTAAAACTCCATCAGGTCCAACTGCTTTATTTCTTCCTAGCCCCTTGAGTAATTTTTCCAGTTTGTCTTGAGATACCTCTATGTATTCTATAGCTTGCTCTGGAATTGGTATTGGGTCCAATTCTATGAAATCCTCATTTTGAACAAGTACACTTTGGAACTGTTCATTTAGCATTTTACACATTTGTTTCTCATTCTCAGTAGTCCTGTTCCCTGTTCTCAATCTCTGGATTTCATCCTATACATGTACAGTAGCTTGCTTTTAATGAATTTATAGAAAAGGCCTGAATCAGGTTTACATTTGTCTGCTATACCTTTCTCAAAGTTCCTTTCTCAAAGTTCCTTTCTGCCTCTCTCCTCACTGTTGTGTAATTGTTTTTTGCTTGCTTGTAGTGCTGGTATGTTTGTGGGTTAGGCCTCTTCCTATATTGAACCCATTTTCTTGTCTTTTCCTCTGGCTCTCTTACGATTTCTGTTGAACCAATCCTGTTTTCTGGTCCTGCATCTCTGTTTTGGTATGAATATTTGTGTGCCTTCATCGTATATTTCACAAAATTTGGCATTCATCTCATTTATTTCCTTGCCTAGCAACTAGTTAAATTTTTTTAAGTTCTCCATAATGTCCTCTCTTGAAATAGTTTTTTAACCATTTTAATGTCCCCATTCTCTTCTAGATTATTTGCTAAGCATATTTAATGTCCAACAGGACATGATCACTCTTTCCCAAGGGAGGAAGGTACAGTACTGGATGTCAAATATCTCTTCTTCTTTCCTGGTAATTATTAGATCCAGTACTGACTGAACAGTACTTCCCTCATTCTTGTGGCCTGCTGGCATGTTGATACAGGAATGTCTCCAGAATGAGGTTTACAAATCTGCCTGTCCAAATGTCCTCTGTTCTTGCTTCGTATGCCTCCCAGTCTATTGCTTTAAATAAAGTTGAAGTCCCTCAGTACCATCAATCATGATTAATCTTTATCTGCTTTTACTATAATCTCTCTCATGACCATTATGAGGACCTCCCATTTGTCATCCAGTTCTCCCTTTGTCCATGTGTTGCTTGCTGGTGGGCTGTAGGCATTTACGATTATCAGTTTATCATCTTGATTCCAGACCTACAATGCGATTATATCAACATCTCGAGAGTTTTTAATTATTTACTCTTTTTGCCTTCAGTGTTCTTTCACCAGCACAAACACTCCTTTACCCTTCCTAGTTTTCCTGTCACGTCTCCAAACTGAGTAGCCCCTTGGGAATATGACCTCATTTAAAATATTTTATTCAAGTTTTGTCTATTAGTGTGACTATCTGGGACCTTAGTCTGAATTATATCTTTCAGCTCCAATATTTTCGATCTCACTCCATTTATGTTGGTACATTATATACAATTTTCAGGAACATGTTCCCTTTTCTTTTGTCCTTTGCTCCCATTTCCTCTAATGATTTTGTTGCTTTGTTTTTATGTACCATTTCACTAGCTTTCCAGTCACTAACACTTTGTAGAAAAAAATAATTTCTTTCATCATTTCTGTTCCCATTTAGATGTTTTTCTTCAATGAGGTTCATTTTCAGCTTTTCGGTCTTCATTTGAGAGTTCTTGTTTTAGTGACCAAAGTTTACCATCCTCATTACACTGCAATTTCCTGGCATTTCTAAGCACTTCTATCATGTGTTTCACTCCATTAAATGTCACCCTTAAGAGGCAATTCTTGTCTTTCTCGTATCTTCCTATCCTCCTAAAGTCACTGACATTTTCCTTTGAATTTTGGCCTTCTCCTAAACCTATTATTTTCTGATTTTCATCTCTTCTGTTGCTCTGTTCAAATGAGATTATATTTCCTTTTCTAAACACCCAAAAAGTATTATGGACTTCTATCTGCAATGTTTTGTACTAGTTTACTGTTTTACATAGGCGGGACCCTCAGTCGCCTATGTATGAGGTGCGCCATTCCATGATAGTTACTCCCATCGTATACTTATGTATGTATGTATGTATTGCACCATTTAGGGGTTAAGTAGAAGGGTGAATGAGCAATGTTTGAAGGGAGGGAAGGAGAAATGGGAGAGACAGGTAGAGAGAGATGAGAGGTGTAGAAGATTGGGAGAGAATATGAAGAGGGGGCATTTGGGGAGAGTGGGGAAGAAAAGTGAAGAGGGTTGGATTGGGGGGGAATAGGAGATGAGAGGGGGGAGAGGGGATGTTTTGGGAGAAAGTTGTCGATATCGAAAGACGGGGGAGTGGGTCTATAACTAGACCCTCTCTAATTATAAATACTGTACAATTGTTTGGGTACATTGTTTTTGTTATACAGTATAGTATCCACTCGCTTCAACTACCTATACCCTGGTTGTTAAATCCAGGGCTCTATTAAATCAAGAGGTATTAAAATATTTAACTTTTTAGTCACATTTGGGAGGACAACAGGATGGATGGTGCCTTGCCCATGCCTGCTCTACCCTTGCCTGCTCTGCCCTTGCCTGCTCTGCCCTGCCCCAGGGTTGGATAGATGGATAGCTGACTAACAGGCAGGCAGCCAGGGAAGGAGGGGAGTGGGGGGTTTTTACTTGGGAAGGGCAAAGTCTTGCTCTGCTAAATCAGAGGGAAGGGCAAGGTCTTGCCCTTGAACATAAACACAAAACATCTTGCATTCATTTTGCTGTACCTATCAACTATTCAGCACCTTATTTGAAATATGTTATAGTTGACCAGGAATAGCTTCTTTGATCAGCTGCATTTTAAAATATTTTATGATGTATGTCTTTACAACTTCATTCCATTTGTAATTTTCTTTCAGAGGTAAAACATTTGCAAGAGATCCTGGTTGAGCTAAAGAAAATGAAGGATGAAGCAAATCGCAAACGTACTGACCTGAAATCTTCTGAAGACAAGCAAAAGAATATCAAAGTTGAGAAACAAGGCTTGACTTCAGAATTGGAGCCAGTAATACTCCGTCTCAAGCAAATTTCTTCCTTAGAGGGTGATATAGGACGTATAAGAGAAGAACTCAGTAAGTTTAACTATGAATGTGCTTATTATAGATGTAGTGGCATACATATCATATTTATATTTAGGAAAACTAAATGATCAGTATTGCGGTTCAGTCTAATATTCTTAGTATACAGTACATTAGTACAGTATGTGCGTATGATAAGGAATTAGTTTTATTTTGATATATACAATATGAAAGAAGAACTGTTCTCATATATTAAATTAATAAATTGGTTATTGACTTGTGTGAAGAGAATAGCCTAACTGGTGATACATTTGGGAAGCTTTGGGCTGGGCTTTGGTGATAGGAGCCATGAAAAATCTTTGCTTGGAAAAAAAAAAAATGGGGAAATTATGAAGTAGAGTAAAATAAACTGAATAGCAGTACGGGTATCCCCAAAACTGTAACCACACAATTCTGTGTTTAGAGTAATAAGATTTGCTCAGAGTTCATTGGCTTTGATTTTGCATTATGGCATCTCACTTTGTCAGGGATGTATTCCTGGAAGATCGTAACATAAAAATAAACAATGTAAATTAAAATCTGTTATCCCATAAGATTGATTATTAAAGGCGGTCCCCGACTTATAACAGGATGGATTCTGAAAAAGCATTCGTAACTTGGTTAGCCAACTAGAGTACATCTGGTTATTGGAGATAGCTCAAATATGAGTCTTGACTTTAATGCAGTGGCACCTCCAAAACTCATTTTTAGGAAAGTTTAAAGAGCCATCACTTGCACTTTTTACCCATGCTCTATGAATGAAGTTTACTGAGCAAAATCTAATGTTTGACCTGTCATATGTTAAATATATGCCAACAGAATCTTTCTTTTAACCCTTAAACCGCAAAAAAACCCATACATAAACGATTTGACATAACTGAAGTTTTTAAACTTGCACAAGAACTTTTAAATTTTTTGTGCATAATCAACTAGGCAAATTCCCCAACTTTGTCTAAATAATCACAACATAACTTAAAAAACAAGAGAATCAAAAATAATTTTAAAATTGAATATTGAAAAGTTCTGATTTTCAAATCATGATAAAAAATATAAACTATCACCAATTGTTCATTTAGTGTTATTATTCTCTCAGAATAGCATATGATCTTCATTTTCAGCATTTTAGAATATAGGTTTTCAGTATAATTTTTACTGTACTGTAATTTTTTTTTGTCAATATGGCATTTGAAATATGCGGCAAATTTAGACCCTAAAAAATTATAGCTCCAAACGTATAGGGTTTATGAAAAATCCATTCTGAAGGGATTGTAGAACATACAGCTGAGCACACAGTATGTCAAATTGGTGAGAATCAGTCAAAAACTGGAATTTTAGAAGCCACTCAAAGTTGAAGCCACTCTAGTTTCAGAGATAATTGAAGTTCAAGATATCGACAATGAATAAAAGTTGTTCTAATTCGTTAATTTTAATTGTACGTTTTAATAAACATTGTTTGGCATTCGTACTTGAACATGTGAAAGTTCGTGTTGAAATGAAGTAAAGAAAAATGTGAAAAATGTGATATGAAAAATGTGTTGAAATGAAGAAAGAAAAAATGCCCCCCTAAAAAAATATATATAGGGATAATTATAATGATTAGGGGATATGTTTAGGGTATACTTTATACAAGTGAAAAAGCCTTAATCTGGTAACTAATCAACTAAACAACCTAAAGAGAGAAAGAAAATAGTTTGAAATCTGTGAAAAATCAGCCCCCCAAAAATTCAGTCTTAAGTTCTGCGAATTGGGACCGATTTATTTGATGACTAATTTCATTCTAACTTCACATAGTTAAGGAAGGGTATGCACTCACCACGATACAAAGGTTACAACGAAATCAGATAATAAACAAAGTAGAAAAAATCTAAAATCTTAAAAAAAAGAAAAAAAAGAAAAAAAAAAAGAAAAAAAAAAAACCCTCCCAAAAAATATTTTTGGGACATTGATGAAAGTAACATACAGTATATTAACATTGGAAAATGTATTAATATGATATATAACAAAATAGAGCATAATAACATACTCATTATTATTTGTGCTATTATGTATTACTGAGCAATGCTATAAAGGCACCAGTTGCATATCCACTTTGTGGACACTTCTTACTACTATTCTTCTTCTTCTTTTGAGTGTCGGACAGGTGGTTGCATCTCTTTATTACTGCATTATCCCTCAGTTCCAGTTAATAGGAGCTGTTCTCCTTATCAACAAAACATTCTTATTTTTTGTCTAAAAAAAAATTTTAGACGAAAAAATTCGTCTAAAATCTATTTCGGAAAATATTTTGATGAAAATTTAACAACGCTGAAGCCAATAAATTGGAGATTTGTTTAACATTTTTCAGCTATTTTGACATAATTTGAATGTTTTTTCGCTTCCGGGCCCCCAATATTTGCGGTTTAAGGGTTAAAGATATTTCACCATTATCTGTTTTCTCCTATGCCTCCATTCTGAAACTATTATTTTGAAATTTCAAAGGCGCTAAGACTCCTGGTGAACGAAAATTCATCAAACTGAAAATTAATCCCAACCTTAGAGTTTTGTTTAAATTATGCTCATTGGCTTTTTCCTGACCCTAACTTCTTTGTCTAACGTTGCATCTATTTAGGAAAATCATTAAAACCTGCTTGGAGCAAGGTAGGAAATACCATTCATACCCTTCCATTTATTATGCTCTATGGGTGAGTTTACTGGACCAATTTTTTACTTTAACCTGTCATTAGATGAATATCTATGGAGGTTTTGTCGAATCAAAGTACTGCTCGGTATTAACAGCAACAAATTCATGTTGAACACATTCATATAAATGGCTGTGGCGATACTGTGGAAATATTTTATTACTTTTCTAAAGAAATATTGTTCTTGTTTTAACAAAAATTATAAAAAAATCACACTGCATTAATATATTTTTTGGAATTAAAAATTTTAGGTGGTAAACAGCATCAGCTGGAATCCTTAAGAAAAACTCAGGAAGAACTAAAAGCAACATTAACAGAACAACTATTGTGTTCTGATGAGGAATTGTACCGCATGATCCAGGACTTTCAACAAGAACTTGAGCAGAAAGAAACAGATCAAAGACGGGTAAGGGTTGTTTGTATATAACTGCAAATAATTTAATAGGTTATAATTTTGTTCATACAGTTCTTCTGATTTACATTCTGTGATCTTTTACAATCACTTTTTGGCTTGCATTCATTTTTGTAAGTATAGGATCTAAGTTGAATATCTAACAAAAATAAATGGATTTTTGGTAGTTGAAGTGGCCGAGTACAATGCAGAGCCCGTATTGGACAGACTTGCTTCAGCTTGAATAACAGTAACTCCTGAAAATATTATTGTTTAAAATGTTGTAACAAAACTGTGAATATAAACAAACAATATATAGGTCCTCTTGTCATCAATAAGGAACTTTTCAGTGAGGAGAACAAATGTTCCTTTGTTGCAGGATACATTTTTCATGTAGGAAGAGGAAAAAAACCCAAAAAGAGCTCAGGAAAGTAATTGGCTTTCCTGAGCTCCTTCCAGGAGCTAGAGAATAGCCAAGGAAAAGTTACCCCATTTTGTCCCCTCGTATAAGTCACAGTTCTGCCCGTTTCAGTAACTATTCAAGTAGCATTCAACCCACACCAAGCCCTAAAACATGCACGCATGCACAGTAAGAATTAATGTCTTGTACTAATACTATTATCATTGAAATACCTGTTTGAAATATTTCATATTTCAGTGATTTTGGGCATAATTTAAAAATAAATTATTTTCAATGACTATGCGAGTGTGATATCTAGCAATTTGTCTCGGTACTTACTGTTTTAAACCTGGTGTGCTTATTACATCTGACATTCAAGTTTTGAGACATTTTATATTGAAGTTGTGGATGGTAGTGGCTTTGACATGTTAGTTCAGTGCTTTCTACTAGTCAACTGCCTGTACATCTCTCTGACTCCTTTGTGTTTCCAGCTTCTATCAATGCCCTCTTGGCCTACCCCTCTCTCTCTTTAAATAAGCTGCCCTTGTTCACCTTGTCTTTTCCACTTGGTAGCTTGCATGTAGGAATCGTGTTTCCTCTGCTTCTTCTCTTCTCTTTAAGGTTGTGAGATTAAGTTCCCTTAACGTATTCCCATAGCTTCTTGAGTGTGCTTTGGTGGTTTAGGTTTAGTATGATGCCAGCTCCCTCAAACCTTGTTTACTAATGAACAAATCCACAAGGGCCGTGACGAGGATTTACTAGTAAGTGACTTGTTTACTAGTAAGGTGCTGGTGGTGAAGGGAGGTAGTATAGTCAATAATAATAAACACTATTATTTCTTGTGTTGCTAATTAGCACTTGCAGCTGGTGTTGAGGGTATTGCTCAATGCTGTGTGTAATGTGGGCTTTGTCCCTAGTAAAACTCTTACCAAAAATTCTTATTGGACTTGGGAAAGTCATGAGGGCCTAGAAGTAGTGAAATTGTTCTGATCTAAATGGCTCCTGGCTCAGGGAGCATACAAAGGACCACTTGTATTCTTTTTCACTACATTCAGTACCCCATTTTATACTGTTATTATAGTATCAAATGTTCAATAAATGTAAGTGAAGAGCATTAGGTTTTGTGTCACCAATTTTAAGTGTATTTTCTTACATATGTAGCCATGCTTAAATATCAGGATGATATCTAATATGAAATTCTCATTGGAGCTAGAACTCCTATAAGTTGTTATAACAGCAAGTGTAGTAGCTGTGTTGTATTTCTGGTCATGCTGACATTCAGATAGTGGGGCCAACTCTACATGCTTGGGTTCAAATTGAAATTGATGATCACAATATACCATGCATATCGTTTGTTGCAAGTGCTATTGGAAACCACCCTGAAAGATTCTTGCTAACTGTACTTACACCCTCATCCATCAACACTTTTTTCCTGTATGTTTAGAATTTTAAGTAAGCAGTATGTACAAAGAGGCAAGTAGGCTTTTTGTATGAATATTCATATTGCTTGCATAAAGATGGGCCATATAGTAATAATGAAAAAAAAAAATACTTTCAAAAAATCATGTGCATGCAGTTTAAACATTGTTTATTTCAATATTAAATTGAACTTTCAGTTAGATTCTCGAGTTTATGAACTGGAGCGGGAAGTGCAGAAAAATCAGGAGGAAGTTGCAAAAGCTGTGAGGAGGCAAGGAGAGCTGGAAGCTGCCCACAACAGACACACGAGTCACATTGATTCACGAAATAAGAAGATTACAGATATAGTTGAAGAGTTTACAATTTCTGGTATGCTAAATACTATTCTATATGACTTTCTCAATGAATTAGTAAGGCTAGAAAATGTATGTGTAATTTCCTAAGTGTGGTTAAAGATGATCATATCACTTTTTTTTTCTTCTTCTGCCTTTAAATTTGTTCATGTATAGTGCTTCCAATGTTTCCTTGTGTATATTAACTCTTGTTTGAGTATTGTCACTCCTTTTCCAGATGGTCATGGGTCTCTGAACTTTGGTGCTGAAAAAACCTATAGGCACTGTTCCAGCATAGAATGAAACCATAAATTTGCCAATTTTTTTTATATACTATACTACAAGAATGTATTGAAGCGTAAAAGATATCTATTAGAAACCTGTTAAAATAATTTTTATAAAGTAAATTTTTCTGTTATTCACAGCATTGTCTTAGGAAATAATAAGAATGATTCTTTGATACTCAAATTTCATTTCATTTGTTCTGTTTTATTTTCAAGTAGCTACACAGTCCTTGACACTGGGGTAGATACCTAGAAAGATGCATATTGGGTAATACCGGTAAATGTTTTCTGGAGACTGGTATTAAAAGTGACACTACAGTCGTTTAATGCCAAAACTTAATATGGCATCTCTAAATCATTTGAAAATTGCACCATCACATACCAAACCCAATTTCATCTGGTATATTAAGATCAGACGTTAATGGCCAGTGGTTCCCAAGGAATGAGTCATTAAACATTGGTGTCCATTTTCTAGCCTCCAGGCACTCTTGATGAAGTGAAAAAAAAGGTCAACAAATGGTAAAAAAACATCAATAATGAGTAATGACACACTGTTACCACATCTCTTAATTATATCATGTAATCTAATCATTACTGAGAAATGAGCCACTAAACATTGGTGTATCTTAGGTCTGTCACCAACCTTTCTGCATGCTATAGTCTCTGGACACTCATGCGGTCGAACATCTGGGAAACAGAAGTGTTATCGCACTTGTTGTTGCCTAAGAGTATGGAAATGCAAGATTTAATGTAGGTCATAATATACTATACATCGTTAAATTGGCAGAATTCCTTAACTACGATTGTGTCTCGGTGTCTGGAGAGCAGCTCCAGGATATTTCGATCCTGGAGCTGCTCTCATATCTCATGTGGATATGCGACAAATCTTTGGACACTGTTGTGATGACTAAACCACACATCAGAAGATGAGGAAAGGAAGACTTTTCAGTCCGTCCTGTACCATTATCAAGTCGTGTATTGATAATGACACATGACTTGATAATGGTCCAGGACGGTCTGAACATGGTTGTTCTGAACCCTCCGTTATGGACGTGGTTGGAGGGGGGCGGGGAATTCTCTACTTTGTCATACTATTCCCTGTAGGGTGCATATCCAGTGACTGTTATTGTCTTGGTTATTTTGGTTTTGTCCCTTCCCTCTAGATTGGCATTTCGTAGTTCTTCCTACCAAGTTTGTTCTGTTCTTTTTGGGCCTGTGTAAGTTTCCTTTCCTGGGAACCTACTCTGCCATGGTTATTGGTCCTTTGGGCTCAGTAATCACCTAGTTATACTCGCTATGTTATGCTTGCGGGGGTTGAGCTTTGGCTCTTTGGTCCCGTCTCTCAACCGTCAATCTACTGGTGTACAGATTCCTGAGCTTCTTGAGCTCTATCATATCTACATTTGAAACTGTGTATGGAGTCAGCCTCCACCACATCACTTACTAGTGCATTCCATTTACTGACACTGAAAAAGTTCTTTCTAATGTCTCTCTGACTCATTTGGGTACTCAGCTTCCATCTGTGTCCCCTTGTACATATACCACCCGTGTTAAATAGTCCATCCATCTCTACCCTGTCAATTTCCCTCAGAATTTTGTATGTGGTGATCATGTCTCTCCGAGCTCTTCTGTCTTCCAGCGACATGAGGTGCATTTCACGCAGCCATTCCTCGTAATTCATGCCTCGTAGTTCTGGGACTAGTTCAGTGTCCCATGCTGATTGTCCCATGACTATGCCTATTTTTGGAAGTGTTTATTTTATTTTGGTTATGGAAGCCAGTTTTTGTGGCATCGGCTGTCATTTTTGGCTGCGAGTGTTGGTCGATTTTCAAAGTGGCCCCTTTGGTCGATGCTTGTTTGCTCCAGCTGGGGGCTTTCTCATGTTCTGCCAGGGTGGCAGAAGACCGCTCTTTCCTTAGGGGTTTCTCATGTGGCTCAAGTGGTTACTTTTTTTCTGGTGTTCCTTGTTTTGTGTACTTGGGGCCAGTTGTTGCAGGTTGTGTTGTTCGATGGTTGGTCACTTTTACCCTGCCTGCCTGCAGCTTGCCTACAGTCCTGTGTTGTTTGGGCTGCCATCTGGTGGCAAACTAGTGGTGGCTTGCCACTAACAAGAGAGTGTATATTCGTATCAAGGTTGCCAGTGTTGTCCATTCAATTGCTTGTTGTGTTGCACTCATTTGTTTTTCCTCTTTCCTTCAGATTAATACTGAGGGGGGCCAGAGTCTGGTATATTACTGGCTTCCAGTTGATGCTTCTGAAAGAACCACTAGACAAAGGCTTTTCATTTCAGTGAACATGGGAATTTTAGCCTTATTTCAACCATTGTTGCGATGTGGGTCAAAACCAAAATTTACATATTTTGTTGTAATAAAAAATAAAAATTAAGGATATTTCTGATAAAGTATTTATTATAATTTAACAGATTTCATTGGCATCCAGAATTTTAAGGATGATCAAGCAGACTCTGTGTTATCTCGACTGTTAACAATTATTGAGGATGAACGTAGAGTTATTATGGCTAAAAAAGAAGACTTTGAAATGGAAGAAGCCAAAATTCAATCTGAAATTGATGGCCTAAGGTATGTGATAGCAACAGGACATTTGTAATTTGTGGTATATTAGTCCCATTTTTTGTAAATTGCCTTTCCTGGGTTTATTTAAAAACAATAATATAAACTCGCTCAAATGAACTATTGTATATCAGACTTAACCCGATTTTATATCGTGCGGTTTTTCATACCACATGGAAATAGGTAATGATTCAGATCGGTTTGTTCTCTTTACCAAATTGCTCCAAATCAAAATTATCCAGGACCATATCCTTCCCTAACCTAGTCTGAACTTGGCCAAACTAAACCTAGCCTGACATATCCTAGCCTTTCACATGCTGCTTCTGCCTCCCTCACACTTCAGCTGTCTTGTTGTATTATTCATTGTTTGTATTTTCATCCCATCAACCTATGCAAGTTATTTTATAAAGTAAAATATAGAAGGAATAATGAAATTATTGATTTTAGTACTGTAGCTATAATACAGAAATGTTATATTATGGATTAAACAAATTAGGAAGAATTCATTTATGAAACAAATTACCAAACAACTTAATAGACATGGGATCACTAGTATCTAACATAGGTTAGACATAAATATGTGAGAGTTTGGGAGGGGTATATATAGAAGCTGCCTCATATGGGCCAATAGTCCTTCTGCATTTAAATTAGTTTGTCATGTTCTTTTGTTCTTAATGCCTTATGTATCACAAATGTTTCTGTGGGGAGCCCCGTTGGCTCCCTGAAGCTATCCGAACTGATGTGTTATATTAGTTTGGGGTCATCAGTCACATGAGTTCTTACGTCTATTGGGAACCACGAGCCAGAACCTGGTCCCCTCAGAGAGGCTCAGGAAGCAATGGCCCATGAGTACTTTGCATTTAAAGTCATAATTACCATCGACCAGGGAAGGATCCAGAAAGGTAGGTGAATCAAAACGGATCATTGTCTGGTTAACCTGTGCAATCTACATCATAAAAGATCAAAATAACTCTCCTAGAAAGAAACCAAACGAGCAACCCTTCATGCAGTTAGCATTTCCGCTTATAGTGCTCGCCACTAGCCGGCACTGTTAGCTGGCATCCCACCACTCCCGTTCTTGAACTGATGGACTGGTACTGGTGGTCATTTTAGTCACCCCTGGCCTAAAGTTCCTGTTCAAGATTTTTGCCTTGTGTGGCTGTTCCAGTTGTGTGTGGTGTGGTGGCCAGGTGTCTTGGTGTACAGGAGCAGCATGTACCTGTACCTAGGCTAGGTACTCTGTGAATACTGCCCTTGTGTGTCAGGGTTATCTTCCCTGGGGCGTTCGGGAATCACTTCCCGTTTGAGGCCTTCATCACTTGTTGTTTTCCTTGGGTACGTCGGAGATCCAGGGCTTTCTGTATTGCCCCAGGTAGGGGAGTGTTATTGGCTGGGTAGGGTGCACAGCAGTTGGCGCAGCTAACTTTACTTCAACGCAGCAGCCGATGTTTCTCTCTGACAACCAGTTTGTTTGTTGTGTGTCTTCGGGTTGTTTTGTTTTCATTTTCTTTTCATTCACTGGAGTTCTCACCATGTTTAGATGGAAAAGGTCTGCTTAGCTTATTATTAGACAAGCCTAGGTTAGGTCGTGTTGGTAGTCGTCCTCTGTTTCCCCCGAGGTTTCATAGCTGTTACTAGGGGTCAGAGCACCTGCTACCTGACAGGATTCTACTGGCTTAGCTAGCCCCAGTGCCTGGGCTTCCCATAAGGCTCATTCACTCTACAGGCCCTGGAAAACCCATGTGCTCGGTCATACAATGGCTGCTTCTTCCAAGCACACTCTTGCCTTGTACAAAGTCGAAAGTTGTTCATTTCCCCTGGCTCAGGGGGGAAACAATCATTCGTACTGCCTTTGCCATGCTGCCTGTTGGGTCAGGGACACCACCGACCTGTAATCTTGCGGGCCTTGTTCCCCGCTTGTATTTCACTTTACTCATTCTTGTCTGTTGATCCCAAGGATCAGGCAGCAGCTGCATTGCATGTTCAATTCTCCTTACTGCAAAGAGCCAGGTTGCTTGCCCAGTTGGAGGCCCTGGAACTGCCCCACTTGGGTTTTAAGGAAAAAGGATTTGGGGATGTTGGTCTCTTCGACCTTGGTTCCTTCTGCACCCTTGCTTTCTTCCCATCTCTCCAGTGCAGGGGTTTCTGCTTTTTAGGTCCTGGTGGTGGGTTTGCTCAGTTGTAGCTGTCTCCTTTTTTGGCGAAGAACGAGACGACGGCTTTCAGGAGGGGGCGCTTGGGTCATTGGTGCTTGTTTGGTCAGGTTGGGGTGCAACGTGTGTTGTCCAGTTGTGCCTCTTCGCCGTTATCTGCGCGCCTCGGCCTTCGTGGCCGGGGACTCGTTTTGTGTTGATCTGGTTTCTCTCATTCCCTGTTCCAGGGCTCGGGTCTCCTAGGTTGTCCTCAGGGTTATTAAGTCTAGCCAGCCTGTGGTCTATCCTCGGGCCCATAACGTTCGTAAGTTTGCTGCTTTGGCTGCCATCTTCGGCAACTTGTCAGCAGCATGGCTTGACTCTCCGAGACTCAGTCAAGCCTGGTCTCGGGCCGGGCTTGGGGAGTAGAACTACCAGAACCCCATCAAGCAGGTAACATATCTTCGGCTAACATTCGGGCGCGGGGATTTTGGAGGTCGAACAGGGTTCTGGCCACCCGTTCTTTGGTAAACATTTCTGGTCCTGGGCATTCGTGTGTGGCTTTGGGTTGCAGGTTGCAGCCAGTTGTCTCGACTTTGAGCTGAGGAGTGCGTGGCGGACGCCTCCCGGATATGTCCATCTTTTACTTATCTTGGGTTATGTAGTTCCAGGGAGCTGAAGGGGCTCTGCGCAGACAGCGGCACGCTGGCGGTTGTGACGTCATGTTTGTTTGCTTGTTTTCGGATTGAGAGTTCTGCTTGATATTTCGGCTTTCAGTAGCAATTTTTAACCAGGTGGTGGTTGTTTTGGGACGCCTACCTTTCTGGGTGCCTAACCCCGTCGACGGCAGACATGGAATGCTTCCAACCACATGGGGGTTTCTATAGGCCATTGCTCCTCGTGCCTCTCTGAGGGGGGCCAGGTTCTGGCTTGTGGTTGCCGGTAGGCATAGAACTCCAATCGAATTGACTGATGCCACGGTCTAATGCATACATCTCAGCCTGTTAAACTCCGAGGAGCCTCCGGGACTCGTCCAGAAAATGGCATTTCATTACATTCAATGCTGATTTTTTGTATATCCTAAAATATTGGACTGTTAGATTGAACTTATATTTTACTTTTTTTCATATTTATCTAAAGGTCTAAAGAAGCTGCTTTAGATCATGAAATTAAAAGCAAAGGCGCACAGTTTGAGGAAGTAGGAAGGAAGATAAGGCAAGTCAAGCAAACCCTCTTACGCAATGAAAGTGAACTCTCCATGAACAATCTCGATGAAATCAAAGCTGAATTGGCACAGGTTGAGGAAATGATTATTATTGAAGACGGAAAGCTTGATGTACCTATGGTAAAGTTTGCCTATCACTTTGTTACATTGTAACTAAATTCAATTGTGCAGAAGCCTGAAATTTTGTAGCGCACAAGTACTGTATAAATGTGTTATCTAAATGTTATCTTATCTGCTATGTTCCCTCTGGGAAATCGATTCCATTGTGGAAAGATACCTATATATACAGGGTCTTTGCAACATGCCAAAGGCCTTGCAGTCATAGACTTTTGAGAGCACCTAAAATGTGGCTATTATATCCTTCTCACTAGATGACCAATATTAACTGAAAGGATATGCCACCTTTTTTTGCACTGTAAAAAATAATGAAAATTTTTGTACTTTAGCCAATGATACAATGAATTTCTTGATTGACTGGAAATAATCACTGTAGACATTGATTATGTGTAACTAGGAACCTGGGAGGAAAAGCACAATGTCAGGAAAGGCCCAATTATAGTAAGGCTACACAACACACAATAAAAGACACCTTCATAAACTATTATACAGCTTGTAGTTAGAATATAAGTAAATTAAGAAAAACAAAATGCATGTTTTGATTAATATTTGCCATTAAAGACATGTGAAAAATCAAATTTAAAAGAAAGTTTGAATTGATTAGCACATTTCCTCTAGTTAATTATTCCAGGTCAATAAGCCTTTATAATAACTACTTTACCTTGATGCTTACATTGTCTTTTTACTTTTTCTCAAACTTGCCACTTATTTGACTACCTTTTCTTCCTCTGTTCCATTTTAATTTAATTCTTTAGTGTTACGATCTCACTTGGCTAGTAACTGGGTTCTTTTCATATCAAACTTTATATGGGGCCATAGTGCCTCTTCTTACTTGATCCAACCCCGAGTCATAGGTTAGAACTGGCAGTAATAGTCAATCTAAAGGGAAAGGGGGTAAACAACTCTAAACAGAATTATCACCAAGTGTACTTATTAAATATACAGTATATACACACATATACAGCACATAACACAGCAGGTGTCACTTTCACACAGGACACTAAAAGAACTTCTGCAATCTTCTTTCCCGTCGAGCCCACTTCTATCTTCTATTGTACACCACTCAAAGTTCCCTCCCCGAGTCTTCTATGGTCCTCATGCCAACCAGTTCACCGTAAATCATAGGCCAGTCCTCTACAGTATCGTCACGGTGCTAACACACCACTTCTTCTCTCCAGCAACACGCTGGCAGGGGTGTCCAGCAACACGCTGGCAGGGGTGTCCAGCAACACGCTGGCAGGGGTGTCCAGCAACACGCTGGCAGGGGTGTCCAGCAACACGCTGGCAGGGGTGTCCAGCAACACGCTGGCAGGGGTGTCCAGCAACACGCTGGCAGGGGTGTCCAGCAACACGCTGGCAGGGGTGTCAATACTCACTCAATACAGACTGTATTTCTTTGTTTTTAGAAATTATATGATTACAGTACTTGTTCATTGTTTAATATTAAAAATTTTTTGCCTAGGTACAAGAAGAGATTGATGCTGGGAAGAAATCAAGGCGTGAAATAGAGTATAAACTTGATGATGTCAAACGCATTTTGCAAAGAATGAACCGTCAGGCTGAAGCTCGTTCGAAGTACGACATCCACATAAAAGAGAAAAAAGACCTTGAAAATAAAGTTGAATATTTGTAAGTACTGTATAGTAGTACAGTTTATGTATACAGATGATACACTTCTGGGCTTATGGTAATTATTTGCTTAAGTGATTAAATATTATTTTTACAGGTAAGTAGTCAATTGAATTAAAAGGTTTAAATAATGTTGCCCAAACCTTGATTTCAATTTTCAGAGGAAGTTAAGTGATTTAAATTTGCTTTTCTTTGGCAAATCTTTGCAGCAACAGCTTGGGAGAGATTCATCTTCTATAACCCTGAGTGATCATATACAAATAACAAATTTCAAATTATACTTAATGGCATGTAATAACTCATTATTTTATAATTAATACCTAATAGGTTTCCTTGGTAGAGTTTTTTTTTAATTTTGTAAAAAATAATGTTTTGGCTGAGCAGTGGAAGATACCTTTGTGCATGGGCTTGAAACTTTCAGCAGGTGTGTGTATGTGTGGGTTGTGGTACAAGGAGGATCTCTTGTTACTGGGCGTCTCCTGTGGAGCAAATTGTAAAACCTCTTAATGCATGATCAGAGTAACCTTGAACAATAACTCTTTAAACTGAATTAGCATAGTTACATAAAAAATGTTGTACTCTGCAATGCTCCTCTGATACAATGGATATTAAAAGTGGTTCTCAGTAGCAAATGTTACCCTAAGGAGTTTGGTAATGGAGCCACCCCCCCCTGTCCATCATTTATAAATGCTGTATTGTACTGTACAGTATGATCTAAAGAATGTGGATCGTGGAATAGTGATAACCTGGTGAAATAAATTTGCTTCCTGAAAACTTTTAAATTTAGAAAATGCTTTTAGATTTTGTGTATTTTCATAATGTACAGAATAGCATTTTAATTCTTTTGCTTTTAATAATAAATAGGTGAACTTACTTCTATGCTGTAGAGCTTAAGTGATGGTGAATGAATGACCCTATATTTTATTTATTTTATTATATATATATATATAATATTATTATTATTAACAATAATAATATAATGTAAGCTTGGTCAAGTCCCAATTATGTACAGATGCTACATTTTTTACTTTCATCGAGAAGTGACAAGAAAATAAATTGAAGGTAAATAAACGTATCTACTAAACTCGGGAATAAGAAATGTACTATTGCTAATTTGTTTTTAAATATTTTCGTAGGAAACGTAAACATGCTGATGAACTAGAGCATCTTCTTGGTGAGATTCCTGAAGACAACTTAAAAAATAGAGTGGATGCTTGCACAGCTAATTTGGTAAGTTAGCAGCTGCAGAAACTGGTATTGCACTGTAAATGTTTATTTACTTTAAATTGGAAGTATTTGGTAATATGTTAGCATTACTTTAGTGAGATTAAAGTTTAATTTATACAATGCCGTTAATTATTCTCATTCCACAAATCTTGTTTTTATTCCGCTTATGTTTTCCAGAGGTTTTAATATTGTCAAATTACTGTATCAACTTATGTCATTTTTCTTCAATTTTTTCAATTCTAGCCTAGTAAGCAGGAGATGAGTCACAATAACGTGGCTAAAGTATGATGACCAGACCACACCACACACTAGAATGTGAAGGGACGACGACGTTTCGGTCCATCCTGGACCATTCTCAAGTCGATTGTGAGAATCAATCGACTTGAGAATGGTCCAGGACAGACCGAAACGTCGTCGTCCCTTCACATTCTAGTGTGTGGTCTGGTAATCATAGCCTAGTAAGATTCTTGATGTTTAGCTTTGTGGAATTTTTATGTATTAAAGATGAGCCGTGTATCAGAGCTACGGAGAGATATGGAAAGATTAAACAGAAGAAAGACACAGCTTGACACCAGCATCAAAGGTCATAAGCAGCAGATTGAGAGAAAAGAAAAGGATATTAAAGGTTAGCTCATTTTAAATCTCATTAAGGTTTCTTATTTGTTTTGTTTTGAATGAATGGTAAAGTTATTATTATGCAAGAGATTTATTTAAATATTGAGTTTGATGGCATGATATTATTCAGATATTTAGTGCCCCATTGTATCATGCAATAATGCACTTTATTCCCAAAATTAAAGTGTGGTTATTAAGAATATAGATTATCAGTGGTTGGTTGCCCTTGTAGATATTCCCATTTCAATAAAATGAAAGAAATATGGTTATGATGGTCAATATGGTCGGGAGCCGGTCGGCCGAGCGGACAGCACGCGGGCTTATGATCCTGTGGTCCTGGGTTCGATCCCAGGCGCCGGCGAGAAACAATGGGCAGAGTTTCTTTCACCCTATGCCCCTGTTACCTAGCAGTAAAATAGGTACCTGGGTGTTAGTCAGCTGTCACGGGCTGCTTCCTGGGGGTGGAGGCCTGGTCGAGGACCGGGCCGCGGGGACACTAAAAAAAGCCCCGAAATCATCTCAAGATAACCTCAAGATGATATCTCATACTTAAGATGAGTCATGGGGAAACTAGAACATCACCTCCTGCAGTTATCTATCCTCAAAAACTCGAGAGAATAGGGCCTGCTTCTGAGTAGAGTTACCAGTATATAGACAGTCTATCTTCCTAAAGGGAAGTCAGAAAAATTTAACCATCCTTGTGGGGACTAAATTGCTAATCCTCTCCCTTTGGAAGAGATGGAATCAAAGATACCCTAAACTCATTCATGGAGCCTTTCTGCACAGCCACTGGAAGCAGATTGGGCACCGAGCCAGCAGCCAAAGAGAATCGGCCAAACTGGAAACATGCACTCCCACAAAACATGACCCCGACTCTTACAAGTCCAAAGGGGGTTATTCTATGGCTGGTAACCCAGGTACTTAAAGGCATAGGCAGGTGGAGGATTCTAAATCTTAGAACCAGGCACAAGACAAGGTGCAGGTGCCAAAACAGAAAACTTCCTCACTTGGGATCTAGAGTTCTAAGTTGCAGCCACATGAGAAACCAGACCCTTATTTAAGTACAAGGATCATAGTTCAGTAATGTGTTGGATGAGGCTAGGAACTGCAACTACAAGCAAACGAGGGAATCAAAATGGGTGACCATACAAAGATGATACCTTGTATGCCATAGGTTGAAACTAAGCTCCAACATAAGGAGGGCTGAAGACAAGAAGGGTGGCTTTCAAAGTCTTAAGTGTTTCTACTTAAGCACCATTTCAGGTTCCCAAGGCCTGGTAAACATGTTCCAGGCCTTGGGTGTATTAAATGGGGCTTATATGAAGCACTCAGACTTTGAAGGTCATTTTTCCATTCTACATCAAGCAGGGATTTGAATACTGTCAGTATTTTTCTTGCAATGTAACACCAGGAAGACCCTTGAAAGGTAACCAGGTCACCAATCAGCTAAATTGGACAAGGTGTGACTTGCATGGCCTGGCTTGAATTCTCTGCATTCTACATGACGATAAAGGAACATTTGACTGAGCTAAGCCAATGCTGTGCACAACTTGTGCTGAATCTAGAAAACAAAGCAGAATACAATCAATGACCCTCATAGACCTGTAAACAAAATCCACAGTGTTGCATAAACTACATTCCCATAGCCACCAATCCTCCCCACTAACATTTGCCTATGGTAAAATTCTGAAGCAGCTTATAGCTTAACCCTTAAGCTGCGCAACACATCAATAACTGTGGTGAGTAACTGTAGTGGAATTGAGCACCGCAGTTATTGATGTGTTGTACTACCGCTCAAGATTTAAAATTCCTGCAGCTACACGGGGTTCACATCAGCTTTCTCAGGGCTATTGTAAGCAGATGCCATTAAAAAAAAAATCATGGGCAACATTCCCGGGTGTGAGAGCCTCAGTACTGAGTGAGCAACCAAGGCTGGCACACACAGCATGAGCTAACAGCACTGCTGTTCAGCTTGTGACTATAGCATCACCTAAAAAATGTAAAAATATATATGTAACTAGATGGCATTGGTTGGCTGGTGTATGGTGGCCACTCGTCGTTGGTATGACACCAACTTAGTGGTTCATTATGGTGAACAAAACATGCTGATACTTATATATAACATGTGTATAGTGTAATAGCAGCAAAACTATTTAATTGTTTTTTAACATAATAATTGAGTCACCAATATGCACACCATAATTTTGAGTATAGTGATGATTCACACATTTTATTATATAATTATATCACACTACACACTATGGAATAATATTACTGCAAAAACTAAGAAAAAATCAAAGACATTGAAATAATTAGGTACAGTAATAATTGTGGCAACTCCCGCCTGACAGCTTGGGCGAAGTTGACCCGCCTCCAATGATTGCTCTGTCAACGCCTCAGTTTTGCCAGACTTCCTCGCCCTATTGCGGCCAAAATATGTTGCCTACGATTTATTTTTTATTTTTCCCGTGGTCAGAGAACACAAATGAACACTTTTATAAGAGGACTTTTTTTTTTTTTTTTAATTTTATTTCTTGCACCTGGGCATATTGCAGGCTATAATCACAAGAGCAACCCAGGGGTTAAGGGTGGCAGTGGCCTACTTTTGCCAACAAAAACTTGTTCATATTTTGGATTTTTCTTACATGCTTTCTATATAAGAGCTCTTTTCTGTGGGGAGCCCCTTCGGCACCCTGGAGCTATCGGACTGATATGCGATATATTAAGTCTGGGGCGTCAGTAAATGGAGTTCAGCCTACTGGAGACCATGAGCCAGAACCTGGCCTTCTCAGAGAAGCAAAGGAAGCAATGGCCTATGAAAACCCCCTATTTGGGGCATTCTCTGTCTACCATCAACCGGGGTTAGCACCCAGATAGGTAGGCATAACAGAACAGACCCCACATGGTAAGAAAAAAATTGCAACCGAAGACCGAACAGAGGCAGAACTCCCCTAAGCTAAAGAAACAAGCAAACGTCACACACTGCCGCTTGTCTGCGCAGTCCTTCCCTTCCTGGGAGGGGGGAGCCAGACCCCCCACGCCTGCTACCCACACCTCCAGTTTGTTGGTTGATGCGATCTGGGGGTCGGGCGTTGACTCTGGCCTCAGATTCTTGGCAATATCTGTACCTTTGTAGTGTATTCTGCTGTGTGTGGTCTGGTGGCCAAGAGAAATTTAAGTGTACTGGGGCTGCATGCGCTTAGGACTTTCTTCCCTAAACCCCCTGTAAGTACTACCCTTGGGTTCTGGGGTTACCTTCCATAGAGCTTTCAGGAACCACTTCCGTAGGAGTCTTTCCTGCTCGGCATTTACCTCTCCCTTGGGGCCAGCTGGGGTTTTTACAGCCTTTGATTGGCCTTAGGTAGGAAGCCGTATTGTTTGCTGGTAGCGGAGCAAGGTACTGCACAGCTTGCATACCTATGCGGCAGCCGGTTCCTGTTCCTTCTGGTGATGTTGTGCTTTTGTGTATTTTTATTTTATTTTTGTTTTCCCTGCCATGAAGGGGTCTCCCTTGTTTGGGTATTGGTCCTCTTTGGTATTTTGATGGCCCTCCTCCTCCCATGATCATACACATCACAGGGGTTCAGTTTTTAGCAATTCCCCTCTTAGTAGTTTTTGGGACTAACCGGCTTTGCAGTACCTTGCCTGGGCTTCCCGTAGCAGACAGCCTGTGGGCCTTGGAAAACTCTGTTGGGCCTCAGTTGATTGATGGATGTGTCTTCTGAGTTCCAGCTCACTTTGTGCGAGTTTGAAGGTTGCTCTGTGCCCTTGTCTCGGGGGTGACAACCACCTGTTTTGCCTCTGTCATGTTGCCTGTTGGGTCAATGACACCTTTGACCCGAAGTCTTGCAAGTCGTGTTCTCTGCTCATACTCCAATTTACCCATTCTATTGACACCGAGGTTCGGGTACGGGCAGCGTTAGCATTGCATGCTAGGTTTAGGTTACTGCAGTGCGCTAGGTTGGTTGCCCACCCGGATGCCCCGTTTTGGTTATAGGAACCCTGACTTGAGGGTGTTAGTTGCTTCGACTTTGCTTCTGACCACTCTTCCCAGTCCTTCCCCAGTTGGTGTTGTTCGCCCTGCTTCTCCCCCCCCCCCCCCTCCCTGCTCCCGGCTCCCAAGTGTCTTTGGGTTTCGGAGTTGGGGTTGGGTTTAGTTGATGAGACTCGGGCAGCTTTGGGGGCTGCCCTATTTGGGTCGGGGACGAACGCATTCGAACCTGCTCCTCCTGCCGAGACTTCTGGGTCTTGTCAGCGGACCCCCTTCTTCTTTGCCTTTCCCCTGGACTCTGCCTTTTCTTCAGGGGTAGAGGGTTTGGAGGACGGCTCTGCCCCGGGGCCTGGTTTGGAGGCTCCCAGGGCTGGGGAGGAGTTGACCATGGGGGCTTGGGCCCCCTTTGATTCCGCTTGGGTTTTGGAGCCCTCTTCGTGGGGTTTATTGTTGCAGGAGGAGGGGTTTTCTTAAGCCAGCCTGTATTAGGTCTAGCCAGCCTGCGGTCTATCCTTGGGCCCATGACGTTCGTTAGTTTGCTGCTTTGGCTGCCATGTTTGATAACATGTCTTGGGCCGATATTCGGGCACGAGGTTTTTGGTGGTTGAAGGGGAGGGCAGAGAGCAATTCTTTGTAATTGTCACATGTATCTTTTGTTCCGAATTGAATCATATGCTGATTACCCCAACAAATATCCAAATAAAATTATTCATTCATTTATAAAACTGATGTTTTTTTTTGGCCTGTGAAAATGTGTAAAATATATGATGTGGCTCTCCTCCAAAAGAGTTTGGAAACCCCTGGTCTAGATGATGCACAAGTTATACCAAGGCGAATTTTGCATTGTACTAAGAATTTTGCATTATAGCCTAATTCTTTTAAGTTACAGGGTCTCTCTGTGTAGTTAAACAAAGAAACAGTATTAAGATAATTCTTTATTGAGCATTATAAAAGAAAATAAATTGTTGTGCAATATTTCTTGTTCAAAATATAGGCATCTGTATTTCCTTATGCAATATTTCATAAGTATGTTGGTTGAAATACTGTAACTTGTTTGCTTTGTAGATTTGGAGACAAAGATTGACAACATGTGTCAAGGAAAAGACCTGGATACTGCCTTGGAAAAGTCAAAGAAAGTTAAAGAAGATTTAACTGTAAGTATAATTGAGTATCACAGAAGTGTGTGTGTGTGTGTGTGTAATTACCTAAGTGTAGTTACAGGATGAAAGCTACACTCGTGGTGTCCCGTCTTCCCAGCACTCTTTGTCGTATAACGCTTGGAAACTACTAACGGTCTTGGCCTCCACCACATTCTCACCTAACTTGTTCCAACCGTCTACCACTCTGTTTGTGAAAGTGAATTTTCTTATATTTCTTCGGCATCTGTGTTTAGCTAATTTAAATCTATGACCTCTTGTTTTTGAAGTTCCAGGTCTCGTGAAATCTTCCCTATCGATTTTATCAATTCCTGTTACTATTTTGTACGTAGTGATCATATCACCTCTTTTTCTTCTGTCTTCTAGTTTTGGCATATTTAATGCCTCTAACTTCTCCTCGTAGCTCTTGCCCTTCAGTTCTGGGAGCCACTTAGTAGCATGTCTTTGCACCTTTTCCAGTTTGTTGATGTGCATCTTAAGATAATAAGTGTGTGTGTGTGTGTGTGTGGGGAAAGTGAGAGCGAGTGTGTGTGTTGGGGAGAAAGTGAGAGCGAGTGCGTATGGAGGGGAGGGAGAGTGAGTACATGCATTTAACTATCAGTGCTTGAGATCAGCAAATAGGGTATTTGCTCTTAATGCCTCGTCTCTTAACTGTTCATTCCAGGCATGTTAATTACCTCTCATAACATTAATGTTTTCATCATATTTATTTTTAAATATGTGGATGGGATTGGATTCAACCATTTATTCCTTCAGTGCATTTAATTTCCCAACCACCCATACCAGGAACAAGAACTTCTTTGCATCTCTTCAACTTAGGTGGAAGCTTCACTTGCACTTGTCCCCCTTCATCCTACCTCTTTTTAAATAATGTAGACCTCCTTTATCTACTTTATTTCCCCCCCAAAGGTCTTGTACATGCTGTAGTTATCATATCTCCTCTGTTCTCTCATCTAAGGTTGTGAGAGGAAGTTCTGTCAACCTGTCTTCATAGCTGAGGCCTCTCAGTTTTGGTACTAATCTAGTTGCAAACATCTGAACCTTCAAGTTTCTGTTTATGCTTCACAAGGTGTGGGTTCCATGCTCGAGCACTCGAGTAATGGTCTTACATAGGCATTGTGTATGGACTTTAAAGCCTCCTTGTTTAGTTTTAAATTACATACAGTACTTATGTTTGCTAATTTACCCTTTACTGCTGATGTTACGATGTTCACATAGGCTTCTGGTGATAATGTTGGGATTGTCTACTCCCAGGTCTTTTTCTTTTATTGTTTCTTGTAACTGCCTTCTCCTTTTGGTATAGCTAAATGCAGGTCTTCTTTACCCATATCCATTACTTTACACTTACATGGATTGAATTCCAGCAGCCGTTAATCCGCCCACTCCTGAAGTTTGTCAAGGTCTTCTTGCAGTACCCTACAGTTCTTACTCTCCTTGTTATCTTTGCATCATCTACAAACATTGACAACGAGAGCAGAGATATCTGAGAAGAATGGGTTACGAGTTCCATATTATAAGGACTGATACTAGAGTGTGTCCTGTTCTAATATTTGACAAAGGATATTGCCTCCTTCATATGAATGTTTGCATATGATGCAAACTAATGAGAAAAATTAGGACAGACTGTTTGCAAGTAAAGTTTTAGTCAGTATTGTCTCAGCTCACTTATCTGGACTACATGGGAAGGACTCCTCACTGGATAAGCCAGACACCTGGATAAGCAGAATTCTTACCAAGAAAGTTAAAAAAAAAAAAACATTCGCATCAAAAATATTATTTAAAACAGAAACTTCAGCTTATTTTGGCGTAGTTTGTCTTGTTTAGTACTGTAGATCTTGAAACAAGTAGTTCTTGAAAATTTGTAACCTAATTTCTGGTTATCCGGATTTCTGTTCGGACATAGTGAGGTTTTGCTAGAAAATTTTTGGGATGCGATTTTGGCTGGATAATCCAAATATTTGGTTCAGTGGGCTTTGGATAACCGAGCTCATACATTAGTTTCAAAAGCGTCCTGTGACAAAAAGTACTGCACTGGGAAGACGAAATACCATGAATGTAGCTCTCATCCTTTAACTACACTTGGGTGCTTATGTGTAGTTAAAGTGTGTAAAAATACAATGGAATCCCGGGTTATGAGCATCTCTGTTTACGGGTTTTTCGGGTTATGAGCCCGATTTGTTCAGAAAATTTGCATCAGGATATGAGTTTGTTGATACGCATACGGGCCATCCTAGCGCATGGTGGCATGGCGATCGCGCCTCAGTTTACCAGTGCCTCGCACCTAGTGACTATCCCGCCTGAATTCTTAACAAGGATTTACAGTTTTTTGTCGGATATCTGGCCATTTTAGCATAAAAGTTATTATATATCTCGCCATGGGTCCCAAGAAAGCCAGTGGTAAGGTTCAAGGCAAGAAATTGCATGTGAGGATGACAATAGAGGAAAAACAAGAGATCATTCGGAAGCATGAAAATGGTACTCGTGTTGTTGAACTAGCTAGGCAGTACTGTACAACAAATCTTCAGGGGAGGAAGAGGAGGCAGTAGAGAATGTCCCTTCCTCATTAATTAAGAAAATGTGTGCAGTATGGGAAGGACTGCAAAGTTTTGCTGAAAAGAATCACCCAGATAAAGCTGTAGTAGGCCGTTGCATTGATCTTTTTAATGACAATGTGATGCCTCACTACAGACAAGTGTTGCAAAGAAGATAAAAACAATCTTCAATCGAAGGTTTCATTGTGAGAAAAGTGAGAAAATCAAGCAGTTAGCCACAACCAGGACCTAGTGGTATGCAGGCAAAACATGCCAGAGAGTGCACTCCAGAAAAATCTTCACTGCCTGATGTTATAATGGAAGAGGACTCCCTTTCCAAACAGTAACACCTCTCCTCCTCCCCCTCCTCACTATCTTCCATACGCCAACAGGAGTCATCAACAAGGGTAAGTAATAACTTGAACATACTTTTGTAGTGTAGATTTGGAAGAATTAGGTATAAAATTTAGTTTGAAGTGAGGTTTTTGGGTAGTCAGGAAGGGATTTTTTCACTTCTCATTATTTCTTAGGGGAAATTAGCCTCGGTTTACGAGTTTTTGGGTTGCGAGCTGTCTCCAGGAACGGATTAAACTCTTAAACCGAGGTACCCCTGTATATGGTAGTTAAGTTTACAGTGTTATTAAAGAAAATTAAATTGATGCAATATATTTTTCTAGTGCAACGAAACAAACATTTACAGTATTTTTGTAGTTTTTTCTGTGTGAGGGTTCAGGTTTAAATTTAAAGGGAAGTTGGTGACAATTAATTATTTTAACGAGTAACTAAACCTTTTTTTTTTACCTTTCAGCGCGAGCGGGGAGATTTGTCAAGCTCCATAACAGTGCTCAGTCGATTCACAGATAAACTTAAACAACGTGACTGTTGTCCTTTGTGTCACAGAGATTTTTCTACTAGAGATGAAGTTAATCAACTTATTGAAGAGGTAAAGTTATGATATGCAATATGTGTGGTTTGAGATCTGTATTACTGTATATGAAATGATCTCTGGCTGGTTGTCTTTCACCTTTTATATTTTTTCTTGTGACTGTGTGTCATTACTTCATTTAATTACCTGTTCACTGTATTTGGAGTATGTCATATGTGTTGTGTGCAGATAATATTTCTTTTAGCAGAGAGAGAGTGATTTAACTGATCTTGCTGAATATTTTTTTATGTTTGAAGGAGAAGAATGTTATTGTTTTGCAACTCCTCCTTCCTCTAAGCTCTGTGGTTTGACTCCACTCCGATTGCTTCCCTGTAGTTTGTTGTCTGCTTCACAGGGGTTTACTTCAGTTCCTTCATCTGTGAGGCTGGGCTTTGATCCTAACATTTCCTTTGTGGGGCATGTCTAACATTCTTGCAAATGGTCTCATTCCTGTCCCATCGCCACAGGGTGGTTGGCTGACAATGTGTCCTTCAATTGACTTTGAGAGACATTTAGCTTCCCTCAAGTGTTTTTTTTCACTTTGGCATGCAACAAGTGGCTTTTGCCCTAAATGGGCAGAAGCCCATTCTCTGAGTTGCTTTTGCAGTGGCTTTCAGTTGGACTGGACTTGGTGGGAGTTCCTGTATCATGTATCTCCAGTTTGGCAGCTTTTCCTGATGTTGTCTGAACTGGAGCCAGGAACCCAGCCAGCCATGAAGCAAGCCAGGAAGCCAGCCAGGAACCCAGCCAGCCAGGAAGCAAGCCAGGAACCCAGCCAGCCAGGAAGCAAACCAGGAACCCAGCCAGCCATGAAGCAAGCCAGGAACCCAGCCAGCCAGCCAGGAAGCAAGCAGAAGCAACAGCAAGCTGCTGCTATTTTCGTATTTTGGCCCTGGTGGGTGAGTGGATGCTTCGCTTGCATCCTTTTCTGTCTTAGAATGAAACAGATGGTTTTCAGTAGTGTCCATTGGTTGTTGTCTCTTGTTTGTTCTGTGTATCATTTGCTGTGTACAATTGTAGTCCACTGCTATTTGTGCACCACACAGGATACTTGGGTGATGTGTTTTGTCAATCCAGTATCCTTCATTCCTTGCTCCAAGGCCTGTTTGTCTCAGGTCGTCCATAGTATCACTCAATTCAGGTAGTTTGTGGCCTGAACTGAACCCTCAGGCCCATGATGCATGTAAATTGCAGCTTTGTCTGCCAACTTCTTTAATGGGTATCATTCTAATATTTGGACTCTGATAATATTAGCATTCTGATATTGAGTTGGCAGCAGGGTATCTTGTTAATGTGCCTGGTTTGCACCAGGCCTGCATGGTGTTGAGTAGGGTTACTCAGCACTGATTCCTTCTCTTCTAGGGTTACTGCTCTCCTCTGCCCTTGGTGAGGAATGTTTTCTTGTGTTCTCCATGATGAGATAACACAAGGGAGCCACTGAAGGAGCCCTCCCACAAGTCGAGCATTGAATGTAATAAATGTCTTTCTGATGAGTCCCTTAGCTCCCTTTTCCCTCTTCATCTTCATGGGCTTCGATTACTTTGGGCAGCGCATATTTGATCTGTTGACACTGGGGTGCACCTTGTGCTTATGGGGCTGCCACCTGGTGGTGGGGTATGAAACTATCGAGGGTAATGACCTAACTACTCGTACTGTGGTCTTTGTCAGGATTACTAATATTTCCTTGCAATTATTTTGTTTTGACTTTAACATTCTTGTGGGGGGTTTCCTTGGTTTGGGTGATCTAGTATCTGCTGCTCCCTGTGCCTCTGAGTGGACCAGGTTTTGGCCTCTGGTTTGTGGTAAGTGATATTCTGATTCACAAGGGTCTGGTATGACATGATACATGTAAGAGCTATCAAGAGGGCTAGGACCAAGGAGCCACGAAGGGACCCACCAGAACGAAGCATTCATTACGTTTAATATTGGACTTGTTTATGATTTTAAGCATTCCAGTTGCTATTTTACTAATTGAAGTACAGTATAGTAATTCCATTTTTCTGTTTTTCTTTGATAGTTGGAAGTTAAAGTAAGCAGTGTTCCAGGTAAGCTGCAATGTGTGAAGGAGAAACTTGAAGTAGAAGAAACATTACATGAACAAATGATACAACTTAAGCCGCAGCGAGATCAAGCCAATCGTGCACGTGTGGAATTAGAGAAAATTCGGTATGTACTGTTGAAGAATATTCAGGAATTTATGCAGTTGTTTCTAAGAATAGTAAGGGTATCAAACTAATGTACAAATCTCCCATAGGAACACTAGATTGTATAGCGAATAAGGCTTGTGGAAGCTTGAGTGAGTGAAGTAGTAAATTGTGAAGAATGTGAGTGAGGGGGGAAATTAATAAACATATAGTACTTGATGATACAAGTAGGTTAGGCAAATATTTTGAAAGTAATGATTACAAATGGTAAAAGAAAGATTATCATAACATATTTAGGAATGATTGGAGGATGTGGAAGAATACCAGTGAAACAGTAGAGGATAAATGGGGTAGAAATTAGAAGATTTTTATAAATTAAAAAAAGGAAAGGCTCCTGGTATAGATGAAATAACCGTCAACATTTTATGGTATGGAGCGAGGTTAATGCTGGACATAGTTGTATGTTAAATTTCATGGCAGATGTAATTTAACTTCGTGTTAAATCGAGCAAACGAACAAATGTCATGCTCATTTTCATTTGGGGAGTTCTGTCCACTCGTTTGTCTATTTTTGTTGTTTTAACCAGAATTGTAGTTTGTTTTGGGGCGCTTACCTTTCTGGGTGCCTGTTCCAGTCAATGGCAGATATAGAAGGCTTTTTTTTTTTTTTTTTTTTTAGTTGGTCTTAATAATTTGGTTGATCTCTAAACAATATGATCTTAAAATTGTCATTGGTAGCCTATCATATTAATTGTCCTTTCTGGGGGGAGTCCCTTCAGCTCCCCGGAGCTATCCAGGCTGATATGTATATTATTAGACTTTGGCATCAGTCAGTGTGAATGGAGTTCTAGGCCTACCGGGGACCACGAACCAGAACCTGGCCCCCCTCAGAGAGGCACAAGGAGCAATGGCCTATAGAAGTGCACATGTGTATGGAGCATTCTGCGTCTGCCATCGACCGGGCCAGGCACCCAGAAAGGTAAGCGCCTCAAAACAAACCCCTATTCTGGTTAAAACTACTACTGAAAACTAACGAGTGGACAGAACTCCCTGAATGAAAAACGAGCAAACGAGCGTGATGTCACACTTGCTGCGCCGCTCGTCTTCGCAGTTCCCTCCTCCCCGGGAGGGGGAGACCCAGACCCACCCCCACCTGTCAGTTCTCGGCTGATGTGATTGTGGCTCGGTTGTGTAGCCCCATCTCCTGAATCTCTGTGTTATGCTGTGCCTTATGTCCAGTACTACTCTTACGATTCCGTGTGAGCTGGGAATAATGCTCACAGGGACTCGGGCTGCATGTCCTTAGGGTTCCCCTTCCCTAAGTGCCCTGTAAGTTCTGCCCTTAGGGCTTGGGGTTATCTTCCACAAGTTGCCTTGGGGTCTACCTCTGTTGGTCTCTTGCTGCTTGATGATTGACCGCCCTGGGAGTGTTGAGGGGTTTCCTCCTCCCTTGTTTATCTTGGGGGTAAATGGTAGTACCTCGTGCACTGGTAGGTGCACGAGGTACTGCGCAGCTAGTTTCCACCTATTACAGTGGCTGGCTCTGCTTCTCCTGGGTACATTGTCCTCTTAATGAGGTTATCTTGAGTTGATTTCGGGGCATTTTAGTGTCCCTGCGGCCCGGTCCTCGACCAGGCCTCCACCCCCAGGAAGCAGCCCATGACAGCTGACTAACACCCAGGTACCTATTTACTGCTAGGTAACAGGGGCATTCAGGGCGAAAGAAATTTTGCCCATTTGTTTCTGCCTCGTGCAGGAATCGAACCCGCGCCACAGAATTAAGAGTCCTGCGCGCTATCCACCAGGCTACGAGGCCCCTAGAGGCCTCTTGCTGGGTTTTTCTTTTCATTTTCTGGGGCAGTCCTGTTGGCTTCCCGGAGCTTACTAGGCTGATATGCTAATGTTAGACTTTGGCATCAGTCATGTGTATGGAGTTCTGTGGGCCTACTGGGGACCACGAGCCAGAACCTGGTCCCCTCAGAGAGGCATGGGGAGCAATGGCCTATAGAAATCCCCGTGTGGTTGGAAGCATTCTATGTCTGCCATCGACCGGGCCTGGCACCCAGAAAGGTAAGCATCTCAAAACAAACCCCTGTTCTGGTGAAAATATTGCTACCAAAAGTCAAACAAGTGGATAGAACTCAGTGACTTCACTGAATGCCTCAGTGCCATCAGTGACTTCACCACACAACCTGAAAAACCATGTTGGTCGTTACCGGGAATGTCTACAGTGCTAGCAGAATACAGGATCATGTGTAACACATATCGTGTTTCACAGTCACAAAGAACAAAATTTCAATCCAAATCTGTTGCGTTTGGAGGGAATATACTGCTTGAAACCAACAAGTCCTTTGAAAAGCACAAGGGATTTGTCAATCACCAGTTTCTGTGCTAGTATGTAGAATCTCTGTACTTTCCAATCACGTCATTCATAATGTGCCTGACTCTCCAAAGTCTACCATCCTCTGTCCAGTCTTCATTACTTGCAAAATGAAGACACCTGAGGAGTATTTAAAACCTGTCTCGGGACATATATTTCCCGAACAAAGGTGTTGGAACAGCCTGGTCTTTGCTCCAATAATCTGTGATATTGCGTATTACACAATACTTCATCAACATACTGTACATAGTGCCAAAAATACATGCATTTTACCTACAGTAGTGTTTTTCCAACGATTCAATCGTGAATATTCAGTTATCTCTCTTTCCAGTGAGATGTGCCGCATGAAGGTTCGTTTGGTGTACAATATATTCCATGAGCAGCTCATCATAAAATGCTGTAAAATAATCAGTTTCACATATGTCCTCACCAGAATCAGGGAAAAAGTCTATAATTCCAACGTCTTTATTGTCAAAGGCAGGAATTAGAGGAATAAAATCATCACCATCACTCCACACAAGTACACCTGGTGTCCGGTGAGAAGAAACAGCGGCACTGCGGTGAGGAATCATTGCACACCTTGGACCAGGAGCTGAAGCCCGTCTATGCAAAGTACGGGTGCTATGCGAATGTGAGGTAAAATCACGTGAACATGAGGGGTCTTGGTTCATGTGGTGCCATGTGGCGGCGCTTGGCTAGGCGAGATGCTGCTAACACGACACAATCTCGCTTTGTAACACCACTGGCACTAATGACAGGTGTGGTAATACAGTGGCACCTCGATTAACGAGTTTAATCCGTTCTGGCACCAAGCTCGTCATGTGGGAAACTCGTCTTGCAAAACAACAAAAAAACTGTCGTAAAAGGTGTCTGAGAACCAGCGGAAGCACTCGTTAATCGAGGAAAAGCTCGTTAGTAGAGATAAATGTTCTGCGAGTGGCTCGTTCGTTACTCGAAATGCTCGTAGATAGAGCCGCTTGTTAATCGAGGTACCACTGTACTATGCTCTGAATCCACTTCACTATAACCAGAAAAGGAGTCGCCTTCCTCTGACTCGTCGCCCAAAATATCCTCATACTCTAATAAGTACAAGAACTGTGTGGTCGTGGGTGAACTGGAGTAGACACTGGGCAAGGCGGCACTGGTGAGCGTGTAGGCCTCGCCATGGGAGCAGGTTGTGTCTCAAATTCACTGCGTGTGCTGCTATCATCGGTCATTTGTGTGTAGTCCTTATCAATGTCAGAGTCATCAAAATCACTTTCCTCACCATCAGAAAATAATTCACTAGTTATTTGCCCTGGAGTAAGTGGTTGCGTGTCCGGAAGGTGTTTGGTCGTGCACTCGCCATGGTGATTGCTGGGTAACCGAGGCCTCCCACGCATTGGTGGCGAGAGCAGGATTTTTTTTTTTACAAAATGGCGGCTGTTTACTATAGCCCCTGGGCAGCGTATGGGGGCCCCCCCCCAACCCGCCCCGCCGGCCATTCAAATCTTGCACGGTACTCCATCACGTTATATGACGTGTTGTGCAATTTTGCTCAAGTTAGTCAACACGTCATATGATGTGTTACGCAGTTTAAGGGCATCCAGCCTTGAACTGACAGGTGGATAGCTGCCGCGATGGGTCTGGGACTCCCTGTTCTCCCTCCCGGGGAGAGGGGAGCAGCACAGACAAGCGGCACACCAAGTGTGACATCATGCTCGTTTTTCATTTGGGGAGTTCTGTAAACTCGTTAGTTTTCAGTAGTAGTTTGAACCAGAATAGGGGTTTGTTTTGAGGTACCTTTCAAAAGGTATTACACTGTATAGATTACGCTGTAAAGTTATACCCGAAAGGTACCGGGTACCTTTCTGGGTATGCGGCCTGGTTGATGGCAGACACAGAATGCTCCAAACACATGTGCACTTCTATAGGCCATTGCTCCTCGTGCCTCTCTGAGGGGGCCAGGTTCTGGCTCGTGGTCCCCGGTAGACCTAGAACTCCATTCACACTGACTGATGCCAAAGTCTAATAATATACACATCAGCCTGGATAGCTCCGGGAAGCCTCTGTCTCTCACCCAGAAAATGGCATTTCATTACATTCAACTCTGGTTTTTTACGCCGGTGCCATAAGCTAAAGGAATCTTCTGAGGTGCAGCAAAGAAAAGAACTTTTCTTTACATACAACACTTTTTTCAATGCATTACTTGGTAATATTACGTATGATAAAGGATAAAAATGAGGGATTGGAGAGCCGCTTACATTACAAATTACCCTGTACTTGTTATTTTAAAATTACAATTTTGCTAACTATCGATTATAATTTATTCACAGAAACCAGATGAATGACGAAGCAGATGAATTAGAAAAAGTTCATTTAGATTTAGAGTCGAAGACTGAGATTTTGGATATTACCCTGAGTGATGAAGAAACTGCGAGACTGATACAAAGTGATGTCGTCACCATAGATAATCACTTGCGCAAAGCTAAGCAGCTCAAGGATCAAATTGATGACCTTCAGGCAGCTTTAGGCAGCTCAGGTTTGAATTTTGTTAAGCTAATATGTAGTTTGAGGGTATTACACCCTAGAATTTACAGGACCATATAATGCATTCCATAATTTACTTGGAGGTCACTAACTTTCAAACTTCCAACATGTGAACAGCTTCAAAGTCCCCATTTAACCACTTGTCCAGCTCCAAACCATTTCTGGAGTCCATGCATGATGAACAGTGTTAGTAATGCTTTAATTGTTTATAAAGGAAAGTGCCTCAATAAAGGTTGATTCGGAAAGTGTGGTGGTGGTGCAGCAGTGCCATGCATCTCTACCTTTTACTGCCTCGCCCTTTTGTAATTATATATTTTCTGTGGGGGAACCGCTTCGGCTCCCTGGAGTTATAGGGTTAATATGTAATACCAGGGCAAAAGTCAATGGAGTTCAGCCTATCAGGGGACCACAAGCCAGAATCTGACCCCATCAGAGAGGCAAAGGGAGCAATGGCCTATGGAAACCCCCATGCATTTGGGAGCATTCCATGTCTGCCATCGACCTGGGTATGCACCCAGAAAGGTAGGCATAACAAAACAGACCCCCCACATGGTAAGAAAATTGCAACCCAAAAACTGAACAGAGGCAGAATTCCCTCAATTCCCAAGAAAGATGTGAACGTCACACTTCACCGCATTGCTGCTCGTCCGTGCAGTCCTCTCCTCCATGGGAGGAGAAGGGGGGGGGAGCCACGGACCCTATTGGGCCACAGGCTACCCAGCAACTCCAGTTTGTTGGCTGATACGTCAGTTCTGGCCTTGGTGTCCTGGCAGTGTTTTGCCTTCGTGGTGTCCTCTGCTGTTCGTGGTGTGGTGGCCAGGTGTACTTGAGTGTGCCGGGGTTGCATGCGCTTACGGCAGCCTTTCCTAAGTGCCCTGTAAGTATTACCCTTGAGTGTCAGGGTTATCTTCCCTGGTGCTTTTGGGACGCCATTTCCATAGGAAAATGGCGTTCCGAAAATTTTGCTGCTCGGCATTTACTTCCCCCTTGGGGTCAGCTGGGGTTTCGTGGCCCTTGTTTGGCCTTGGGTAGGGAGTAGTATTGTTGCTGGTTGGGGGGTGAAGGTGTTACGCAGCCAGCTTACTTGTGCAGTGGCCGGTTCCTGTTTCCTCTGGGGACGTTGTACTTTTGCTGGGTTTTTCTTTTACTTTTTGTTTTGTTTGCCTGGTGTGGCTATAGGACCATAATATCTTGGTGGCTAGGGCCCCCATGATTGTACAGTACATGTCAAAAGGGTTTCAGTGTTTTAATCTCCCCCCTTGTTAGCTTTGGCATCTAACCAGTTAGCAACACCTTCTTGAGGTTATCTTGAAATGATTTCGGGGCTTAGTGTCCCCGTGGCCCGGTTCTCGACCAGGACTCCTTTTTTTTACACCCCCCCCAGAAGCAGCCCGTCTCAGCTGTCTAACTCCTAGGTACCTATTTACTGCTAGGTACCAGGGGCATCAGGGTGAAAGAAACATTTTGCCCTTGTTGGGCTCTGTGGACCTATGGATGCATCTTCCGAGTTGGAAGGTTGCCATGTGCCCTCGTTTCAGGGTGCCAGTCACCGCTTTTGCCTTTGTTTGTTATTGCTGCCTGTTGTGTTACCATCACCTTTGACCCGGAGTCTTGCGAGACGTGCTCTGCTTGATCTCCAATTTATCCATTGTGATGACATTGGTATTGGAGTACAGGAGGCATCTGCTTTGCATGCTAGGTTTAGATTGCTGCAACGTGCTAGGTTGGTTGCCCACCCAGATGCCCTGGGGCTGCCCCGTTTTGGTTATTGGAATCCAAACTTGGGGACATTAGTCGCTTCGACTTTGGTTTAGTCCGCTCTTCCCCCTTTTCCCCCCACCCCTGCTTTCACTCCCAAACGTCTGAGGGTTTTGGAATCAGAGTGGGGTTTAGTTGATAATGAGACTCGGGCAGCTTCAGGGGCTGACCCATTCGGGTTGGGGACAGAGGCATTCGAGCCGGTTCCTCCTTTCGAAGCTTCTGGGTCACTCCAGCAGGGTCCCTTCTTTTATAACTTTTCTTCAGGGGTAGAGGGTGTGGAGGACTGCTATGCCCCATGTCCCGATTTGGAGGATCCCGGGGCAAGAAAGGAGTTGATCTGTAGGGGGGGCTTGGGCCCCCTTTGACCCCACTAGAGTGTTAGTGCCCTCATAGCGGGGCTTCTTGTTGCAGGGAGAGGGGTTTTCTTACACCCTTCCCTGTATGAGCATGATTCGGGATCGGCTCCTCTCCGGGTTCCCTTGGGTTCCTCGGCTCCTTCCTTCCAGATGTTTTCTGCCTCTTGTATCTCGCCTTAGGAGGTTTGGGAGGTTCTTGCTGTGTACTTCCTGTGAGAACCGAATTTTGCCTCGGCTATGGATCCGTCTTTGTTTAAGTTTGGTTCTTCCCCACATTCATGTGTTTCTCACTAATTCACTAATTTTCTCACTAATTTAGTGAGAAAATTCGCCCAAAGAATGTGTTATGTTATCATATTTTTCTGGGTTTGAAAATATAGTAAAGGCCTTGAAACTTTTTTGATTTACATGTATTGTTTAATTATGAAAATACTGTTGGTAAACTCTTAGAAACAGCCCTCATAGTGATAATTGTGTCTTTATAAAATAGGTTCTGTAATAAGTAATAAGACTGTAATAGGTTCTATGTTGGACAAACATCTAAAGATTTGAAATGTAGAATTTTGCAACATTAAATACTCTGTAAGACATGGCCAATTGTCTAATGCTTTGTTTGTTCATTTGTCAGAAAATTCTCACCAAATTGATTGTTAAATGGCTTCTTCAATAACAAATTGTAAAAGCACTTTCAATAGGAACATAATTGAATCTGCTTTAATACAGATTATAAAATCATGTAATTTGAACATTAGCAGTGGTTTATATCATTTAGATCCATTTTTGATAGATCAGTTAAATGGCAATTTGAGTAGGATCATTGATACACATTTGTCTCACTAATTCATTGTTAATATTTACTGTCTTATGCTATTATTATCCATGTATGGGCCTATTGATGCAGCTCTTATTTTATGGGCCCATAAACCATTAGTGGGTACAAATAGGAGCTGCCTTGTATGGACCAATAGGCCTTCTGCAGTTCTTATGCAGCTCTTTATTTTATATCCGCCTAATTCCCATTCATATATTTGTCATTATACCTCACTTCACTTCACCTCTCTCTCCTGCCTATATATGTCCAAAACTTATTGACTTGTAAATGATTCCTTCTGAAAATGTATTAATATACGAAAGTACTTTTAAGGAAATTCCTGTTTCAATTCTTCCTCCGTGGTCTGACACTGTCACATTTTTCATCATTTTTCATGTTAATTTTCATGATTTACACACACACACAAAAACAACACACACACACACACACACACACATACATACATATACAGTGTATATATATATAAATAATATAGTGCGCTATATACTTGAAAAATATAGTGCACTATATACTTAAAATTAGTAAATAATTCAGAATTTGTACAATATGTGGATAGTACCTGAATTTTAATTTATTTACTAGATGGTGGGATGAGTATGGAAGAAGCTATGACTTGTCAAAACCAGTTAGAAGATGAGTTACGGAAGTCTCAGACAAAAGTTGAAGATCTGCAAGATCAGCTACAGGAGCATAAGGAAAAACTTCAGAGTCTTAAGGATCGTAAATTAAGACTTTCTACTCAAGAGTTACAAGTGAGTTATTTTACTTAATTTTTCAAGTTCAATTTCAAATGTGGGTTATTTTAAAGAATATTTCTACATGTAATTTTAAGTCTGCTAATGTATTGTACAGTAGCACTTTCAAAAGCCGAACCCAAATTTTTCCGATTTCTTTTATAGCACGGGTTACAGTACATATTTTTTTATATATGGTAAGGTTCACTTGTGAGATTGGGAGTGGCAATAAACTACCTTTCCTAGATGTAAAAGTCTTGGAAAGGAATTCAGGCTTTAATACTGCAGTCTGCACTAAGGAAGTAAAATGGGTTGAGCATTAATGCTACGAGTGAGTGCCTTGATAAGTAGAAGCTCAGTGCTGTTGATGCCTATTTCAACCACTCCCTCACACACAGCTGCAGTTGTAACTAGGTTGATGAGGAATTCGGTAGAGTAAGGCAGGTCCTGGGGCCAGATTCACGAAAGCACTTACGCAAGCACTTACGAACGTGTTCATCTTTCCTCAATCTTTGACGGCTTTGGTTACATTTATTAAACAGTTTACTAGTATGAAAACTTCCCATTCAACTGTTGTTATTGTTATAAACAGCCTCCTGAGGCTTTGGAGCTCATTAACAGTTTAATAATTGGAAACAAAGCCGCCAAAGATTGAGAAAAGATGTACTGGTTCGTAAGTGCTTGCGTAAGTGCTTTCGTGAATCTGGCCCCTGATCAATAATGGATACTCTAATGAATATGCCGAGAAAATCATCAAAAGGAAGGTTAGCCGCCATGCGACTTCAGATACAACAGACAGCAGTACATTATTGGTCCCTGCTATTAAAGTATTCCAAAGGAACATTTTCTCCATGGCCCATAAAACAGAAGAGAAGGTCCTGAGAAAGTTTTTGATAGAAATGTAACCCCTACTGACACCAGCCAGAAGATTGAAGTAATAATATACTATAGTAGGAAGAATACTGCCAACTTGCTCATAAACAACTCTCCTGGCACCAAACAAAACCCCTTGAAATAGACAAATGTTGTCTGCATTCACATGCACACTTGGGCACTGTCAGCCCCAACGAATTTAATGTATTGGCATCATCCCTTTCAAGATGCCTAACAATGTACAAGCAGCAAGGTTCTATTAAGGAACAAATAGTCTATGCATAATCAAACCATGACCAGAGAGATCCTGATGAGCAACAACAAAATAATAGACAGGTACACTAACAATTGAAGACTGGAATCAGCGAGGCACTATACATCAGCAAACCAAGCCATGAATCAATAGCCAACTAGTATCAAATTACACAGTCAACTTCCAGAACATGGTGAAACGTACAGCATACTGCCCCATCCATTATGATACCTGCTTGATACCTGCTTGATGGGATCCTGGACGCTCTTCTACTCTGCCAGGTTTAACTTGCGAGAGCTTGGTCCACCAGGCTGTTGCTTGGAGCGGCCTGCAGGCTCGCATATCCACCACAGCCCAGTTGGTATGGCACTCCTTGAAGAAAACTATCTAGTTCTCTCGTGAAGATGACCACAGTTGCTCCCGTAATATTTCTTATGCTCTCTGGGAGTATGTTGAACAACTGTGGACCTCTGATGTTTATACAGTGCTCTCTGATTGTGCCTGTGGCACCCCTGCAAGGCCCTATGCAAACAGGAAATTGTCAAGATACAATGGACCTGTAAGAGAAGTGCTTCACCTCTACCTCATCCTCGGGTATAAATCGTGCAGCAATAAAATTTGTAATCATTTGAACTCTGCCTTTGCCTAAAGTGGAATGTTAACAATAGTTAACGAAATGCTAATGTGGTTGTCGTCAAGAGTGTTACTAGTGAAATGCGGTCATCATCTTATGATGATTTTAACAATTATTGTGTGAGTTTTACATTTATGATACAAATATGAATATAAAAGCTCTCTGTGGATGTGAATAAAGAAAACAACTGATAAAACAATCAGTGAAACATTGGAGGATAAAACATGAAGCGTCAGCAAAGTTGAGCATCAGGCATTGACAGGTGCCAGATGCAGCCTTGCAGAGCGCCTCCACCCAGTGAAATGATAAATATTCACTTATTTTCATGTTTTTCTTACACTGCATACTGAATTATTTCTTGGAATTTTTATATTTTTATTCCACAGCCACTGTCTAAGGGTTAATGGAAACTACCAAAATGCAGCTCAATCTGACTTTTTTTCTAAATTTAAACCCTTAATTTCTTTGTTAAAAAAATGTTTTCCTATCTGTAGGTGAAGACCAAACTGCAAGAATCAGAAAAACTGAAAGAGGAAATTTCAAGACTAGAAGTGGATCGAAGCCGTCTTAAAGAAGACCGTGAACTGGCACAAGCAGAGGTGGCACCGTATAAGTATCAGGTAACCAGTAAATTGGATGAGAAAACCAAAATCATACAACAAAAGGAGGCATGGATTGAGACACAAAACCAGAAGGTGTGTAATATTTTTAGTTTTTTGTTTAGTTGATGGTAAAAATATTACTGTAAGTAAAATCTTGGTGTCAGGTTTTTGCAATTATTAAAAATACTTGCTTATTCATTGATGTTATTAGCAGTAGACATATAACATACACAATAATTTGTTTTTAAAAATATTGAACCAGAACACAATTACAAATGAATAGATTTGCAAGTGAGTTTTCAATGTTTCCATACTTATTAAATTCTACATCTTTAGTATTGGTAACACGTAAACATGTTGCCAATACTGAATACTCATACATGGGATACTCACATGTCAAGATGTGCCATTCATCGTATATGTCTGAATCCTTCTTCCATCCTAGGACATTTTATGCAGTTGAAAATTCACAAATTCACTATTCAAATCATTGTTGTTTAGAATTGTGTATGTGGGGATGTAGGTTGAAGAGCCTGGCAGTACTGAGAGAGGAGAGGAAATGTGGGAGTGAGATACCTGGTTGGTTGATGGGGTTCTGGGAGTTCTACTCCCCAAGCCTGGCCCGAGGCCAGGCTCGACTTGTGAGAGTTTGGTCCACCAGGCTGTTGCTTGGAGCGGCCCGCAGGCCCACATACCCACCACAGCCCGGTTGGTCCGGCACTCCTTGGAGGAATAAATCTAGTTTCCTCTTGAAAATGTCCACGGTTGTTCCGGCAATATTTCTTATGCTTGCTGGGAGGACGTTGAACAACTGCGGACCTCTGATGTACTGATGTACTGAGATACACTGGAATTGTTGAGCCTGTATCTCTACAGGCCTCTAGGACTCTTAGAGGCCTCTTATGCGAGATGCTGCTCATGAACCCTCTTATGCAAGCACACTATGGCTATATATTTGAAGTTCAGTTTGTGTTTTCCATTTTTCTTGCAGGTAACTATGATTCGTGAGAAGCACAGATCTGCGAATGAACTGCAAAAAAGCATAGTATCCTATGTGACTGGTGGCGAAGAACAACGTTTGAGAGACAGTCGTCAGCGAGTAACATCCATTCAGACAAAAGTGACTTCTTTAGAATCAAGCAAAAAATCACTTGAAGAGCAAAATCGTAACATTCAAAAAGAAATAACTAATCAAAGAGTTAGTATTACTGTATTTGTGTTAATCTTCTTCATTGGTGTGTGTTTGGGGGTTGTGGGGGGGGGTTGGATTTGTGTATAAATTACCAAACTGTAGTTACAGAAATAGCTATGCCTATGTCTTCCATTTTTTTTTTATGAATATCAAATACATCTATAAAACAAGCAGAATTTTTAGACTGCACAACTTTCTCCTGAAGGTAGTTCCATTCCCCAACTACTGTATTAGTGAAGACAAATTTTATTATTTTATATTTGTGCTGCTTGTTGTGTGTGGGGGCTGATAATAAGAAAGCTTCTTTCGCATTCTAAAACTGTCATTATTTTATGTGGTAATCATATCCCCACATACTCTACTATCTTGCAGTTTAGGCAGCTGTAGGAAATCTGATCTCTAATTATTTATCGACTATCTGAGTTACAGGATCCGTATATCTATATGGCTTTGAACTACAGTCTATATGTTTTTGTAAATGTAGAGACCATACTAACACTGCACATTCTAATTTGTCACATATAAGAACTTTTAAAATCAAAATCATCATCATACTGTTTGAGTATTTATATACACATTGATCTAATTAATACTGACACTGCTACTTCATCCAGCATCGGCATGAGCTCCACTGTTAAAAAAAAATTCTGGGCGATCTTCCCTCAGTTGCTGAACTGCCCACCTATAATCTTCCTAACCTTAGGTACTCCACCTGGCTTTAATGCCATGCTCTGGCTCCTGCAATGGATATTTTGGAGAGTCTGGGAATATCAGATCATTACAACTAAATTAAAGACCCCAGAAAAGCAGAGGACAACATGATTCATCTTGGTAACTCTTTCATTGCATGAAGTAACTCTTCATGACGTGGTAATGGTATAGAGAGGGGGATATCTGAACATCTTCTGGCATGCTTATTCTTGATGTGCCTAGGTGTATAATGTGGGATCTTGGGTCTTCAGTGGGCCTGGTCCTCTCCCTTCTAGTGTCTCGAGGACTGTTTTACCGGTCTACTCATCTACTCTGTCATTTGTGATTTGTTGGACAAGATTGTGCATGTAGTGATTTCATCCTTGCAGATGGGTGTCCATCTTCTTACCTAAGCAGGGTACTTTGGAACCTCACTATAACAGACCTATTGTTCTTAATAGTTGCTTGTATTCATCATTCTGGAAGATGAGGTGGTTTTGACCAACTATTGGCTCTCTCTTTGTATATTTGGGGTGCCTCTTGGCATGTTTTTATCTACTTTGAGTTCAGGGATTGGCTGGTGATCAGAGTGGAGCACTTTTTGTGCCATTTTCATGCAGACATTTGATCTAAACTTTGCTCCCAAGTTTTCCCATATTAACTTGCATGGTCCTTTGACGTCATCTCGGAAAATCCAAGTTTTGGGCAACCTCAACAGTTGACAGTGTGGACAAAGAGAACCCATTTAAATAAAAATGATGTAGGATAAGAGGACAGGTTTTATTTAATCTTTTGCTGTGCAGAAAAGCTATACAAATTTTTTCTTCAAAAGATATAACATTATTATTTTTAATGCAAAGCAGCTCATTGATGACATAACGTTGTACAGTGTGTTTTGTCATAATTTGTTATAGAAATAATTGTTTCTTTTTCTTCATTTAAAGGAAAGAAAACGAAGTCTTGATGATCAAAAAAAGATTCGTGACAAAGAAGTTGAAGCAAAACTCCTAGAGAGAAGTATTGCCGTTCTAAATGAACGCATCCGGGGCTTTAACTATGATACTCTCATTGATGAAAAGAATAGTCTTAATGAAAAATGGCATTCACTACAAAACAAAGTATGTATTATTATGGTCTTTTTGAACTACATAAAAATTTAATATAGTCCAGTTTCTTGGCAGTACAGTATTAAGATAACCTAGGATATACTGAATTCAGTTTCGTATTACAGTACTGTATAATGTTTCTCCAGTACGAATACTGTTGATTTATAGTATTATTTTGTTGGTTTCCCCATGTGATATGGGAAAAGTCTGCATTTCAAAGTGAAACCTGAATAATTCTGACAAATTTTTATTAGACCTTATCCAAATTTTGTTTGTTTCAGCTTTTCACTAACTATTGCCATATTTTAGATAGGTTTTCTTACTGTGTCTCCATATATTATCGCTTGTCTCATTTGTTTTTACACAAATAATAAATACGTTTTAAATATAAAAACATTAATCTGATAAAAATAGTTTTGAATAATATTTCTTAATACAGTATTGCTTTAATTGTATTTTTTAAAAATGTTCTTATGCGTAACACCAGAAAAAGGAGATAGGGGTTTTGTAACACTACTGAACATAAAGCAAAATGGCTTGTGGCATGTGGCTTGTTTTAATGCAGACAAAGGATTTCTGGTAGATGTAGTATACATATACTCTGCTGAAGATTTGTTTAAAAAAAAACTTTTAACTTTTATACCAAAGGTACCAAAGTTCCTCACTTTGGTATATGTGGCACCTTTTTGATAAGGTACCAAATAAAAGACTAGCAAGGAAATTACAGGCACATGGAAGAAGTGGTTGAATACTAGAATGAATTAAAATACTATAGTTAAAACAAAGAAAATAAAGGTTTGTGCTACACAAGAATGAGTCTGACCGGAGAAATGTGGTGAGTGGTACCACAAAGGTCCATTTTGGGGCCAACCCTTTTTTGTGATATACATCAATGACATTGATGAGAATATTACAAACTACATCATCAGATTTGCAGATGACACTAAGATTTATGGTAAAGTGGGAAGTGCAGATGATATCGAGCCTACATGAACACAAAAGGTCAGAAGACTGGCAAATGCTTTTTTATATAGAAAAATGCAAGACCTTGCATAAGAACCTGTGTCACAACTACCAAATTAAAAAATTACCTTGCCGCAGATTGATGAAGAAAAATACCTTGGAGTCAGAATCCATCATTCACTGAAAGTTGCACAACAATTGGGAGTTGCAGGAAAAAAATAGCTAATCAAACCCTAGGAATGATCAAGCATACATTTTACTCTAAGGGAAAGAAGGTAGTTATTTAACCGTATAAATCTCTGGTGTGCCTCCACTTGGAGAATTGTATCCAAGCATGGAGACGACATCTTCAGAAGGACGTAGCTACATTTGAGAAAGTTCAACACCGGGCAATAAAAAATAATTCTGGAACTAAGTCAACGTTCATACCAAAAATGGTTCAGAGCCACAGGGTTAGCAACACTTAGGTCACTGCATGACCGTTCAGATCTCATCGAAACTTTTAAAATACCGAACAAATTGAATGATTTATGTTGATCCGAACAATTTCTTCAGAAGATCAGATGTAACACAAATGATGAGCAATGGTTTCAAGCATAACAAGCCACAATGTAGAACTGAAAATAAGAGATGCTTTTTCACTCATAATATTATAAACCCATGGGACTGCCTACTTGCATTAGCTGTAAATGGCAAAACTGTTGAATTTTAAAATCCAGCTTGGAAAAATCAAGATAAATATGTAACCTTTGACAAGATGCTGGCTTCCTGTTCTCATCAAGGCCACTAGAGTAAGTGGTGCCTTGGGTAAATTTAGGTAAGTGAGTTTAATTCCATAATATAACAAATTACATATCGGTCCCACATAAAAGACTGATATGTAAATTGTTTCTTCATATTGTGTAAGAGGAAAGGAGCTAGATTGGGTACAAAACTACTTGATGGGAAGAGAACAGAGTATAGTAATTGTAAATGATGCAAGAATAAAAAAAAAGTGCAGGTTTCAAAGTGCTGTTGGAGGACCTATATAGGCTGTAAAATGGTCAGACAAATGGGTTCTGTAAAGTACTATATCCCAAATAATGGCAAAGTTGTGAGACTAGAGTGACAAACTGTCACTCTCCAGGAAGATGTTAGAACATGATTCATTAGAGCAAGGTCCCGCTGTATAGAAACTGCTTCTGTCGAACAGTATCATTAACAGAATCAAAGACATTTCAGTATTGCACTGCTAGACAAAATTGCTTAAAGGAAAAATACAAATGGTGTGACCATGGTGTTATTGCACACAAAATGTGCACCTAAGGAATTACTGGCAAATAGGAAAATGATATTCAATTTCCTAAGGAACAGAATCCAGTGTGTTATGGTCATCAAAGTCAAATCAGGATCATTCACCATGAAAAACTCAGTCCTCTATGGTACTGTGTTTGCTCAATTACTGTTTCTCATCTTCATATTGGGCATAGATAAGAACACAAACTATAGTATTATAGAAAAGAAATCCACAGGAGCCTTGTTGAGGGTTCGATCCTATGCGCTAGATGTTTTCAGGTGTGCTCTAGTCGACTGCACCATGACATGGTCAAAAGAAATGCAACCTGGGGTACTACTGCACCCACAAGGGTCCCAAGGCTTCACTGAAGCCTAACTGGGGTTTCACAGGATTCCCCCATGCACTTGGGCTCTGTCTACCTGTAGTTCTACCTCTGACTATAGGTTGATACCCCTTCAATACACACCACACAAATCACATTAATGTGATATATCAATGAACAAATTCACAGGAGCCTTGATGAGGGTTTGAACCTATGCACTGAGTGTTCCCAGGCACGCTCTAGTTGACTGCACCACAACATGGTCAAAAGAATTGCAACCTGGTTGCAAAAAAGAACACCCAGCACATAGGTTCAGTCTACTAGATCGCGCATGGATACACCCATTACATAGGTCCAAGAACCCTCATCAAGGCTCTTGTGGATTTGTTCATTGATATATCACGTTAATGTGATTTCTCTGTGTATAGTATTATATCATTCCTTGCAGATGATGCTAAGATTTTTGAGAGAAGACAATATAGAGGACACTGGAAACCTCCAAACAGATGTAAATCAGGACTTTCAGTGACCCACGGAAAATATAATGTTTACTGAAGATAAGTTCCAACTCCAACACTATGGAAAAAACAAATATATAAAAATAAGAAGGCGAAGGCACAAATAAAATGCAGTCAAATCACTATAGAACAAAAAGCAAAATAAAAGATGTCAGAAGATCTTACTTCTAAAGAATACAATAAAGTACCTGTCACAATTGCATGAAAAATGGCAGGTTAGATAACAAGAACCTTCAGACAAGAGGTACTGTATCAGTGCTGATTCTTTTCAAGACAGTTGTGCGCTCTAGGCAACCCCTCCTCTTAATGGCACATTGCATTGTGACATACTTTACCTAAGGCTAAAAACTGCCATACTTTAAAATGATAGCAGCTTGCGAAATTGACATAATGTTCCATTTTCTGTTTGGGGGTCCTCTGGTAAGTTAGCATAAGGTACTTCAGTACGACAGTTTCTTGATGTTGGGAAAACTCGTGAGAATAGGCCGTTCTAGGATAGAATATTGTTTCACAATAATACCTTTCAAAACTGGAGAAATTGCTGACCTGGAAAATGTGCAAAGATATTTTACTGCCAGAATCCACTCAATAAAATATCTGAATTATTTTGACTGCTTAAAAATTTAAAATTTCTATTTTCTAGAGTGCAGGCGAGAGAGATTACTTAATAATTTAATCTTGGAAAATATTAGAGGGACTGGTAGCTAGTCCTGTGTATATCATTAGATTTTATAAAGCTCTTACAGCAAACTGTTAGTCTTATTTTCTATTAGTAATTTCTCTACATCTTTGTCAACACTTTGCTTTCTTCAACTATTTCATAGTATTAATTGTCATGATACATGCTGACACATAATGTATATAAAGTACATATTGTGCAAGGGTATGAAAAGGGAGTATTTTTCATTTGTATTTTTAAGCATACTTAAAAAAACCAGCGTTGAATGTAATGAAACGCCATTTTCTGGGTGAGTCCCGGAGGCTCCCCGGAGCTATCCCAGGCTGATATGCTAATGTCAGACTTTGGCATCAGTCATGTGTATGGAGTTCTTAGGCCTACCGGGGACCACGGCCAGAACCGGGCCCCCTCAGAGAGGCAAGGGGAGCAATGGCCTATAGAAGCCCCCGTGTAGTTGGAAGCATTCTATGTCTGCCATCGACCGGAACAGGCACCCAGAAAGGTAAGCGCCCCAAAACAAACCCCTATTCTGGTTAAAATTGCTACCTAAAACCGAACTAGTGGATAGAACTCCCCAACCGAAAACAAGCAAACTAGTGTGACGTCACACACTGCCGCGCCGCTGTCTGCGCAGCTCCCCCCTCCCCGGGAGGGGGAAGGGGGAGCCCCAGACCCCCCGCGCCGGCTACCCACACCTCAGTTCTTGAGGCTGGATGTCAAAAACGCGAAAAACCGCCGACCGGAGGGAGGGAGGGATGCCGGGGAGCCTCCGGGACTCACCCAGAAAATGGCGTTTCATTACATTCAACGCTGGTTTTCTGGGGGGAGCCCCGTCGGCTCCCCGGAGCTAACTACCCACAGACAGAAAAAGAGGGACTTACCCGGGAGGCGGTCGTCGCTCACCCCTCAACTCGAAGCCGAGACAACTGGCTGCAACCGCCGACCCAAAGCAACACAGGCCCGACGAGGCCCAGGGACATTCACAAGGTAACGAGCAGCCAGGACCCTGTTCGACCGCCAAAATCCCCGCGCCCGAATATCAGACCAAGACATATTCCCAAAGACGGCAGCAAGAGCCGCGAACTTACGAACGTCATGGGCACGGGGATAGACCGCAGGCTGGCTGGACCTAATAACCCTGCGGACGACCTGAGAGACCCGAACCCGCGAACAGGGAAGAAGGGAAACCGGATCAACCCACAGCGCGTCCCCGGACACAGAAGCTGTGGCGCGCAAATAACGGCGAAGCGCCGC